CGTCGGTTTCTTCATTTTGCTGCTCTGCTTGTCGTCCTCGTCCTCTTCGTCGTCCTCGTCACTTCGCCACTCGAATTCATCGTCGACTTCGCGCCGCGTGCGACCGCTCCTGGCGCGCGTTCGGTTGATGGGCTCTCCATCATCAAAGTCGCTGCCGTCGTCGCCCGAGGATGACGAGCTGAGCTCGATGACCTTCCAGGGCCGTGTTGTTCGCTTGGTGACCGAGTCTATACTGTCCTCCCCGCTTGGCGCAGTGTTCTTCTTTACTGGAAGCTCTCGCTTCTGTCGCTTGTGTTGGCGTTCGTCGGTGAAACCTGCAGCCAACACACAACACACGGTTTAGAATGAGACTGCGGGGGGCGGCACATGGGCGTATGGAGAAAATTATACCAGGAATGGATGCGTGCATGTCGCGAACGCGCTTGGGGCTCAACCACGACCCCAGCCGTAGACCGTCGCGGGCCAGCACCGAGTAGGGCACGAACAGGCGGATCGCGGTGAGATACCAATCCGTGGTGCTAGAAAATGGAGAAAAAGGAAGCGAATGTAAGTAGTTTCCTATGCTTCAACGTTGGGGAGCGACCCAGCCGTGGTGCTTGGCCTTGTGGGTCCGAATTTCGGTCCCACTTCCGCTCGTGTTGCGCACATGGGAGCAGTGGCAGTGGGCGAAATTCCGACCCCTCTAAGCCAACCCCCACGAGCATAGGAAACTACTTACATTCACCACCACTTACCACCACCCACAACCACCGAAGAACGACTGCACCTCTCCACTCTTGGGTGGGTGGTGGGTAGACTTACCGAAGGAAGAGGTAGTCGGTCGAGGCGGGCGTGCTGCTCTGGGAGCTGAGACTGGAAGGCATGCTGCCGACGGAGGGCGCCTGGCTGTACTTTCTGTCGACGTGGATCTTGGCGCTCGCCGGTGGTCCGCGCTCGTCAAAGTCGAAGAAGCCCTGGACTTGCATCACGCTCTGCTTGCCGTAGAGCAGCTCCAGCGTCAACCGCCTCTTACCTGTACGTACGGCGAACACGACACACGCTCAGTGGTGGCCAACGACACCCAGGACTTGAGTGGTGTGTGCAAGGGTGGTAAAAAGACTAACCTTGAGCAGGGAAAGTTGCGTTGCGCGGAGTGGTGGGCAGTGGGCGGAAGCCGCGGCCGGCCAGCAGGAACCACCAGCCAGGCTGGCCTCCCGTGTCCTGCTCCTCATCGACGACCGCTCCCCGCTCTGGCTTGAGCTTGGTCCACGGTCGTGCCAGGGAGTCCATGGCCACGCCCTCCACCGCGTAGCTGAAATCATCGTCGCTGCCGTTGCTGACGATGGCCAGCGAAATGAGCCAGCGTTTTCGATCTTTGCTGTCCGGATCAGCACTGCGTCGCGCGGCAGGGCCATCCATTACCCTTCTTTCCTTGGATGCGCGATGAGGGATGACAAAATTCTCTCTAATCTCGTTCTCGCAAGGGCACCAAATCCTTTGTGCTGCTGCTTTCGCGATGCCCTTTCGGCACTTGTTGTTGCCCTGCCGAGTGCCTCCTCTTTCGCCCCCGATCCAAGCCCTTGTTCTTCAAGTTCTATTTTATTTGGCGCCTTTTTCGTCGCTGTCTTCCAGTAAAAATTTCGAATTGTCGAAAATCAACAGAATGCAAGGCACGCCCACCGTGAAAAAGAAATGGGCATTTCTTTTTGTTCCCTGCTGTCTCTCTGATCGCAAGGAAGATAGACCGTCGTGCCTGCCATCTCTACTTACAATGGTACGCCTCTTGGTGTCGTGAACGTTCAAGGGCAATATCAATCTCGATGTTTATTGATGGAACTGAAATGTCCTTAGGGATTATTATTAATCTCCAATTTTCGATTCTACGCAGTTCTCTGTGGCCAAGAAGCAACCCGACGCGCACGACGATTCTATCTGGGCGTTGGCATGGACGAGCGCAAACAAAATCGTAACTGGGTCTGTCGATGAGCACGTAAAGATATGGTACGTGCCCCTTACTGCACCGCTTTTCTTTATTTCATTTCCCCCATCCGGTTGGTGCACGTCATTCCGCCGTGTAGACCTCTCTCATCTCTTGCGGCACTTTCTTGGATTCTTGTTCTCGATGTGAAGGAACCCTTCGCTCGAGAAGCCAGAGCGAGACTTTGGGGAGAACCAGTGGGGCGTGGTGTCCGTGGCCGCGAGCGCCGATGGCAAGCGTGCGTGTTCTTCTTCTTCTCCTCCTTCCTCCCCTCAGCTCCGCTCAGCGCCGCTCCGCTCTCTCTTTCGTTCCGCGCACTCTGCCGGCATCAACCTTGCGCTTTGCCCCTTTGTGGCTCACACACACACACACACACACACACACACACACCACGGGATGCTGCAGTGGTTGCCGCGAGCGCGATGGACAGCAACATCCGGATTTGGGACGCTGAGTCGGGCAACCTCGTCCGCACGATCAACGCCTTCCCCGGTACTTGTACTTCTACTGATTATTGGTAGCGGACAGACTGACAGCCTCTCCTCCACCACACCAGTTTTTACTAAAGAGTGTTTTTCCCCCTCCCTCCCCTGCTGATGCGATGGTGCATAAATGCAGTGGAGACTTGGGCGATAGCGTTCAGCCCCGACGGGAGGTTGATCGCCTCGAGCAGCAAGTCGGGCAACATCAACCTGTGGAGCGTCGAGACCGGCGAGAAGGCCCAGACGTTGGAGCCCAGCGGCAAGTTCACCATGTGTGTCGCGTTTGTACGTTACGCCCGCGCGTATGTGAGCGTACTACTTCTCCACCGGCCTCTCATTCTTTTTTTTTGTGTGTTACGCGCGTTCGCACTCTCTGCAGAGCCCGAACGGCAAGTACGTGGCGTGCGGTGCGGTGGACGGTCTGGTGACCGTTTTTGAGGTGCGGGATGGCAAGCGTCTCCATTCCATCGAAGGTTCGTCAACACAGAGGAGATCAACCAGTCACTCTTCGTCGCTCTTCGTCTTCGTCTTCGTCTTCGCTGCCGAGGCTTGTGGTGTTCTGACGTTCGTGTTCGGTTGAATACAATCAATCGATTCAGGCCACGGTATGACAGTGCGTTCGTTGACCTTCTCCACCGACTCGAGCCGACTACTGACCACGTCGGACGACATGCACATCAACATTTACGACGTGTACGTACTCGCAGAGACTATAGGGCCTGTATAATGCGGCGTGATAACAGCGCTGACCATATATAATCAGTGAAAAGGCCGAGCTCATCCACATGGTGTCTGGCCACTCGTCGTGGGTGCTGTCTGTCGCCTCAGCCCAGACTCCAAGTATTTCGCCACCGGGTACTGCTCTCCTCGCTCTCCCTAGCAATCTTACACTTGCGCCCATCTCTCAACGCACACGCCGCACACATCGCCGCACGACGATATAGATCGGCCGACAAGACGGTCAAGGTGTGGGACGCTGCCAAGGGCCAGTGCGTGCACACGTTCACCGACCACACTGACATGGTACCCATCATCACCTTCTGCCTCCAGTTCGTTACACTCGCTCGTGAGCTAAGAGAGTGATTACTTGTTACCGCGTAGGTGTGGGCCGTGGCGTTCGACCCCAAGGGTGCGCTGCTGGCGTCGGCGTCCGACGACAAGTCCATCATCGTCTACAACGTCGCCCACTGAAGACTTCTCTTGTCGTCGTTTCGGAAACACCCAAGAAATTTGCGAAACAATTTGAAGAACGGGAAAGAAAAGAAAAGGAAACCTGAATAAGACAAAGATTATACAAAGATGGGACGCAAGGGGCGCAAAGGACAGGTACGTGGCCAGCTCTCCTCTTGCGCTATGGCAAAGCGGTCCCTTTGCCACAGCTATTGAATAGGTTTTATGTTCTTTTTCATTTATTTTTTTCATTTGATGATGCAGGGCACCAACAATCCGCTGCTGCTGCGGAAGCTCAAGGCGCAGTCCCGCCCCCAAGGTTCTTTCCTCTCCTTTCCATTCCATCCATCAAAACTCGTGGCCGTTGTGCGTGGTTGTGCTCACCAAGTGGCCGGTTGGTGGTGGTGTGCGCTGCTGACTGTGGTGGTGTGGTGGCGGCAGTCAAGGGCACGACGATCAAGGACTATCTGTCGCGGCCGCGGCCCACGCTGGACGAGATCCACAAGATCATGAAGGAGCGCGACGCCAAGAACCTCCAGCTCGAGCGCTGGGAGACCGAAATGGGCCGCGACTGGCGAGCCACCCTCGACGAAAACCGCGCACAGGTGCGTGTGCGGTGTGTGCGGTGTGCGTGTGCGGTCGACTCACGTGTGTGTGTGTGTGTGTGCGTGTGGTGTGCGTGTGTGTGCGTTCGTGTGGTGTGTGTGTGTGTGTGCGTCTGAGCGCAGGTCCTGAAGGAGCGCGCGGAGAAGGCCAAGCAGGAGAAGAAGCAGGTGAAGGAGGCCCGCCGGGAGGAGAAGCGACTGGCCAAGCTCAAGCGGCGGCTGCGCAAGGGCAAGCTCACCGACGACGAGGCGCGGGACTACCGCCGCAGCAAGCGCCAGTTCAAGAAGCGCCTGGGCGAGATGCAGCTCTCCCAGTGGCTCAACCAGGCCGACGACTCTGAAGACGAGAAGCGAGCCGAGGCCGAGCGCCGGCGCGAAGAAGGCGGTGGTGAGGGGCAAGACGGAGAGGAGCCGCCGCTGAAGCGGCCCAAAGTGGCGTGGGTCTTCAAGGACAACGCGACGCAGACGCAGTGGAAGAAGGAGAAGGAGAACGGCCACGTCGTGCAGGAGACCAACCCGGCACCGGTACCAGTGCCGCACGCGGATGGAGAGGCGAGGGAGGAGCAGGGGGACGCGAGTGGAGGGTATGGAGGGCAGCTGGGAATGCAAACGCCACACATGCCCGCCATGGCCCTCCTGCAGCAAAACAGTCACCTGCAGATACAGGTTAGTGCGCCACCGCACACGCCGCACACGCGCACATCGCACAACAACGCTGACCTGATGTCGTTATGGCCACCACCACCACCACCACCATCACCATCACCCAGATGCTGCAGCAGCAGATCGTCAAGCTCCAGGAGGTCCTGGCCGCGCAACCCCTGCTGCAGCTCGAACAGAGAGCGCAGATGCAGCGACAGGTGCCCCTTGCCTCTTCCTTTGATGAGTTCTGTTTGTTGATGTGTTGTTGATGTCATATCCCACCGCCACCGCCACCAGATCGTCATGCTGCAGCAGCAGGTGCAGATGCACCTGCAGCGACCGCCGCATATGCCGTTCATGCTGGGCTCCCCGCCCTTCGCCAACCCCTTCGCCAATGCTGCTAGCACCAGCTCCGCGGCGTTGTTTGCCCGTGCGTCGGCCCTGAGCCTGGCCATGCGGGCGCCTAACCACCCACCAGCACCACTACAAGCACCACCAGCGCTATCGTCAGCCTCGGTCGCTGGTACCAGTTTGCCCGCGCCCGCAGCCACCAACTCAACACCAGCGCCAGCGCCGGCTGCCGACACCGAAGGCCAGCCTCGACTGGGCCGCGCCAAGCGCGTCTTTGCGACGACGCAGGAGGCCTCCCAAGGAACTCAGCCACCAGCCGCGACCCAGGAATGATTGAATTATTTATTATTATTATTATTCAAAACAAGTGAAGGAGGTGGTGGTCGTGGTCGATCCATCATCACTTCTTCCGGTGTACGATCATGTGGGCCAGGTTGTTCCACTGGGTGGTCTTGGTGTCGAGGCTCTCGTAGATGAGCTTCTGGAACTCCTCGGCCGCCTCCTCATCGGTCAGCGACAGGCAGAGGGCCGTGCGCAGGTACTGGATGTCGTTGGGCGACGTCAGCTCTGGAATGCCGGTCGACAACATCTGCGTGTGTGTCGTGTGTGTCGTGTGTGTCGTGTGCGGTTAGCGCGTGTGTTGCGTGAACAACAAAAGTTCGCACTACAACGTACCATACAAAAAAGGTTGATGAACATGTTGGAGTGCTTTCGCAGGATGTTGTAGCCCTTGCAGCACTTGTCGCAGAAGGTCTTGAAGTCCTTCGAGTCGCGGCCGCCCATCACGTACGCAAAGTCGGGCGTGAGCACGAACGGCGCCTTTTCCCTCTTGATCCCCAGCTTCTTCTTGTAGTTTCCCAAGAAGTGCCCAAAATCGATATCTGCGTGTGCGTGTGCGTGTGCGATTTTGATGTTAGTCACCTGTTGCGTGCGTTGCGTTGCATTGTGCGTGGGTGGTGCTGTACGGAAGAGCAGCCCGGACTCGTTGAGCATGATGTTGTCGTTGTGTCGATCGCCGATGCCCAGCACGTAGGTGGCCACGCAGTACCCGGCGCACGAGGAGATGAAGTTCTCCACGGCCCGCCGGTATTTGCCGTTCTTGTTCTTGGCCGCCAGCCAGTTCGCTATTGGGTCCACCGCAAACGCTCCCTTCACTCCCGCCGCCGCCTGTTTGGTCCACCCCCGCGTGTCGTGTCGTGAGTGTCGTGCGTATGTGTGCGTGTCGTGTCGTGTCGTGTCGTGTCGTGTTGTAAACGTACGGAGGAGATGTTGGCGGTGGTTTCGGACTGGGTGACGACTTCGATCATGCCCAGCTCGTGCCCCGTCGACACGCAGCCGTAGGGCGACAACTTGAGGTCCAGCCCCTCCGACTTCCACAACTGATCACCATTGGTAACAACCGATTAAGTTTAAGGTGGCTGTCTGTTAAGGTGGCTGTTGTGGTTAAGGTGGTACCTTGTCCATGATCCTGAGCATCTGGAGGGTCAGCATGTCCTGCCGCAGGTCATCGCCGGCCTTGAAGATCGTGTAGATCGGCGGCTGCGTCGCGTCCGCATTCTCCCACACCAGCCACAGCGGTTTCTGTTGTGCGTGTGTGCGGCATGTGCGCGTGCGTGTGCGGCGTGTGCGTGTGCGTATGCGTGTGTGTGTGCGTGCGGTGGTGAGTCGGTTGAGTGGTGTTGCGAGAGGCGTGCGTGGGCGGCGAACCTTTTTGGAGTCCATGTACTTGCACTTGTGGATGAGGACCCCCTTGGCCTGCCGCTTGTAGTCGAGCGGCAGCTGGAAGGGCGTCAGCGCGGGCGTCTTCTCGAGCCGCTCGCCGAACCGCTTCAGCTCCTCCTGCAGCGTCTCCTTCTTCTTTTCCGCCTCCTTAATTTCCTTGATCCGGTACGCTATGCGCGCCATCTCTTTCTGCGATGGTGGTGTCATCGTTAAGGTGGCAGCTCGTTAAAGTGGCAGTTGAGCTTGTTTAAGGTGGTTGCGTACGTGGACGTCCTCTTGCTTCTTGAGCTCGGCCCGGTGCGAGCCGCAGCCGCGGAGGTAGGCCTCGAGCAGGAGCTCGTAGCGCTCGGCGATCGTGGGCACGTGCACCTCCGACTTGAGGTACCAGTAGAGCATGTGGCCCAGCTCCTTGCTCCGCAGGGCGCGCCGCAGGAGGAATCGCGACAGGGCGCTGTCGTGGTAGAGCTCGTACTTGAGCACCTTTACATACACCATCAACCAATCGCGTTCATCAGCATCATAGAACGACCACCGCACACACCGCACACGATCGTTACGTACCTGAACGAGCTGGAGCAGGTAGTCGCCGAGCTGTTCGTTGGAGAGCTCGTCGAGGCACTCGACGGCGTACTGCCGCACCGCAGCGTCGGCGAACTTGGCGTCCAGCAGCTCGAGCGCGTCCACCGGGTTGGGGAAGTGCGGCCACTTGGCTGCACAGCAACAATCGTGTGTTGTGAGCGTGCGTGCGGTGCGTATGCAATCGCATGTGTGTGGTGTGTGTGTGGTGTGTGTGTGTGAGTGAGTGCGGTATGTGCGTGCGGTGGAGTACCGAGCAGGTGGTGCATCTCTTGCACTTGGTATCGGTCCTGGTAGGTGATGGAGAGCAGGAACTTGGGCAGGGCCTTGGGCTTGGAGAGCAGGTGGTACCGGTGGTCCCACAGCAGCATCTTTTCGTCGGGCTTGAGCAGGTAGAGTGGGTCCTGGCTCAGTATCCGGTCGATCTTGGCCGGTATCGACTCCGGCACCGCGGCGTCGTCGACCAGCCGCTTCTTCGCCATCGGCGACGATTTGGCTGTCACAGTCGACAATAATTAACCACACCAGACCACTCGCACCACACGACACGCACCGCACACATAGCACGACACGACACGACACACGACACGACGCGACGCGACACGACACGACACACACCTGGAGATGACCATCGGGGGCTGCGCGGGCTGACTTCGCAAGACTTGCGGAAGGGCGAGGCCACGCCGCCGGAGGCGGAGGCAAAGTAGGACGGAGGCACGCGGTCGGTGAAGAGCGGTTCGGTGGGGAAAACCACCGGCAGGGCGTACTGGTCGAACTCGACAAAGAGGGGCATCTCCGCCGACGTGTTGGACCCGCAGGTGCCGATCGGGTTGGCCTCCTCGTTGTGCCACAGGTTGAGGGTCATCAGGCCCGTCTTCAGCTCGTTCTTGTAGTCGAACAGCTGACACGCGACCCAACCCAGCGGAATCTCCTGATGAGCGTGCGGCGTGGTGTGAGTTCCATTTGGCCGGTGGTGGAGCGGGTGGGTGGATAGGTGGTTACCTTAAACGGAGAAGTGCGCGCGGCCCAGAGAGTGAAGCACAGCCGGGCGGCGTGCGGGATGTTGCACGTGGGGATCTCGAAGTTGACCCACTCGAACCACCGCGGGTTGCGCGAGCACTCTGCAAAAGGAAGTGTGAGTGTGTACTATGTTTGGGGGAAACAGCAGCAAACAACTGTTGTGGTTCGGTGTTGTTGTTGGTGTCGTGTGTGGTGTGTGTGTGTGTTTGTGGAGAGAGAGAGAGAGAACGTACGTTGCACGTTGGTTCTGACGAGCGGACTGATGAGCGCGCCGCCGTGGTAACAGCCAACGGTGACGAACAGGCCCAAATTGGCTTCGGTGATGTCGGTCTTGCCCGATGCCTGCCCAAAAGCGAGAAGAACGAAGAAAGAAACAAAAGAAAGAAAAAAGCAAGTGTCGTTAGGGATCGACGCAAGAGGCGGTAGAGCCGCTTGTCGGCGGCGCACATCAGCCGCGCGACATCGCCCGCGCCCAGGCGGCTCGTCACGCGCCACACGACCTCGGCCGGCAGCGCCGCGAACAAGCCGAGCGCGCCGACGTCATCGCCGTCGAAACCATTGCCGACGCGGTGATCTGGTCATCCGCCTGGACTACCCGCAGTGGTGCGAGGGCGAAGGAAATCATGGCAAGTACCTTCTGGAAGGAGGTGGTGTTGGGGTTGATCTTCTCCACGCCCACGATGCGCACCCGGAACGCCCTGTTCATGTCCCACAGGGAGAAGCAGGAGAGCTCGTGCCACGGCCTCGACTCCATGCTCAGCAGCTGCGCGTTCTTCCGTTACTCAATGAAAGGCGGCGGCGGTACTGAAACATCGCGCGGGAGGGGGAGGGAGGGGCACGCGGGCACCTTGTGGTCGTGTCGGAAGGTGGGGTCCACCAGCTCCTCGGCGTCCATGGGGTCTTCGGCCGGCAGAGGCTTCTCCATGGCCACGCACTTCCGCTCTATCATCACCATGTTGGGCCTGCTCGCAACACGCGATTCCCGAATCACACGACACGACACGACACGACACGACACATGACTCACGCACAACACGACACACAGATACGATTCAGGTTAAGTGAGGGGCAGACTCGATCGAGGGAGCCCAGCGGCGAGGCGGGGACAGCGCACCGTTCGTTGGTGGTGAGGCACTGGCGCAGGTACTTGAAGGAGTGCACGGGGTAGGGGCCGTCGATGTAGTCCTTCGTGCCCGCCACCTGCAATATGAAGTCCTGGGCCGACGTGTCCGGCAGCTTGCGCGCGATCATCTTTCGATGCGCCTCCTCCAGCAGCGCCGTGGCCGTCATATCACCTGCCCGATCGAACACAACACATGTGAGTGCGTGGCCATGTGTCGCGTGTCGCGTGTTGTGTGCTGTGTCGCACCTTTCACAGCAAACCCCTTCTTGACGCCAGCAGGGTCCGCGAACAGGGGCGGGGCGATGAAGATCGGCGGCAGTTGCACCGGTCCCTGTACCGTACGCGATAGGGAGGCAGCACCACATTCCACGTTGAGCGCCACAGACAGGTCATGGCGGGGTGGAGGGGTGCAGTACCTCGACTTCTGAGCGTTGGATGGGCACGCCGCCGGCTTCGATGCTGCGCAGCCGCTCCTGCCGCTCCAGGTAGCGCTGGCGACACGCGCTCTCGCGGAACACGGTGACTTCGTCCTGCTCCTGCGCCCAGCACAGCGGCTTGCCCACCAGGCTCCCGATCTCCAGCTGTCATTGACACACACACACCACACACACACACACACACACACACACACACGTGCGCAGAGGTTGGTCACAACGTCGAACCAAGGAAGCCACAAGGTGTGTGGCTTGGGTACCCGTCGCATGTCGTCCTGCTTCACGGCCTCGCGATCGCGCTCGACAAACAGCACCGTGGGCACCTCGTTGTTGAACAGGCACTGGCTGATCTGTGCCAGCTTGGCCAGTGCGAGGTCGTCGCTCAGGCAGATGCCGTCCTTGTTGCCGTCGGGTAGGCGGAAGCCGACGTTCTTGAGGTGCAGCAGCGGCTTGTCGGGGTCCTGCAGGGCCTCCTTGAGGTTCTTGGGCGTGTCCCTGTACATGCACTGCACCATGCGCGTGCTCCCGTCCGGCATGATGACCCTCAACTCGTAGTCCCATTTCTGCACACACACATCATTAATCTCGCGTTGCTATTGTCTATTACTATTTGAGTCGTGCATACTGTGCGTGTCCCGTGTGTCGTGTGTGCGGTGTGTGTGCCGTGTCGTGTCGCGTGTGCGTGTTGAGCGCAGTGTGCGCCCAGCGATAAGATGCGCGTTGGGTGTACCTTTTCCGCCGTGCCAGGGTCCTTCCTTCTCGCGAAGAGGAGGTCGGCGATTGAGCCTGTCCGTCGCACTCCCTCGCTCAGTCCCTGAACGCGCAACCAGAGCAGAGGCACCATCTTTACGTAGTGGTGGTAGTGGTAGTGATAGAAAGAGGTCCCACGTGGGGTCAGTCAATACACGCACCGATTGATTCAACCGCCACAGCAGAGGAGTGTGGAACCTTGTTCTCCACCGCTTCGGCGATGTAGGGGTGCCTGGCCAACATATCGGTGGGATTCAGGACCTGCTCGTTCTCCATCACCAACTCCAGCGCAGTCGCCGACATCACCGCACCCTGTCGCATACATTCCGTTAATCTTGTAATATAAGTTAAGATTGCGCTTTCCCTACAACGGCGAGTCGTGATTACCTTGATCGTATTTACAGCGAGTCCGATGAACGCTTCGACGGTGTCCGTGGCCGAGAAGTGCAACAGCTGCGGCAAGGACCAATCAGCTTTCAGTTGGGAGACACTCACCTTAAGGTGGGCAGTGACGCCGTCGTACCACTTCCTGTCCGTCGTAGCGCAGCCGCAGGGGCACGGTCTTGGGCTTCGACTGGAACTCGCGCAGCGTGGCTGCGTGCTTGATCTTGAACTGCGTGTGGGTGGTCTGTCGGCGGCGCATGACCGGCCGGTCGGTCGCGGTCTTGGCGGCGGCGTGCGAGGCCGACAGAGAGGTCGCCGATGTCTGCAGCAGCTTCTCGCGGTCGGCCCCAGCCTCCCCGCGCCCCACGATGCTGTTGGACCGCCGCGCTATCCGCCCCACGCTGGGCGACCGCGCCGTCGGGGGCTTGCTCAGCCTTGCGGATCCCAGGGACCGCCGCCTCTGTTCAGTGAATCGTGACGTCATACGATTGGTTAAAAGGGGGTCTTTGAGCTAGGGCTGGTGTGGGGGGAAGGAGGCAAAGTACGCTGAGATCGGGCGAGGCGCCGCCGTCGCCCGACTCATCGCTTTCGAAGGCGCCGTCGGCCTCAGCCTCGGCCTCATCGAGCTGGGCCTCCTCCTCGGCGGACTCAGCCATGTCCTCGTTCTCGTAGTCGTAGTTGAACAGATCCTCGACATCGCTGCAGCCAAAACCAAGGTGACGAGTGTCAGCGTTCGGTGCGTGCAGCACGTGTGTCGTGTCGTGTCGTGTGTTGTGTCGTGTGTCGTGTCGTGCGTGTCGTGTCGTGTCGTGTCGGACTTCGACAGGATGATTCAGATGAGCGGCACCTGTCGCTGCCTGCCTCGCTTCTGTCGGTGGTTTCTGTGCCGCTCTCCCGTTCGCTGAAATCAATAATCTCCGACTCAGCCGCCGCGCTGCTGGTGGCCTCCTCGTCGCTCTCCTTGCTCTCGCTCAGGCACTGCGACCTGACCGACGCGTCGTCTTCGCTGTCGAGCGGCTCGCTGCCACTCCCGGTCTTGTCCTCCTCCACCACCAGCTCCCTGGGCGCACCAACACGCTGAGCTCCCTCGCCGCCGCTCGTCCCAGAGCTGGCGGCAACAGTTGGTGCAGCCATGCGGCCCGCCGAGCTTTCCCGCAGGAACGAGTGTCCCTTATTCTCTGCCGGCACCGCCGGCGCCGCGGCCTGCCACTTCTGCGCGCCCAGCATGATGTTCGAGCACCCGTTCGATCTCCTGCGCACCCACATACAGCACAGAGAGGCCGACGTGAGTGGTCACGGCCTGATGGGGGGAGGGGGAAGCGGGCGCCGCACCGTTTGGCCGAGCCCCAGGAGTGCTCGGTGGGCCGAGCGCGGAGGGGCTGTCGAGGAGAGCCGGCGGCCGAGCCCATGACCAGCGCTGAGGTGCTCTTGACCAGCGTATCCCTGCGGTCTTCACTCCTCGTCTGACCGCTTCCGCTGCCGGTGGTAGTGTTGTTGATGTTATTGGTGGTGGAGGTGTTGTTGTTGTGGCTGCCGAGCTGGACGGAGGACTGATGCAGCGAAGAAGTCGGCGAGGTCGGCGAAGCCGTGCTCCCGCCCATCAGCGTGGGATGCCTCTTCTTGAATATCCCCTTGCGCTCCTTGGGCGGGGGCACCGTCTCCGCTGCGCTCGTCATCACCCGGGGCCGCTCCCGCATCGTGGAGGCTGGTCCCATTCCAAGGCAAGCACGAGAAAAAAAGAAGCGATCACAGGAGTGAGCGAGGGAGGCGCATAGAAGAGCCACCACATCACCGCGGGCTGGTGCGGTGTGGGTACCTCGCAGGGCGTCCATGGTGGAAACGCGCTTGAGGAAGCATACGGTGATCTCCGACTGCTGGTTGAGGAGCTTTGGAGACAGGCACTGCGACAGGCGCTCGCTGCCGGCCTTGATCACATCGCCCTGTTGTTGTTGCAACAACCCCCACAACGCCTAGCTGAGTGAGCTCACCACCCACCCACTCTGCCCTGCTCTCTGCTCTGCTCTGCTTGCTCTGTGGAGTTGAGGGGGCTGCGTACGGTGTCGACAATCTTGAGGCGATACTGTCGCGACTGGGTCTGCCCAATGGTCGGATCCTCGCTGAGGATGTGATCCTGCGTGCGATCCAACACCAAGATCAGGGGGTGGAGAGATGTACGTGGATACAAGATATTATGGGCTTTTTTTCTCTGCTTCCCCCTCCACGCCAAATCGAGGTTGTACCCTCGCGGCCTGGGATGTAGTGGAGACATCAAGCTCAAACGATCTCTCCTCTCCGTTTGGCAGGCATGCCTTTGGGAGAGGGGAGGGGGCATATCAGATGATGTGGAGCTGATATCAGTAGAGGGGGGCAGGGAGGAAGTTGTAGAGGGCGCACACACCTTGATGCGAACCGTGTGGGCCATCCTCTATCTATTGTTAACTGTGTGGCGCCGCCCAAGGCGGAGCTCAGGCCTGCGTGATCGATCCCTTAGCGAGCGAACAAATAATCAACTTTGAGTTTAGCGCACTTTTTGAGTTCTCTGTTTCCTTCCTTCCCAACCGTCTCCGCATACCTTAAAAAGCTGGGAAGCTGTAAAAGGGCATGCGGACTTGCGTTTCTTTTTGTACTTCAGTTAATTCAATCGATCAATTGATTTCGCTCAAGAGTCGATCATGGATGTGCCAATTGGGGGGGGGGCAGAACAGCCTGAGGCATTGCTTGATCGCCAGGCACGGTTGTGGATTTGGATTGATCAACAAATAATAAAAAGATGGCGGGAAGAAAAGGGCGAGGAAATGTTGTGGCGATAAAATAAATATATTGGCGTGGCCCGCAACATATTACATGCGCGGCTTGTTGAGGAAGCGCAGAGCGAGGTAGGCGCCGACTCGGGTGAGCACGATCATGCCCACCAGGAAGATCACGTCGCCCCACACGTTGGTCTCGACGCCGAACTTGTCCAGGATGTCGTCGCCCGTGATCGGGTTGGCGTCGTACGAGGACGGGTTCGAGGGCGTGAAGTGGAGGCCCTTGGAGAGCTGGAACTCGTTGAGCATCGTCAGCTCGTAGCTGTACTTCACGATCGAGATCCATCGCGCCCACGCGATCCACACGGCAGGTTCTCTCTGTTGATGAAGAAGCCACCTGCAAACCTAGAGAAGAGAAGTCGTCAGCTTCTGTGGCGCCTTGTGTCGTGTCGTGTTGAGTGTGGCTGCGTACCGAGAAGAATGGAGGCGAGGACAACGATGACGGACAGGGTGAGGGCCTTCTTGACGTCGACGATGGCGGCGCCGATGAAGGTGCCGATGCCGGTGCCCATGAGGACAAACAGCCAGAGGATGACGATGTAGAAGATGAAGGTGTAGCCGTCGTTCGAGAGATCGACCATCCAGTAGGTGATCACGGCGAAGATGAACGGCAGCACGAGCTCGAGTGGCGTCTCAGCGATCGTCTTGCCCATGAAGTAGGCCGACAGCCGGTACGTGCCCGTCGCTCGCTCTTTGTTCAACACCGCGCGCTCGGGAGGGACTGCACAGCACCGCAACGTCAGCACTTGCTAAACCGCACATGCTCAACCGCACACGCACACACCGCACACGCACACAAAGAAGCGAGAAAAGCTACGTACAGGCGTAGAGTGATTGCATCCACGGGTGCATGATCCAGAACATGGTGGAGAAGAAGAGGAAACCGTTGCGGTCGCCGATGGCCGACTCCTTCTTGTCCATCTGGAACCAGAGGAGGCCCGAGAGAATCGAGATGAGCGCGATCTGGATGATGTGCGACCACGAGAGGATGTCGTGTCGCCGCTGCTTGAAGGACCGGGTGGCCATGACCCACGTCTGGGTGAAGATGCTGGTCGGGTACTTGGGACCCTTCTTCATGTCGCGCACGCCCTCGCGCTGGTCGTCGTCGATCTTGAGCGGCTTCATCGCCTCGCTCTCCTTCTCGTTGGCCGCGTAGGTGTCGATCAGCAGCTGTCGCACGGTGCGGCCGTCGTTGATCTTCTCATTCGACGTCACCACTTCGACTGTTGTGTGCGTGTGCGTGTGTGCGGTGAGTGCGTGTGTTGCATTTCAAGTGAACACGAGTGGCCGGAGACGTACGCATGAAGTCGGCGGGGTTGTAGGCCGACGGAGAGTGGAGGCCGAGGTTGGCAAAGTAGGGCAGCACGCCGGCGGCGCTGCCTGAGTAGACCACGAAGCCGCCCTCGGCCAGGAGCAGCACGTTGTCGAACATCATGAACATGGCCGACGAGGGCTGGTGGATGGTGGTCACCACCGTGTGGCCGCTCTTGGCCAGGTGCTTGAGGGACACGATCAGGCCGAGCGAGGTGGCGGCGTCGAGGCCCGACGTGGGCTCGTCGAGGAAGATGAGTGACGGGTTGTTGACCAGCTCGTTGGCGATGTTGGTCCGCTTGCGCTCGCCGCCCGACACGCCGCGCACCCAGGCGCCGCCAACGATGGTGTTCGAGCACCGCTGGATGCCCAGCTCGGTGAGAATGTCTTCGACGCGCTCGCGCTTCTCGGCCATCGACAGCTTCTTGGAGAGCTTGAGGTAGGCCGTGTAGGTGACGGTGTCGCGCACGGTGAGGTTGGGGAAGAAGATGTCGTCCTGCAGCACGTAGGCCATGCGCCGCTTGAACCGCCGGCCCTCGACCTGCTCGCCGTTCACCAGGATGTCGCCGGTCACGTTTTGCTTCACGCGACGCGCCAACACGTTCAACAGCGTCGTCTGTGCCGCGCCACAACCAATCATCGTTTAGTCAAAGACGCAAAGAACGAAAGCGATTGGCGGAAAGAAGCGAAGAAGAGAGAAGAGAGAAAGGAAACGAAAAGCGAAGGGGTCCGCGGGGCGTGGCGTGACGCAAGGTACCTTGCCGGAGCCCGTGGGACCCATGATGGCGACGACACTGCCGGGCGTGACCTTGCCGGAGACGTTGTTGAGGATTGGCACCTCCTTCTTGGTCTTGAGGTAGTTGGTGATCGTGGCTGGGATGGGCAGCTTGAAGAGCAGCTTCACGAAGAGATTCTGCGGCGGCAGCGGGATGACCACCTTGTAGTTGAGATTGCGCCACTCGAGCCCGATCGGGTACTTGGGCGGGGTCTTGGAGAACGGGCACGGCTGGTTGACCTTGGCGTACTTGGACACGATGCCCAGCTCCTCGTCGCCCATGACCTCCTCGTCGCGCAGGTCGTCGATGACCTTGCTGTCGCTGTGGTGCTGGACCTCGTCGAGCTCCACGTCTTCGACGTCGGAAGATGAAGCGGAGGAAGATGAGGAATTCATCTTTTGTGTGTGTTGTGTGGTGGAAGGAGAAAAGAGGAAGAGGAAGAGGTGGAGTGTGGTATGGCTCGGGACGTCGGTTGTGATGGAGTGAGGAAGAACCGACGCTCTCTTGAGTATGCGAAGGCAAGTGAGAACTTGGGACTGTCTTGTCCGTCTTCCAGTTTTATCCCTCGGGCCTCGGCGATTCCTTGTTGCGCCGAATGGTGGAGAGTTGCAACAAATGCGATTCGTCGGCTAGTTTGAAATCCACCAACGGCGATGATTTAAACTCGCCGACTTTATTTCTCCGCTTTTACGCGTTTGATTTCTTTTACTCGATTGTGCATTTTCCGTTACGGGAAGCCACCACTCACCAAAACACCCGATCAATACGAACGTCCTCCTGTTGGTCGGGATTTATTTAAATTTCCTCGGGAATATTTTATAAACCCGACGCACCGAGGGGAAAATTCGGGTTGTAAGTTTTGACCCCAAGAGCAACTTACAGTCGCCGAACGAGGCCTAAAAAAAGTCATAATAGGTCAACGTTGCGCACACCTCTGTCGCACGTTGTGTGCATGTCGACAAACGAAATTCACCAACCTGTCTGTATGTGTAGGCAGACACTTTGGGAAGCGGCCCGCCGGAAAAAAAGAGCTCACTTACGGTGGCGAGTTTCGGCCCTTGGAGAGTTCTGAGACTGTAGTGCCGTCGACTGGGAGAGGGTGTTTCATTATTTGTTGAATTTTTTTGTGGTGATGAAAGGGGTGAGATGTAGGCCAAGGCGGCGACCCACTCCTCCCACTGGGGGGAAGGTGAGTGAATAGCCCGGCTCCACTCTCGCGACCACTTAGCCCAGCGCGCCGTGGCAGGCGGTACCCCAGCGACGAAGACCGCCCCCTCACTGAAGAGGTCGAGACACGCTGCAACTCTATAAGTCGCTTGGCTTTGTGTGAAATGACTATGGTTCTACATGGCGTGCTCCTGCCCTTTACATACTCTGTCCTGCTCCTGCTGCATTGTGGGATTGATGGAGGAAAAAGATACGAAGGAGTTATTACACATGTGTAATAGAGACAAAAGTTATTCATTGCTGTGACCACGCACCAGTGGGCTCAGTCTTGCGATTGCAGACTCGTCGGCGCCTCCAGGTCGGAGTGCTCCACCGAGGAAAGGGCGGCTCGCGACTCGAGGAGTCCGAGCTCCTCGTCGCCGCCGGCGAGTGCGGGAATTTCGAGGCGCTGCTGCAGCACCATCTTATAGCCTCGCCCGCCGAAGCTCTGCAGTGCGCGGAGGTCCTGACCGTCAGTGCACCACCGCACATACGCACACGCGCACACACTCGCACACGCGGGCTACGATGACAGCGGAGAGTACCACGGCCGGGTGGAGCGGCTCGAGGCACGACTGAAGGTCGGGGTCGTCGTGCGCCGGGGCAATCTGGCGCCCGTTCAGGAAGAAGGCCAGCCGTCCGCGCTGCAGGTCGACGTAGATCCCCACCCGGTCGCCCTGCCTGTAGGCCCACGCCGACTCCCCCGTGACGAGTTCGGGTCCCGGCACCAGGCGGCCGGGCTGGTTGAAGTAGAGCAGCCCTCGGCTCACCCAGCCCCAGCTTCGCCACTTGGCGCCCACGCCACTGCCACAACGCGATCAGGTTGAGCTCAAAAACGTAACGCGCTCGTTCCTTAGATAGAGGTCACGAGCGGTAGTACCCGATGGGGATGGAGGAGGCTTCGACGGACCGCTCTGCGATGCCGAAGCAGAGCGAGCGGCCGCGTCCCTGCTCCACCAGCACCTCCACGTAGTTCGGCCGCGTCCGCCGCAACGGCTCTCGCGTGATCCTGTTCAGCTGCACGTAGAGCAAACATTTATTACATGATGATTATTTATTTATTTATTTATTTATAATTTATAATAGTTGTTGAGGGGTAAGAGAGGGCACGCACGTAGCCACTGCGTTGGCTGTAGTCGTCGCTGCTGGCGGCGACGAGGTGGTGTGGCGGCTCATCGTTGTACTGTAGCGTGGGCGCGCTGGGCCGCCAGCGGAAGGAGGGCGGGGTGCGCGGCAGGAAGCGCTCGAACATGTACACCACCACCTCCAGCGGCAACCGACCCCACAGCTGCTCGCCCCCCTCATCATCTTCCACATCAACGCGGTCTGGTCCGCCAGCAGTGGCAATGCCGTGCTTGCGGGCCAGCAGAATAAGCGAGGCCACCGCCAAGAAGTCCTCCTGCGTGCGCCACTTCATCTACATGAACTGATGTACTGCCGTACTGCACTTGAACTTGACGGAAATGTTGCGGTTTTGCTTTTTGAAGAAGGCCTAAAACGAGAGGGCAACAGCTCATGGTGGGCAGACATCGGCTTCGACGATGAGGGCCTCCTCGCCGGTGGTCTTGAAGCTGCCGTACTGCTCGTTCCACTCCTGCAGCGACGCCAGGTCCTTCTGCGACACGCTCGGCCGCACATGGTCGAACGCCGACACGAAATCCTGCGCACATGACAAGCACGCACACGCACACACGCACACGCGTGTAGCGCACGTTGGCACAACGTGGTGTGGTGTGGTGTGGTGTGTGATGGTTAAAACGCACGTCGTAGCCGATGGGACGGATCTGGTCCTCGGACAGGTTCATGAGCAGCTCGGGCTCGAGGTTGCGGATGGGTCCCATGGCGGCCTCGGCGCACAGGGCCTTGATGTCCGAACCCGAGTAGCCCTGCGCACGCGCCACCACCGTGTCGACGTGGTCGTCGCTGAGGTTGGTCTGCAGCGAGTGCAGGTAGTGCAGGATCATCGACCGGCGGGCCAGGGTGTCGGGCAGCGGGATGTAGAGTCGCTTGACAAGCCGACGTCGCGCGGCCTCGTCGATCTCGGCCGGCCGGTTGGTGGCGCCCACGACGAGGAGCTTGTCCTCGCCTGAGCAGGCGGCGCCATCGAGCTGGATGAGGAACTCGGTCTTGAGCCGCCGCGTGGCCTCCTGGTCGTTCTCGCTTCGCTGTGTGAGAATGGAGTCGATCTCGTCGATGAAGATCACGGCCGGCTGCAGACATCGAGCCACCGCAAACAGTGCCCTCACTGTTTTCTCGCCCTGTACCACGTGTCGTGTCGTGGTCAATAGGTATCGACACGAGTCAAACCAGAATCGCACTCCGTGTGTGAAGGGCCGATTACCTCTCCAATCCACTTGCTGGTGAGGGAACTTGCCGAGATGGCGAAGAACCGTGCACCGGACTGACTGGCGATGGCCTTGCCGATCATCGTTTTGCCGGTACCGGGCGGCCCGAAGAGAAGGATGCCCTTGGGCGGCGTTCGAATGCCGCGGAAGAAGTCGGGACGCAGGAGCGGCAGCACCACTGCTTCCTTGACGCACTTCTTTGCAAAAGCCAGTCCAGCTACACAACACAACACAACATGAGCATAGGAAGAATGAAAACGGTTGAGGCCAGGTGGTGCGTGTCTGGTACCGATATCGTCCCACCCGACGGCAGGGCTGTGATCGAGAATTTCGCTGCAGATGCGCTCGACCATGATGGGGTCGATGAACTTGAGCTTCTCGTTCGCCAGCAGCTCTTCCAGCAGAGGATTGTTCTCGGTGTTGGGCTTCCGCTCGTCACCGTCGTCATCGTCGCCCCGCCTCTGCTTCTTAGCTGGCCCGCTGCAGACAGAGAGCGGGAGTGTCTTCGTCAATAACGTTCGAAGCACACAGGCGACGATAATTAGAGGTGGTGGTGATGGTACCGTCCGTCGTCTTTGTCGTCTTTGCCCTTGAACGGTGGGTTGAACCCTCGCTTGCCGCGCAGGCCCGAAGGACGCGCGTTGGGCTGTGCGTTGCTGCCTCCGTTGGCCGACGACGAGTTGCTGCTGCTGCCGCCCCTCGAGCTGAGCCCCTTTTGCTTGTCGTCTTTGTCCTGCAAGCGACGCCCATAGAGAGTGAGCAAGCGGGCGCACGAACCGGCGAATGTTTTTGCGTAAACGGTGCGCAGTACGGTACCAGCTTCTCGCGGGCGCTCATGAAGGCTTCCTTCTTACTGGCCTTACTGTCGTCCTGACCGTCCTCCTCCATGTCGATAAGGTTGTCGTCGTCGGGCGAGTCATCCTGCCGATTGTTGTACCGGTTACGTCCGTAGTTGATTTGTCGTCTTCGACCACCGCCTGCAGGTGGAGCGCCGGCCTGTGGTTTCCCCGTCTACACTCACCACCATCAAGAACACAACTTCTGTGTGAGGCGGCCGTAGAAGCTTCATGCGAAACTGGAGAATGAGACGTACGGAGCGATCGCCATTGTTGCGGGCCAACGACGGCGCACTGCCACCGCTGTTGCTACTACCTCCGGCGTGGGAGTAAGAAGACGAGGACGAGGACGGATACGAGGTTGAGGAAGGTGCTGGCATCTTGCCTCGGAGCGATGACGCAGCCGGCGCAGCAGTATACGAAGAAGAGGAGGAGGAAGGTGCTGGCGCGGTGGAGGTAGAGGTAGATGTTGAAGTAGATGTTGAAGGAGAAGGGGCGGCGAGGGCAGCGTGTAGCCACGGTGTGCGGACGGAGGCAAGCAGGGTATCGACAGAGAGGGTGCCCGACGGTGGGCAGTGGAAAAGGGGGCGACCCGCTCCCGGCAGCGTGCCTTCCCTTCGCTCGATATCAAATGCAGTGCAGGAGAGCAATTTGGTTCTACGTTCCTCCTGATCTCGTCCTCCGGCATCCTTCGTCGCCTGCAGCTTGCTGCACACCTCTCGCTTTAGCCTACGCACCGCCCCTGGTATTGCAGGAGCGCCGGGGCTTGTTTCTCGTCTTGAGGAGGAGGAGGAGGAGGAGGAGGTCGTCGACGCAGCTGCGGTTGCGTTCCATTTGTGATTTCTATTTTCCTCCAATTCGAGCAGGCCGAGGAGGCGATGGCACGTCTTCATAGCCTCGGGCCAATTCTGCTCTACATTCGATTCGCCCAGGTGGCCTTCCGCCTGGCGCACCAAGCGTTGGTACGTGTGAAGCGCCTGCCGATCCTGCACATTCATTCCGCCTGCCTAGCGTCCTCGTCGCGGATCTTGCGGCTGTGATTTACAAACCGTTTTCTCTTCGCGCCATAATTCTGGCATAATTCATTTATTCCTAGAATTATTTGGTGGGCTCTGTGGCGACAGGTGTGGCAGTGTAATGTCCTGCTTTGCAGTGTGGCAGCAGTGCCATACAAGAACATCTCCACAGAAAGTTGGGGTAACAGCTTATAGATTCTGTTACCTTGGCACCCTCCAGGTGCAGGAAGAAATTCCAGAATTGGAAGACTTTTGCCCCATGGCATCTTCACTGTTCTTCTCTGCTTCTCTCTTTCTTCACCAAGTGTACTTGCATGGAGGCAGGCAACAAAATAAAAAACAACAAACTTTGGTGCAGGCCAAACCCAACACAAGTGTCTCTCCCCCTGTGTGTACTGGAGGTAAGCTGTACTTGTCTATTTACTATGTGAACAACAAGAGGAGGCCAGATCTTCTTGCTCTTCAGTCAACTTGCTGTTTTGATGGATCTACTTACTTAGCATACTTCTTGGTCCACTCCTTGGCGGTCTTGTTGAACGCCGTCCTGTTCTCCTTGAACTGCTGGGCAATCTCAGGCTCAAGAGGGTTGTCTGCATGTTTGGGGGTAGCCGCGGTGAGCTCAATGTTAAATGTACAAAATGGCGAAAGTGGGGAAGATTTACCAGGGTTGGGCTCCACAAGAACCTGCCTGATGGTCATCAGCACCTCTGGGATCTTGAGCTGTGGGCTCCAGCCGTCGTTGAGCACCTCGTTACACAGCTGGCCATCGCTCTTGACGTTGGGATGGTAGATCTTCGTCAAAAACTTGACCTGCGAGTAAATGAGGAGCGCATTGGCAGAGAGAGAATTAGTCGCGTTGCCGACCAGAATTGCATGCCCTGCGGCAAGACGACGCTGGTACCTTTGGTGCCTTGAAGGGGTACTCGGGAGGCATCTCGAGCTCCAACGAAAAGCTGCCCTTCTCGTAGGGCGTCTTCTCCTGCGGTTGCGAAAAGATAAATGGGTAAGTTCATCGAGTAGCCTCACACGCAAACTCTCGCAAGAGCGAACAGGAAAAAGCTGCGTGAATGCAGGTGGGATGGCGTACAGGCCCTCGATGATAGCCTTCCATTTGTACAAATTGTCTCCAACCGGGCCAGCAGACGCCCAGGGAAGGGGTCCCTTCTCCATCTCCTTCAATTCCTTCGCCAATCTCTTCGCCGAGGCTCCAGCCATTGTGCGCTTGCTGCTCTATTTACGATGTACGGACGAGTGAGGCGTGGCAGCAGATGCGAGGTTGTAGTGCGCTGAAAGTAACAATAATCTGGGCCACCCAATTTTTTCAGCTTGGTGACTTTTTGCTGAATTATTTTCTTAGGTGAGATCCGAAATATTTGCGAAATGATTGCGAAAAGAAAAGCAATCAGCCCACTGCGGCCGAAAGCCCGGCGAGGCAAGAGGAGTGTGCAAGCAAAAGCGCGTTTGCAGCAATAGGAGGTACGCGTGTAGGGCTGGAAGAGCGTTTGTACATTTGGCCTTCTCTAAGGTCTTCTCCGTCCGCCACATAAACACAAACACCCGAAGTTCCCTCTCACACTGGCGTAACCGGGAGCGAGTTCCCGACTACACGCTTGCCCCTGAGTCGCGCACCCAGGCGCGCTCGTCCGATAAGCCTCCTCTTCTGGCCTCGCTCCGCTCGAAAAGCAGCCGTGGCCTTGCGGTTGCTGCACGTTCCCAACCGTCGACCTTCGTTCCATGTTGTCAGCAATCCCCTGTCGTTCTTGCCGGCCTTTCGAACGTGAACGAAGAAGGTCGGAGCTCCTCCTGCTCGGTTCTTGCCCACCTCTCCTGCCGAGCCGCTTCGGTTGATGTTGACCCCTCGCCCCGCACCGTCGTTTCTTCTCCGTGTGGCCCCCTTCGTCCAGCTCATCTTGTTGCCCATGTTGCTTGTGTTCTTGGTTGTTGTTGTTTGGTGGAGGTTGTTGTTCGTTGTGTTCTGCGCTCTTGGGTTTTGTGGTCTTTCCCACCGTCACCTCCAGATGGCATGACCGCGCGTCTTCAACAAGACACCTCCTCTCAATCTCTTGACACTTTCAGTTGGCATTGACCACAAACCTAACTGAACCAAACTGTTCGCCGACCGTCCTCCTTTGGCAAGGGACACGCGTCCGTCTCAAAAATAGAAATAAAAGTGATTTTAAATTTAATAGAATAGAATAGAATAAAATAGAATAGAACAAAATGATACCTTTATTTATATTGAGCTGCAAGGTGAGAGCAAGATGCAAACGAGCAGGGAAGGCGGTGGTGGGCTGGTGATGCAAAAGCACACCGACATCAGCCTCACGCGCATCCAGAACTTCAAGACGCGTTTCCTCCAGCCTCGGCTCTACCCCAAGGGGGCGAGCTGCCAACCGACCGTACTCGTCGTGCACGAGCCTGAGGGCACCTCCCGCCCCTCGTACGCCCAGGTCGCTGCCCTCCCTGTCGACGCCTTCCACGATGCCCACCTCGGCGGTACTCCCCTTTTTCATCTTCATCTTCATCTTCTGTTTTTTCTTCAGTATTGCCGCTACTCGAGTTTGTGCTGACCTCGTTGATATAATCAAGACTCCTTCGGTCCCATCTGGGCGACCAAGTGGTTCCGCGTAGTGTTCACCATCCCAGCCGAGTGGAAGGACCACGAGGTACGCCGGCAGCTCGAAACGAACCTTCGCTCTGGCTTTTGTGTTTTCTCTGGTTAATGAGCACTGACCTCTTCTTGTTCTTGTTCTTCTTCTTGTTCTTCTTGCGTCTTCTTCGCGGGCAGGTTCACTTCCTGTGGGACTCCAGCTCCGAGGCGCTGCTCTACATCGACGGCGAGCCGCTGCAGGCGTTCAATGCCGCCGACGGCGCCGACAAGAAAGCCGAGTTCGTGCTCAGGAAGAAGGGCCAAGTCAAGGTTTTCTTCCACCTCAGCTCCCTCTTCTTCTTCCTCCTCCTCCTCTCCTTCTCACACAGCATACTTGACTACAAGCTGATGCTGGTGCTGAGGCTGCCGCTTTGTATTGAACTGCACCGCATACACAGGACGGAGGCGAGGAGGTGACGCTGTACCTGGAGATGGCGTGTAACGAAATGTTTGGCGTGGGGTCCGGCTGGACCTGCGGCCCCGACCCGCCGGATGAGGGCAAGACCTTCGCGCTCAAGACCTGCAAGCTCGCCCCCTTCGACGTCCGCGCGTGGGACCTCCTCTGGGTATGCACACGCACACGCACACGCACGCACGCACACGCACACGCACACGCACACGCACACGCACACGCACACGCACACGCACACGCACACGCACACGCACACGCACACGCACACGTGTTGACTGATGCGTGCAAGTCGTATTAGTGGGTAGCCTGATCTACACATCAATCCCCTGCTTATGTGTAGGACCTCGACATCATATCGGACATGGCCAAGCACGTGGGCGTGGACACAGTTCGCGGCGCGCAGGCCCTCTACGTTGCCAACTTGATGGTAAAACCACAACTCTGATCTCGTTTGGCGTACCAGTTTCGAAGCTCACAATGTTCGTCGTTCTCCGCTCCCTTGTGCCTTATCAGGTGAACATCGCCACGGAAGACCCCGAGACCTGGGCGGTCGCGCGGGAGGCCGGTCGGGAGTTCCTCGCCCAGGCCAACGGCGATTCGGCGTTCGACCTGTACGCCGTCGGACACTGCCACATCGACACTGGTACGTTTCATGGCACCACCGAACCCTAGCCAAAGTAGTTGATTCTGGGAGTGGGCGCTCACTCTGCTTTGCCTGTTGTAACTCTCTCCCACCAGCGTGGCTCTGGCCCTACGCGGAAACGCGCCGGAAGACGGCGAGAAGGTGAGCTCCCCACCCACCCACCCACCCACGCTGTGATGCTGGTGAAGTGTGTTGAACATGTTGGGGCTGACCACCGCTGTTCGTTGATCGTCACGTGGGCCATCATCAGCTGGGTCACCCAGATGCAATTCATGGAGGACTACCCGGAGTACAAGTTCGTGGCCTCGCAGGCCCAGCAGTACGAGTGGCTCAAGCAGGTACACCACTACTGGGCCGGCCATCGCATCTCAGCTGCGGCCATCATCAACCCAACTCAACTCAATGTACGCGTGGTCTCGCTTTGTCGCCTTGCTGCACAGGACTACCCGTCCGTGTACGAGCGCCTGAAGGCCAAGGTGGCCTCGGGCCAGTTCCTCCCCGTGGGCGGCACCTGGGTGGAAATGGTAAAATCTCGCTCCCCTTCGCCTCTTCCTTATCTTATCGAAGCAAAAAAGAACGAATAACTGACATTCCTTGTGATTCCTGCCGTGGCGGCGTCCAGGATTGTAACATACCGAGCGGAGTACGTCGTGACCTTTGCTCCCGCTGCGGCCGCAGCGACTGTGCGCTAACGCGTTGGTGTTCGTACGAATAGGAATCGCTGGTCCGTCAGTTCCTCTTCGGTCAGCAGTACTTCAAGCGCGAATTCGGCGCCTACTGCACCGAGTTCTGGCTGCCCGGTACGCGATATCCCTCTTCTCTTCTGTCATCGCCCAGGACTCACTCCTGCGGCAATCGCACGCGCACACAAAGACACGTTTGGCTACGCCTCGCAGCTGCCTCAGATCATGAGCCTCGCCGGCATCAACTCGTTCCTCACTCAAAAGGTCAGTCGTCGCACTCACCACCGCCCCTCAGCACTCCACGCCCCTCCCTTTTTCTTGTTGTTCTCACCTCATTTTCGACATCCACCACACACACCACGCAGTTGAGCTGGAACCAGATGAACAAGTTTCCCAACTCCTCCTTCCTGTGGGAAGGCGTCGACGGTACGCGGCACCGCTGCCCTCTACACAGGACTGTGGCCCGCGTCTGACTCCTCGGGGGAATCTCAGGCACGCGCGTGATCACCCACTTCCCGGCCGCTGATACCTACTGCGCCCACGCCAAGGTGGAGGACGTCCTGAAGAGCGCCACCAACTTCAAGGTTTGGTGACCACTCGTCGTTTGGGGGTGGAGCCGCCGCATTCCGTGCATTCCACACTTTGCGTGTGTGTGCGGGAGGGCTTACTTGGTGGCGGTGGTACAGGACAAGGGCAGGACCAATGCGGGCATGCTGGTCTTCGGCCACGGCGACGGCGGCGGCGGACCCGACCGCGGCATGCTGGAGCGCCTCCGCCGTCTGAAGAACGTGGACGGTATGCCGCGCGTGCAGATCAAGCCTCCGGTCGATTTCTTCACGCGCATCGCTGCCGACGCGCACCGCATGGTCGTCTGGGTCGGCGAGCTGGTACACGCTTCGCTGTGTGTGTGTGTGTGTGTGCGTGTGTCGCGTGTGTTGTATCTGACATAGCAACTGTGACACCAGTATTTTGAGTTGCACGGGGAACCTACACGACCCAGGTACGCTGCGATGGACCACCCTCGCATCACACTTCATCTGGCGGTGTACTGGACAGTTGGTGATGAGGGTGAACCGTGTCGTCGCAGGCCAAGAACAAGCTGCACAACCGCAAGACCGAGTTCCTGCTGCACGACATCGAGTTCTTGTCCGCCGTCGCGCAAGCCGTCCAAACGGCGGAGGGCCACGGTACCATACATACGCTCCTCCTCCTCCTCCTCCTCGCTCGATTTGGCCCTGTGGGCTCCCCCCCCCACCATAGCTTCCTCTCACCCGGTCTTCCCCTTCTCTTCGGTCCCACGAAGCGTACGCCTACCCTGCGGAGAAGCTCGCGGAGCTGTGGAAGCTCGTGCTGCTCAACCAGTTCCACGACGTCATCCCCGTAAGTTCCCCCTTTCTCTCGCTCTCACTCGCCACACGCACTCACGCACACGCACTCACCGCACACGGCACTCACCGCACACGCGCGATCTTATGGACAGGGATCGAGCATCAAGGCCGTGTATGAAGACTCGGACCAGCACTACGCTCACGTCTATGCCGAGGGCGCGAAGCTGTTGGCTGCCGGACTGGCCCACCTCTTCGGTCCCCCTCTCTCGGCCCACGGGTACTCGTTCCCGCCCCTTGCGCTGCTCACACACACACACATACACACATCTAAACTGTGCGTGTGCGGTGATGTGTGTGTGCGTGCAGAGCTGCGGGTGAGGGGGCGTTGGTGACGGTAAACACCACGAGCTACTGTCGCAAGGAGGTGGTCGAGGTCGACGCCAGCCTGCTGCCGACTGGTACGCCTAACTGTGTGCTTGTTCTCTCTCCGCTGCCCTGTGTGCTCTGGCTGACCTGACACGCACGCACGCACGCACGCACAGCCGCGCAGGTGGTGGGCGCTAAGGCGCTCGTCGCAGTGACGCTGCCGCCCTACGGCTTCGCCGCGTCCAGCTGTACGCTCTTCCGCACCTTCGTCCACGAGCGAGTGCTAACGCGGCTGCTGCGTAACTGGGACCACCACCAGTCGCCGACCTGGGCGCAAAGGCGAGCGGCGAAGGCGAAGGCGAGCTCTCGGTGTGCGTGGGGCAGCGGGACGGCCTCACGGTGCTCGAGAACTCGTTCGTGCGCGCCGTGTTCGAGCTCTCGGGCGCGCTGGTCTCCTTCTACTACAAGCCGCTCGAGCGCGAGGTCCCCAACACCCAAAAACCACCACTTTTTGCTGCTTCCATTCCCTCAATTTCATCGCATGAACCGTGTTTGGTGGTGGTGGCGTCTACGCAGGTCGTGCCCGAGGGCCGTGTGGGCAACAAGCTGGTCCTGTTCGACGACAACCCGCAGTACTGGGACGCCTGGGACGTCGACGTGTACGCCTCACCTCTTCCCTCGTCGCCCACTGCTCGTCCGGAGGCTCCCGCCCGCCTGACTCTGTGTGTGTCGTGTGTGTGTGTGTGTGTCATGTGTGTCGTGTGTGTCGCGTGTCGTATGTGTGTGTGTGTGTGTGTGTGTGTGGTGCTAATTAGGTACCACCTGGAGAAGCGCTTCGAGGTGGGGCCGGCGGAGTCGATCACCGTCGTGGAGAAGGGTCCGCTCAGGGCGGCCGTCGAGGTCACCTTCAAGCTGAGCGCCACCAGCACCGTCAGGCAGCGCATCGTGCTCACCGCCTTCTCCTCGCGCCTCGACTTCCAGACCCACGTACGCCCCCTTCATCTCGATTGCATCTATTCATCGGTGTGTGCGGTGTGTGCGGTGTGTGCGGTGTGTGCGGTGTGTTGGCTGACACTCGCGCCGGGTTGGGGGGAATGACGCGCAGGTGGACTGGCACGAGAAGCACAAGTTCCTCAAGGTGGAGTTCCCGGTCGACGTGCGCAGCTCGCAGGCCACCTACGACACGGCCTTTGCCCACATCCAGCGGCCCACCCACTTCAACACCACCCAGGAGCTCGCCAAGGTACACGACACGACACGCACGACACAACACGACACACGACACGCACCACGACACGCGACACTCATCTCGCAAACCCGCGCAGTTTGAGGTGTGCGGCCACAAGTGGGCGGACCTGTCGGAGTCGGGCTTCGGCGTGGCGGTCCTCAACGACTGCAAGTACGGCTACGCGACCCACGCCAACGTCATCCGCCTCTCCCTCCTCCGCTCCCCCACCTCCCCCGGTACGTCCCCCATCGCGACTCGTTCGGCGCCCAATTCGCCGGCGCGTCCGGCTCACCGCATGCTCTGTACAGACCCGACGGCGGACATCGGCGAGCAGGCGTTCACCTACGCGCTCCTGCCCCACGCCGACTCGTTCCAGACGGGCGGCGTCATCGAGGAGGCCTTCAAGCTCAACGTACCTCCACCACCATCTTCATCTTCAATTTCCACACCACTCTTCTGACCAGTACTGACCACCATCACCACCACTCGCACAGGCGCCGCTGCTCACGCACGTCAGCGCGGGAGTGACGGCCGTGGCGCCGTCGCTGGCCGCCAGCGCGTCGTCTACGCAGCAGCAGCGGCAGGGCTGTCTGTTCTCGGTAAGCCACCCGTCGGTGGTGCTGGAGACGGTCAAGAAGGCCGAGGAGGCGGGCGCTGCTGGGTCGTCGCTGGTGCTGCGCGCGGTGGAGTCGTGGGGCGGCCGCAGGAAGGTCCGCATCCACTCCCACCTGCTGCGCCCGGCGCGCGTCACCCGCGTCAACCTGCTCGAGGAGCCCGAGGCGGCGGCGGCGGCCGACGCCGAACCGCTCGAGTGCAAGGAGGAGGGCGTGATCGAGCTCGTCTTCAAGCCCTTCCAGATCATCACCCTCAAGCTCGACCTCCACTAGCCACCCAACCCCTTACATCATGTACCATCATGTAACCACGTTATTACATGATGTGTTGTGCATGTTGGCAACAACATAGCCAGTGGTTTCACGCCACGGTGTCGTCGGGTGCCGCCGAGGTCTCTACGTCCATCTTGCCTCGGTGGTGGCCGCTCTCCTGCTCGCCTTCTTCCTCCTCCTCCCGGGTTTGAGTCGGGCCTTCGGGTGATGGGGCGGCGGCGGCCGGTGGTGGCATGGCCTCCTTCGTCTCCTCCTCCACTGAGGTGGTCGCGTCCTGCGCCTCGGCCAACATGTCTCGCTCCTCCGCAGCCGCCTCGCCGCCACTCGCCTCCTCCCGTGCGTCCCTCATCTCGGGCTCGGCCTCAGGCTCGTGCTCCTCTCGCTGCTGCTGCTGCTGGTGGTGGTGGTAATCGTCGTGGGGCGGGTAGTGATGGTCTTCGTCGATGTAGCCGCCGTCTGTCGGGTGGGCCTCCAGCTTGATGCCCAGGTACTCGAACAGGAACGGCGCGTTTTGCTCGTGCACCCGATCCGCGACCCTGTCCAGCAGCTGCGGAGATCGCACACACACGCACGCACGCGCCCCCCAGGTCAGCGCTGCGTGTGTGCGTCTCGTGTTGTGTGTTGTGTGTGTGTTGTGTTGTGTGTGTCGAGTGTTGCCGTACCACTTCGTAGACGGGTCGGACCTTGTCCCGGTCGCGCACGTCGGAGGTGGCTTGCTGGAGATAGTTGATGATTTCCTGCGGTGGTGGTTTTGTGGTCGCATCGCACGACACACATCTGAGCGTAAGTGTCGCGTGTGTCGTGTGTCGTGTGTGTCGTGTGTGTCGCGTGTAGTGCCGGGAGCACGCGCACCTGTGCCGAGAAGCGAGTATGGCGCGCGAGGAGGTATCGGAGGAACTGCTTGTGGGTGGTGGGCGACGCGTGGATGTGGTGCACCAAAAACTCGTCGACCACCAGCGTGTGCATCGCCTTATCCTACGTTGGCCCCAAACAAGCGGTGAGTGTCGTGTCGTGCCGTGTCGTGGTGCGTGTCGTGTCGTGGTGCGTGTCGTGTCGTGTCGTGTCAGTACGTTGGTGGCGAGGAGCTGTGTGACGAGCGATTGCACGAAGCAGGGCTCGTCGGCGAGTATGGCCCGGTCGATCTTGTCCAGCACCTGCTTCACCGAATCCGCGTCCTTGGCCTGCACGCGCGTCAGGACGTAGTAGAGCGCGACCTTGCGTGCGAGGGCGTTGGACTTAAAGATGGCCTCGAAGTCGGGGTCGAGCTCGGAGGCGGGCTCGTCCTCCTCGGCCACCATGTCCTCCAGCATCTTGCGCGCCATGATCGGAAAGAACGTGTGCAGCACCTCCGTGTCCGCCTCGGGAATCTGCGTTGCATGTGAGTCATCGCGCGTCGTGTCGTGTCGTGTCGTGTCGTGTGTCGTGTCGTGTGTCGTGTGTCGTGTCGTGTCGTTGGTCGTGTGTCAACAGAGTAGAGGTACCTCAAAGTTCTGGTGTTCGATGATGTCGCGTGCGAGAAGACCCAGCGAGAGGAGTTGGGCTATGTACTTGAGGTTGGCGTTCTCCGATGGCAGTTTCTCTGTCGGTTCCGCACAATTTAAACACGACACACGACACACGACACACGACACACGACACACGACACACGACACACGACACACGACACACACACGTTCCCGTACCTTGGTCCACGATCTCGTTGAGGAGGTTGAAGATGTTGGTGAGGAGCGTGTTGGTACAGTTGGGGTCGTTGATGATCATCGCCAGATCGCCCAGCACGGGGTCGCCCGCGGGGATGGCGTCGAAGTAGGTCTGCATCTCCTTGATGCGCCGCTCCTCGACGATGTGGTCGCGCACGCACGCGTCCATGCACCACGCGAACTTGTGGCACGGGTCGATATCGTAGATCTGTCGTCGTATTGTGTGCGCCGCCAGTTAACTGAGTCCTTGCAAGTGTGTCGTGTGTGTGTGTGTGTGTGTGTCGTGTGTGCGTGTGTGTGTCGTGTGTGTGTGTGTGTGTGTCGTGTGTGCGTGTGTGTCGTACATCTGTGACGCCTCGATCGTGGAGGGCCATCAGCAGTTCGGAGCGCAGGCTACAGAAGTGGAGGTCCCGATTGGTTACGAACAGCGTGCGGAAGAAATGGAGCATCTGAATTGTGTCGACACGGCACACACGGCACACACGGCACACACCGCGACGACGAGGTTCAACACATACGAGTCAGGGGGGATTCGTGACAATGCCAAGTGCTCAGCGGCAGTGCTCCCCGCCTCGGGCTGCTGCTTTACTTTGTTGTAGAGCCCGACCGACTTGCCGACGATCTGCACGAGCTGCTGCAGGATGTAGTTGTGCTCCCGCCTGCGGCCACACAAACCAAAACGGTGTCGTGTCGTGTCGTGTTGTGTCGTTGGTCGTTGTGTCGTGTCGTGTCGTGTCAGCTGACAAACACGACAAGCGAGTGCGGTGGTAGTGGTGGGCACCTTCGTCGGGGTGCGACCAGGTCCTCGGTGGAGATGAGCATTTCGTTGATGGGCGCATCGAGCTCGGTGTTGATGTACTGGTTGAGCAGCGGGAAGACCCGCCCCTTGAACAGCTCCTCGTCGATCTGCCAGATCTGTCGCTGGACCTGGATGGGGCAGATGGCGTAGATCTCGGGCTTGGCCCCGATCCTGCGCAGGTACGTGGCCGGGATGTTGGGGTGCCGCTTCAGGATGGCCAGGGGAATGTCCCGCAGCTCCTCGAGGCCTGGCCACCGCCCACCATCACATGTGAGCAAGACGTGTGTGCGTGTGCGTGTGCGTGTGCGTGTGCGGTCGTGTGTGTGTGTGTGTGTGTTGTCTCTACCGATGTAGGGGAAGGTGGTCTCGAGCAACCGCTCCAAGCCGTCGATGGGCAGGGAGTCTATGCGATCGGTGAGCTTGGCACGCAGCTGGGACAAGACGCTCACATACACCTCTGCGCGCGACACCTAGACCATACGTTTACGTTTGTGTGTTAGCACGTTGTGTGGTGCGTTGCGGAGTTGGAAAGGTGTGTGGCAAGAGATGGAAACCTTGTGCAGATCGAGAAGATCCAACACGGGCAACTCTGACCGCTTCCTAAGGGAGCATAAGGAAGGGTTAGGCACTGCCCTTCATATTTGTTAATCCCAAAATAAAATAATAAAATAAAGAGGCGAGTAGAGCATAATCGTAAAAATCAAAAAAATCAAAATGATCAAGAGATGAGCGAGTACTCTTCGTGCGGCAACTGGAGGCCGTAGCTGTGTTGAATCTCTTCGAATACTTTTTTGGGCGGCTTGGTGCTGAGTTCGTTTCGAATGTGATCGCTCCCTACCTCGCCCACCAAAAACTTACGGCCACCAGCAGGTGATGGTGGAGAGACGCTCCTGGTGCTCGCTCCCGTTGACAGTCCCTCTTCTCTGCCTCCGATCGGCGCGCCATTGGCCCGCGATACACCTTCCATCTCCATCTCTGGCGAAGCCAATTTGTTAAAATAAATGCCCAGATTGAATTTTATTTTATTTTTCAACCAGGCGAAATGAGCAAGCGGGGCTGTCTGCTATTAGCAATCTCTGTTCCTGATGATGGCCCACGTGGCCATGTTGCGTACGAGGAACGAGGCTAGCATGAACTGGTTGGGGCTCACCTCTCGGACGGTGCCCTCTGTTGCGAGGAACTTGCACATCCAGAGGTCCTCCTCCGTCACAGCGGCGACCACGGGGAGGTGGTCGGGAGGAGTTGGGTCCTGCAGCAGGAAGTTGTTGGTCAGGTAGTGGCGGGCTTTTATGTGCTCTGGCTTGTCGCTCAGTTGGTGATCTGCCAGGCCGGCCGTGGCCCAGCTCGCGCACAGCCTGGGCAAGAGCTGCTCGGCGGCGTAGCTCACCCAGCTGTCGTAGGCCACCTTTCTGGTCCCCGTGGCCAGGTGCTCTGCGATCATCTTGCCGCAGAAGCAGACATGGCCCGGGTGCCCACTGGTGAGGTCATAGATAGCGTCGGCTATCCCAGGGGCCAGTTCGACGTTGGACTCGCGTGAGTACTGGTTGAACAGCTCGCGAACGTGGTTGCGCTCGAACATCGGCAAGGCGAACGCATCGCACGCGTTGAAGGGAGACGAGGGGTGGTCCTGGAGGTTTAGTATGCTGTAGGGTCCTACTCCGAAGAAGGCGTGCAGGCCGTGGCTGGCCTCGGACTCGCGCATGGCGCGCAGTGTGCCAAGGAACTGGTCCCTGACCAGATCGGCCGCATTGTTCAAGAGATCGAACTGGTCGACGATCAGGACCACCTTACGTGAAGCCCACGGCTCCCGGGAGAAGAAGGCGATGAAGGTCTGGGCGTCGTGGATCTGGTCCACGTCATCATCAGCCGTGTTGCCCAGGTGGCGTTGGATGAACCTGCCCATCGCCGTCCAGAACTCAGCTACGAGCTCAAACGGGATGCCTTCCTGAAGAGAGATCATGGCACACTCATAGCCTTCGTTCGCCAGCTGGTCGCGCAGTTGAAGTAGGCGAGTGGTCGTGCCGCCACGGGGAGTTCCGTGCGCCAGGACGTAGCTGCGGCTCGCCACTCCGCCCCGGTTGGTGGTGAGCAAGCTAGCCAAGGAGGCGTTGCCCGCAGTGGTGTTAATGAAGAAGACGTGGTCTCGCTCTTGAGGGTAAATGGCGTTGGTGGTCCAGCGCTTCTGAATGAGCAACATGCAAAAAAATTGGGGTTACTATTAAAGTGAGTGACAGATGGCCAACCTAAGACTTCAGAAACACTGTTCATACCTGCATCTCAAGTGTTGCGACCAGAAAACAACAAAAACAAAGACTGCAGACCAACAAACCAGACAGAGTTTGAGTTTGAGTTTGACCGCCCTTACCAAAACAGTACTGTTCGGGTGTCGACATGTAACCTTCTGCCCGAGCGAGCCGGCCTACTGTTCGTGACCACCGCGCCGATGGCAGCCCCACACCATCGACAAAATCTTCCAGGAGGGGACGGAGTTTGATAGATAAAAAATGACCTCCTACTAGACCTGTTATTGTGCCGGCCAAGGAAGAATGGACAAGACGTCAGTGCGCGTGGGGCTCATCGCGGATCAGCAGCAGTTCGTGCCAACGGTCGCCGACTGGTGGTGGCACGAGTGGGGCGATTCCTACGTCGTACTACTCACCCCCCCCCCATTTTATTTTATAATACTAAAACCAAATAAATATGATTACTTATTGATTTATTTGTGTTTTATGGGGCCGCCAGGACCTCGGGGTGCACAACAGGGACGAAGCCGAGGCATACCTTCGCAAGAACTTCCTGCATGCCGACCGCATTCCGCTGTGCGTGGTGGCCTGGACCACGGACGACGCCAAGGGCCAAGCCCGCGTGTGCGGCACGGTGTCGCTCGACGTGCAGGACCTCGCCATTCGGCCACACCTCGGGCCGTGGCTGGTCAACACCTTCGTCCACCCCGACTTCCGGGGCCGCAGTACGTGCGACTCTTGACACTCACACGCGCGTGTTGTGTGCGGTTGTGTGCCGTGTGCCGTGTGCCGTGTGCCGTGTGCCGTGTGCCGTGTGCCGTGTGCCGTGTGCCGTGTGCCGTGTGCCGTGTGCCGTGTGCCGTGTGCCGTGTGCCGTGCAATTCGTTGATGACTGACCGTCAGCGGTGCGTTGGCCACCACAGGCATCATGACGCTCATGCTCAACGACATCACCCAGAGGGCGAAGGATTTTGGCACCAAGGAGCTCTACCTGTGGACGCCCGACCCCAAGGTGGTGTCCATGTACAAGCGCCAGGGCTGGAAGGGTACGCTTTAGGGTGCAGAGGTCATCACCATCAATTGATTGATTGATTGACCTACATTGGGGGGGGGGGCGCAGAGGTGGAAGTGGTGGAGTACCAGAAGGAGCAGATCACCATCATGAAGCTCGAGCTCGCCTCTTGGCCGCCGCGCAAAGACGCCGCCAAACTCTGATGATGGTGCCACCCACCACACGAGGTCGTCGAGAATTACAAACAGCGTTTTTCCGAGTGCAGGACTGTAAGTGTGTGTGCGAACACGGTTGTTGAAGATGAGGAAATCAGTGGCGCCCATATTAATTGGGTTGCAGTTGGTTGGCAACCACCCAATCGGTTCGGCATTGACCGTTCTGCCTACCTTCCCTCTTCTCTCTTTCTTTGATAACGGCGATTGTGACCACCACACTCAGCTGTATCGGCGGTACGGAAGGACTCCGCCCCACCCTATAAATGAACCACCTTGCACTCACACCCTCTTCGTCGTACCCAACTTACACTTACACTTCACCCTCACCAACACATCATGCGCGTCATCGCCATCCTTGCCTTGTTCGCCGTCGTCTTCGTTGTTTCAGCCCTGGCCAGCGGCCACTCCACCTCCGCCGAGGAGCAGATCTTCGCCCAGTGGATGCGGGCGCACGCCAAGTCCTACGCCACGCAGGAGTTCAGCCACCGGTGGGCCGTGTGGCGCGACAACCACCGCTTCATCGAGGCCCACAACCGCCAGCCGAACAAGACCTTCACCCTGGCCATGAACCAGTTTGGAGATCTCACCGACCACGAGTTCTGCCAGCTCCACCTCGGCCAGTACATCTCCAGCAACATTGAGAAGAAGACAAAGATCGACGCGACCGAACCCGACACCGTCGGCCTCCCCGCCAACTTCGACTGGAGCTGGAAGGGCGCCGTGGCCACCGTCAAGGACCAAGGTTAGCCGCCTCTCACTCTTCAACTGCAATTTCACCCTAATGTTGATGAGCATTGATTGTGAATGCAGGCAGTTGCGGCGCGGGCTGGGCGTTCGCGGCGGCTGCGGCGACGGAGAGCGCCAACTACTTGAAGGGCGGCAGACGTCTCGTCCCGCTCTCGGAGCAGAACCTGATCGACTGCTCGTCAGGCCGGCCCTACGGCAACAGCGGGTGTAGCGGGGGCAGCGCCGACACGGCCTTCGAGTACATCATCAACAACCGGGGCGTAGACACCGAGGCCTCCTACCCCTACCAGGCCGCCCTGGGCGTTTGCCGCTACAACGCCACCAACGCCGGCGGCTCGGTCGTCAACTACACCCAGATCTCATCGGGCGACGACAGCGCGCTGCTGCAGGCCGTGGCCGCCCAGCCCGTCGCCGTGGGCTTCGACGCGTCGGACCCGGCCTTCAGATGGTACTCCGGCGGCGTCTACGGCGGCGGCGCCTGCTCGACCACCCACCTCAACCACGCCATGGCGGTGGTCGGCTGGGGCGTGGAGGTGGCCAGCACCTACCACCTGACCTACTGGACCGTCAAGAACTCGTGGGGCGCCGGCTGGGGCGAGCGCGGGTTCGTCCGGGTCGCGCGAGGCAGCGACTCCAACACGTGCGGCATCGCCACCGCCGCTTCGTACCCCAGCGCGTGATGATGTTGTGTCAGTTGAATGAAGGCAAGCTCTCTTTTCTCTCATTTTTAAGAGTTCTTTCACATCTTCGACGAAGCTCCGACGAAGCAGTAGGAGAACAGGGGCGACTTGGAGATCATGACGGTCTCCTGGTGGAACGTGGTGGTGTAGCTGTGGGCGATGGCCCGCAGCTTGCGGTCGTTCTCCCGCGTGTCGGGCATGAGGAGCAGCATCATCTTGCTGCGCTCCTTGGTGATGGCCCGCCGCGCCGGGCTGTACCACTGGCCCAGCGGGACGTCCATCACCGAGAACCCCTGCGGGAAGCGGGGCGTCACCTCCCGGTCCAGAAAGGCCTCGAACTCCCGGTCGGCGATCTGGGTCGCCACCCCGGCCAGCCCGCCGCCGCCGCACTTGACATCGAGCCCGAAGAAGACCTCCACCCGCACCTCGTACTCGTAGCACTCGCTGGCCAGCGCCAGGCCGTCATCGGGGTGGTCGGCCTCCGTGTAGTCGGCCAGGACGAAGCTGGGTCCGAAGAGGGAGTCGAAGTGGGTCCAGTCCTTGACCTCCCCGCCCGCCAGGACCAGCACCTCACCGGCCACCCCTGTGCCCTTCAACACGGCGGTTGCGATCACCACCATCACCACCAGCCACGCCGCTGGTCCACTTCTGGTCTCCATTCTGCTGTCGTGCTCAGCCAAAAGAGAGGCAGCCTGACGTTAATCAATGTGTGACGTCACATGCTGACGTCATACAAGGGAAAAAGGCCCAATAATTGGGTACCAGAGAAAGCACGCGAAAATGTCGACCGGTTTGGTGAGCGAACGTCCCATTGGCCAAGGCACGATCTCGGCGCGCCAAACCAGAACAAAGGCCACGCCCGAAAGACGCAACCATTAGCCTCCACCGCCCCACCCAACATGAAGCAGGCCACGGTTGCCGTTGTCCTCTTCTTCTTTGCCCTTTCGGCCCTGGCCTCCCGCCGTACTTCTTCGCTTTCGTTCTTTTTCTTTCGTCTTTTTTACATCCTCTGCACAATACTCGCTTCACGAACGTGAACTAACTTGCATCATCTTGTCATTCCGTCACTCTCTCATCCTCCTCCTTTGCGCTTCAGACCATCTTGCGCCACTCGCTGTGGCCGAGGATGCGTCGCAGCGCATCCAGGGCGAGTACCTCGTCCTTCTCCGCGATGGCCTCACCCGTCCCCTCTGTACCCCACTCCCTTTGCTCCCAGAATAATTTAGTTTTTATCAATATAGTTGGTATATTATTAATTGCAATTAATACTAAATGTGACGTGAAGCATTTCTCACATTCTTATTTGGACCCAAAATAAAATAAAACCAACAAAACAAAAGTCGAGATGCAGGTGGTCATGATGAAGTCGGCCCTGGCCGCGGCTGCCGACGGCAGCGAGCTGAAGCGCACCTACGCCATCGGCGACAGCTTCTACGCGCTCCACCTCAAGCTCACCCCTGCGTACGCCAAGCAGCTCACACGCCAACTGCACATGCGTGACACACACGCACACACTTACCAACCGCACACGCACACGACACAACACGACACGACATGTAACAGGTCGCTGGAGAAGATCAGGGCGCACCCGTATGTCGCCCTCGTCGAGGAGAACCAGGCCGCCCACGCCAACCAGGTGTGCAACCAGCAGAACGACGTCATCTGGGTACCCTACCTTCTGCGCCGCAACCCTTTCGCGTTTCCCACCCAATCGATTCGCTCTCAACCGGTTCTAACCTTATGTTCGTCTTGTCGTCGCGCGATAGAACTTGGGTCGCATCGACACCCACGACATCGATCTGGTGGATGACAACTACAAGTACAGCCACGCCGGGCAGGACGTCGACGTCTACATCATCGACACGTACGTCCACCAAGCCATAGCTGGCGGTGAGACACTTTTCTCAATTGAGCTCACACGACGACATGCACACGACACACGACACACGACACACGACACACGACACACGACACACGACACACGACACACGACACACGACACACGACACACGACACACGACACACGACACACGACACACGACACACGACACACGACACACGACACACGACACACGACACACGACACACCAGTGGCGTCCAGACGACCCACGTCGAGTTCGGCGGACGTGCCGAGTGGGGCGCCAGCTTCGCGGATGACGGTGCCGACGGCAAGGATTGCAACGGTCACGGCACCCACGTCGCCGGCACCGTCGCCGGTGAGCTCTACGGTGTCGCCAAGAACGCCACCATCATCGCCGTACGCACGCCCCACCTCATCCCTGCGCACACGAAGCTCATCAACTCCTTCTTCTTCTTCTTCTTCCTACGTATGGCGCTGCAGGTCAAGGTGCTGGGCTGCACGGGCAGCGGCACGTACGAGGGCGTCATCGCCGGTATCGACTGGACTGTGACCGACGCCAAGAAGCGCGGCCGCCCCTCCGTCGCCAACATGTCCCTCGGCGGAGGCAAATCGACCATCGTCAACGCTGCCGTCGCCGGTACATCTTTTCCCCCCATTTTATTATCTTTTATCAATTATTTAATTAATTTAAAATAAATTGCAGCCGCTGTGGACGCGGGCGTGACGTTCGTGGTGGCTGCCGGTAACGAGAACACCGACGCCTGCTCGCGCAGCCCCGCGAGCGAGCCCAAGGCCATCACGGTGGCGGCGACCACCATCGTGGCCGGCGCCAACGGTGCCTCGAAGGACCGCCGCGCCAGCTTCAGCAACTTCGGCAAGTGCGTCGACATCGCGGCGCCCGGGCAGCTGATCAAGGCCGCCTGGATCGACCAGGCCGGCACCCCGCCCAACACGGCCTACAACACCATCTCGGGAACCTCGATGGCGAGCCCCCATGTGGCCGGCGTCGCTGCGCTGGTGCTGAGCCAGTACCCCAAGTTCGCGCCGGCCGACGTCGAGGCCGCCCTCTACGACGTCGCCACCGACGGCGTGATCGACCTCGCCTGCTCCAGCTTCAGCTCCGTCTGCCCCTACACGCCCAACAGGCTCCTCTACACCAACTGCTGATGTTGATGTGTGTGTGCGTGTGTCCACACATCACCCAGCCGATGATGATGATGATTGTGTTTTAGCCGCCGCAGCTCGTCGATGATTGCCTGAACAACAACGCGCGCTGCAGCTTTGTGTACACTCTTGCTCTTGCTCTTGCTCGATCATGTCTGTATTGCGTGAGGGACGAGACATGTCTCCTTGAAGGAAGAGAAGCAGGTCGTCTCTCTACTGAACGTTGACGACGACGTCGTGGATGGCGGCGGCCATCTTGGGGATGTTCTTGCTGCTGAGGCCGGCCATGGAGATGCGGCCGTTGGTCATCATGTAGACGTGGTGCTTCTTGATCATCACCTCGCACTGGGCCTTGGTGAGGCCGGTGTAGGAGAACATGCCGATCTGGTCGATGATGTGCTCCCACGTGCCGGGCGTGCCGTTCTTCTTGATGGCGTCGTACAGCTCGTGCCTCATGCGCTTGATGCGGTCCGACATGTCCTTGAGCTCCACAAGCCTGTCGGTGGTTGTTATGTCAGCCATGTTCAGTGGCGCGGCGGCGCGCGCGCGCACACACACACAACGATACCATTCGTTGTAGAGGGACTTGTCGCTGAGAATCTTCGAGACCAGGCGGGCGCCGTGGAGCGGCGGGTTCGAGTACATGGGACGGATGATGGTCTTGAGCTGGCTCTTGACGGCATCCGCGGTGGCCGCATCCCGGCACACGATGTTCAGCGCCCCAATGCGCTCGGCTGTTGTTGCGTCCCCGAACAAACCACCACGACGACGATTGGATTGGTGAGACAACAACACCGCCGGTCGGAGGGGGAGTCCGAGGGAGGGGGGCGTCACCATAGAGGCCGAGGTTCTTGGCGTAGGACTGCGAGGCGAAGAGCTCCATGCCCCTGGCGATGGCCATGCGCGCGGGAGCCGCATCCCGATCGAGATCACCGGTGGCGAAACCCTGCGCACGTCGATTGTCGTTAGACCACCCGCAGGCGTAAGGCAACAATTATAATAAAACAGAATAGCTTTGGTTCGGCGTACCTGGTAGGCGGTGTCGAAGAAGGGCAGGTGAGCCTTGGCCTGGATGACGTCGAGGATGGCCTCCCACTGCTCGAGCGTGGGGTCCACGCCGGTCGGGTTGTGCGCACAGGTGTGCAGAATGAACACGGAACCATTGGGAGCCGCCTGGTTGCACACAACGCAAACACGCCAGTAGTCATCAGCGCAACAGGCCCAACCCAAGCACAATAATACTAATCATAAACAAGATAGTGGTGGTGACAAACACAGACCTTAAGATCGCCGATGAAGCCCTCGAAATCGAGGCCACGCGTCTGCTCCTTGTAGTAGCGGTACTTCCTCACGTCGGGCATATGCGCATCCTTGAAGATGTTGGTGTGGTTGCCTACACGGCGCACCCAGGTCAGTAAGTGGGCGATCTGGGAGGTTCTAGAGAGAGCACGCGAGCTTGGTGGCGTACCCCAAGTGGGATCGGAGATGTAGACCGGGGTGGCAGCGCCACCGGGGGCGAAGCGAGCGAGGAACTCGGCTCCAATCCTGAGCGCACCGGTGCCAGACAGGGCCTGCACGGTCGCCACCTGCAGAGTACACCATGAAAACGTAGTGAGTCTACGCAAAAGCGAAATAAATGGATAAAATTGAAAATAAAAATAAAAAACGGCAGCGTGTAGAGGGTGAGGGGCGGAACCCTCTTCTCGGCGAGGGCGGGCGAGTCAGCGCCGAAGATGAGCTTGGCGGTGTGGGCGGTGAAGTCGGGCAGACCTTCGATGGGCAGGTACTCCTTGTTCAGGCTCACATCGTTGGCCACGAGCTGCTCCACCTTTTTCGTTGCGAAATGGAAGTGTGAGACAACTGATTCAATCGACGATTGTTGACGATCTTGACCGCTTTCAAAGCTAGTGATCATCAAAACACAATAAACAAGAAAGAAGATTGGCGGTACCTTTCTAACGACGTTGAGGACGAGGGGGAGTCCCTCCTCAGTACGGTAGGCGCCGACGCCGAGGTTGAGCTTGTCAGTGCTGGGATCGGCCTTGTAAGCCACGTTGATGCCGAGGATGGGATCCTCAGGGGCCACAGGCACGTTGCTAATGTACTGGCTCATCTTCTTGTTGCTGCTGCACTCGTTGGGAGAAACAATGCACGAATTGACGATGCGGCGCACGCTCTTCTTGACGCTCGATTCGGTGTGGGACATTCACAATCGATTGCGATTGATTGGGTTGAGAATGAAAAGAAGCACGCAACTTAGAAACGGCCAGAGCAAAATAAAATAAAATATAATCGTGAAAAAGACTCCTCGAACCCGATCAAACCACCGTGGCGATGATGGACGCTCGACGCCCCTTTTGAATCTCACGATTCTACGGCGGTGTGAGCGAGGCGGCCGACTATCGCTCTTAATCGCCACCCTCTACAAGTACCTTCCCCTCCCATTCCCCTAGGGGAAAAGAATTTGCACCGGGTTCTGCTCTTGGGCCTACACTTGGTCGCTGCAGTGAAGCTCTGACCGATGATGGCGTTTGTTTGTGTCAGAGCTCTGATACCGCAGCCAAACGAAGAGTTTACATGGATCTTTGAGCTGGGCTCCACCGGCAAACGAAGTGCTTCGATCGGCAGGACATAGACTAGAGGCAGAGCGTTACCTTTCAGTTCGACTTCAGCACCACCCAGAGCACCGTCACTTCTTGGAGAAGCACGGCTACAACTTCTGCACACGGGAGGGCAGCGACGTCGCCAACCACCGGGTGACCTTCACCAAAACCTTCACACTGACCAGCTTGACGGACAACGTGGCCGTCACTTGGCAGGACTCGAGGAAGACCCGCAGCGGGCGACTGCTCGCTCGGGGCAAGGGGCAGTATCAAGAAGCACCCCGCTCCCGCTCCCGTAGTTGTGGTACACTCTCTAACGCGCACACCATTGTATACTACCTATTCCCACCGTTGCTCCGTCTTGCCTCGCCTGGTGTGCCTCGGATCAGCAGTACATCGCTGGCACTGGTTAGCTCTGAGCTGATCTTGACAATCAATGGTGGGGCCGAGTTGAACCCCGACGCGCGCGAAGCCCCGGTGTTGCAGATCACCGGCGTGGAGACATTGTGCATTGCCAGCAGCGACGCCGTAACCAGCAGTAAGACCACGCCAAGGTGCGCCTCCAGCCTCGGCATGCAGGTGCAGGTGCAGACCACCTGTGGCGTGTCGCGTCTGGCCACCGTCGCCTTCCCCACGTGCTCGCCCGCGTGCAGCGTCAACGGCATTCTACCGCGACGACGCGGGCCGGCCCACCCGCGCGGTGGTCACGCAAGCCGGCGGCCGATCCCCAGGTGCGCCTGATCGCGCCGCACACGTTCGAGAGCCGTGCGTGGCACAGTGTCGGTGACGCCCGCGGCGGCTCGGCGGCGATCGAGGTGGGCGACGTGCTCGCGTTCGAGAACGCCGACTCGGCCGATCACGTGCTGTCGATCAGCGGGCCACAGCCGGTGGCCGACCTTTATCTGGAGCGCGGCACGATCGTGAGGACGCCATCGTTCCTCAAGCCGGGCGGCTACAGGGTGGAGTCCAACCGCAACATGGTCAACGCCAGCTTCAGCGTCGCGTTCAGGTTCGCGTGCGCGATCGATGCGGAGGAGCCGCGCGCGGCAGCGGCAGACGACACTACCCTCGTGGTCGCGCTGGCGGCCGCGGTGGTCGCGGCGGTCGTGGTCGCGGTGGTGCTGATAAAGAGGGGCCGAGAACCCGTTCGCCAGTCCGATCGACCCTGGCTCCACCATCGCCCGAAAGCCCGGCACCATCAACTCCTGACCTGCACTAACTGTCCTACGCGCTTTGGTGTGATGATTAATCATCTTTTTATTCACACCAGACTCGCGGGTTGTGTGTCTCGTGTGCCATCACTGGCAGTAGCCGTTCATGATGGGCGAGGCGCCGACGCATCGGGTGCAGAGGCCCGTGCAGTCGTTCGACGTCTGGCACATGTTGTTGCAGTTGCACGACTGCATGGCGCCGCAGGTGCAGCTCATCGACGGGCACATGAGCCGCGAGTTGAACGCCGCCGAGCACAGGATGAGCGACTGGCACACCTTGAGCGGGAACTGGCCGCTCAGCGAGTTGTAGGCCACCCAGAGCGAGGTGAGCGACAGCGACGCGAGCCAGTCGGGCACCGGGCCGGTGAGCCGGTTGCTGGCCAGGTCGAGCTCGGCCAGGCCCGTCAGGTACTGGAACGAGGCCGGAATGGTGCCGCCCAGCTGGTTGTTGCCCAGGTAGAGGTAGGCCAGGCTCGTCGAGTTGGTGCCCAGCGGGGGGATGCCGCCGCCCAGGTGGTTGTAGGCCAGATCCAGGGTGCGCAGGGACTGGATGTCGCCCAGCGAGCGCGGGATGCCGCCGATGAGCATGTTGCCGCGGAAGTGGAGGCCCTCGATGTAGGGCACGTTGCTGATCGAGGCCGGCAGCACGCCGCCCAGGCCGTTGCGGTCGAGCTTCAGCTTGATCACATACCCGCCCGCGCACGTCACTCCATACCTTATTAAATGTGTATACACAATAAATATAAATAAAAAACACCAATAAACAATACGGCAAGACCGGAGATTAGCCGCTCACGCAAGGCCAGTGAGAAGGGGGGGGGGCGCACCAGGGGCGGTTGCCGGCCTTGCGGCCGCAGGGGTCGTCGTTCTGCGAGGCCCAGCCGGTGTTGTTGATCCAGTTGGGGCCGCCGGTCGACTGGTACAGGTCGTAGAGGGCCTGCACCTGCGAATCGGCCTGCGCGTCGACCACGCGTGCCTGGGCGCCGACCAATATCAGGCCAGCCGCCACCGCGAACACGAAGAAGAAGACAGAACTGTGTTGATGCATCTTGGCCTAGAAGAGAAAGCGAAACAAAAAAGAGTCGAACGAAGCGAAACAAAAAAGAGTCGAACGAAGGTTTGTCCCTATTCCCCGCCCCGACAAGTCGAGTTACGACCCCAACGCGGCCCAATTATGGCTTTTTCGGTGAAGTTAAGTTTTCCACCCGATTGGCCAGGACTGTCCAAGGTGGATGTTGAGTGGCGTCCCCTGTCGTCCCCACCCATCGCCCCTCATGGTGCTCACCGCCAGTCCTCGGCCGCTGGTCCCTCGGGAAAATTGGCGTGGGGCTTAGCCTGCCACTCGGCCTCGCCGTTGAGATCAGAGTTGCGAGCTAGGACAGTGGCTCGCGGCTCCTTCTTCCTTCGCGTGGAGCTCCAGCACTCGCCCGATTGGATGGTATCGTACGAGTTAATGGAGCTGCCCTTCGCCGTCACTGGTTATCATGTCATCTGCTCTGACAACGACCTTATGCTCGATTGAATGTCAAATCTAGCAACAACGTGGCGCAGACCGTGCCCAAGTTCACCAGCTTTTACTGTACGCCCGTCCATCGCTGTCGGCGGCAAATAGTAGGAGGCTATGTACCGGTAGCGTTGCACGGTAGACCACAAATTTGACAAATTGCAAATTCGACCGAACTAGTGACCCGGGAGCGGGGTTGTTGTCGATGACCTCCAGAAAGCTGTACAGCTTTTTCCACATGGACTTGTTCCAAATGGGAATTTCCAGTCAATCGCCCAATGAGCAAATGGGAGTGTCAAGCATTATCACTGTGAATGGTGTGACGGAGCCGCAACAGGGTAGCGGTTGCACACTTGGATAGCCAATCACCGCGTGCAATGCATGTCTTTTAAGGGCGTGCCGACTGTGAGTCTAGTCCACTTGCACTCCTCCACCCCACCACATCACCGTCATCTATCTTACCCAGCGATCTCACCCAGCCATGGAGGGAGACGCAGATTACATTAACCAGCAAGACCATGACCTGGAGGCTTCAACTTCGGCCGAACTGGAGATTAGCAATCGACGTGGAAACGGGGATTCGCGAAAGGTTCGCCCAGACGCCATAACATCTTCTCTCACGCACGCTATTCATGAGCTCCCAATGTGATTAGCGCAGACGATTCAGGAAACCCTCGAGTGGCTGAGATCGGGCCTCAAGAACATGCGCTCAGGCCAGCCCAAATCAATTGGATTCTTCAACGAGAAGACCCCAACCAGGGCACCGAGTCCAACCTCATCCTCGTCATCTTCCCGCACCAGGACACGGTACTTCAGCGACCGAACGACTACAGAACACTGCCAAACAGACATTGCCACTGTCATCACCCTCTACAACGAGGAGAGCGAGGAGGCCGAGAGGACGGTGGAGTCACTGGCCAACCAGAGCTTCCATCCGGACACCAAGCACGCCATCGTGCTCATCTGCGACGGAATCGAGAAGATGTCGAGCAGCATGAAGAGATTTCTCATCTCATTGTTCCCCAACCTGCCCGACCTAGAACACCTGCTCACGGACCACTCCGACAACCTTCTTCAAGTGATGGCCTCGCCAGGGCAATCAGGTAATACCGTTGAAATCTGTATTTTATAATCCTTTTTAATGTATAGATTTAGATATATAAATAAGTTATTGACCTGTGTGCCACATTTCACAGCAGAGCAGTCCGAGTTGCTGCGACTGAAGAAGGACCTCACCAGCATCGTCGCAGGTGACAATGGCGATCGAGAGCAGGGGCAGGTCCACCTGACTTTCGTTGTGCAGAACCTCACCCTCTCCGGCGCCAGACGCCCAATTGAGGTCAAGCTGCCTAAGTCCGGTCGACAAGTCAGAATGGACATGTCGCTCATCCTCAAACTGGACAATAGGTTCAAACACAACAGTCACGAGGTCACTCTTCCCTATCCTCACACCCATTCACTCTTGTGCACCACAACTCACCACACGCGCACCACGACACGCACACCACAGTGGGGCTTCAGGGCCTTTGCAGACGACTTGAAGGCCGAGATGGTGTTCGCGTCGGATGTGGGAACGCTCTACAAGAAGAGCTGCCTCCCTGAACTCAAGCGCTACCTCGACAGGCATGCTGACGTGAGCGCCGTGACCGGGCGTCAGCGCGTGATGACCCCCAAGCAGCAGGCATTTAATCCCGCTTGCTCATCAATCTCTCGCCTACAATTGTTAGAGCTCTAACAACTTGTGACTGTCCAGGGGTGCGAGGATGAGTCGTGGTACTCTTTGGATAGGTGGTACAGGAATGCGCAGTGCTACGACTACGAGAGCTCTTTCGCTAGCTTCATGGCCGCTTTCCACATGGCCGGTATGCTGCCCGTCATTCCTGGACCATGCGGCCTCTACCGCAGGCAGGACATGGCCGTGCCGGGTGGCCCTTGGGTATGAGCCAGTTTGCATTTATCTGCGACTGTTTTTCAGTACTGGTCCTAACAGCACTGCTGGATGACAGGACTACTACTTCGAGACCGTGCACACACCGCCCGAGAACCAGGATATCACCATGGGCAACCTTCTGCTGGCCGAAGATCGCGTCCTCTGCTGGGCTGCAGCGCTGAAGACACGAGAGCGCAGATACACCGCCATCGTGCCTCGAGCTGTGTTCTACTTCGCTGGTACGGTCAGTCGCACAACCCTCACGCTGTGGTGGTGGTGGTCTGATCGCTTTCTTCTCCATCCACGTGCAGCGGAAACTCAGCTCAAGACGCTGGCCTTCCAGAGACGAAGGTGGATCAACGGGACCGTGGCCGGCTACATCTACTTGGCGCTCCGCAATCCAGCTCTTATCTTCGACTCGCCTCACACCTGGTTCACCAAGTGGTTCCTCTGGCTGCTGGTCATGTGCCAGCTGCTCATGTTCGCCGTGGTGGCCATATCGCCGGCGCTGTTCCTCATCACGCTCGATCTCTCGCTGGAGATCATCAGTAACGCGCTCTCGGCCGACTCTGCGGCCTACTCGACCATTCTCTTCGTCATCGCCATCGGAACGTACTTATGGTTCATGATCGGCCACCATCTCAAATCGCGCTTCATCGCTTTCCTCTTCTACCTCAAGATGTGCATCCACGCCCTGACAATCATCGCGTCCGTCGCGGCGGCAGTCATCACGTGTACGTAGTCCCACACACACACGCACACGCACACGCACACGCACACGCACACCACACACACACACCACACACACGCCACATGCAGGAATGAGACTGACGCAATGGAGAACTCGCAGTGAGTCGCATGGAGTATTTCCGGATGTCCTGGTCGAGCTTGCACGAAACCGAGGGGCCGCTGGCGATGGCGATCCTGCTCGCCCTCCTGCCAGTTGTCATCTCCATCACCACCGGCGGCAATTCGTTCTTCCTGATGATCCGCTGCTTCGTGCACTACTACCTCTTCCTGCCGACCCTGGTGGCCACCTTTGGCGCCTACTCCTTCGCCCGCACCTTCGACCTCAGCTGGGGCAATCGGCCGCCGTCCCAGATCAAAGCTGAGGCCAGCACGAGCGGGGAGTCCGAGGACGCGCTCATCAAGGCCAAGGAGAAGCTGCGAGAGCAGTCCCAGGCCACCTGCGGCCTGATCGTGATGGCCAACGTACTGCTCATGCTCGTGGTGCTGATGTCGCGCCACGTGGCTGCCTTCTTCCTGCTGCTCGGCGGGCTGGTCTTCATCTGGTCGGCCATCCAGATGGTGCTCAGCTTCGTCTGGTACGTCTACTGGTCCATCAAGTCCGGGACCAACTGGCTGTGGAACGGCCTGGTGTACCTCCTCTGTTGCTGCTGCCCTCACCGTACCAAGGGGTACGCAGAGGAATACGCAGTCATCGGCGAGGGAGCGCTCACTGTAGCACCGATCATCAGCTCCCAAGAGTGATGCCCCTCGAGGGAATAAATGTTCTTGATTAAATTAAATTAAATTTCAATTTCAATTTCTTTTTTCTTTTTAAAAGCTTGTTTTTTAATGAGTACCAAAAAAGGAATTTGCCAACTTGCTGTCCCACAATGGGAAAGGCACAAGCCAACCGACGAGGCCTTGAGAGCCGATGGGAGAGTGTAGGCGGGCGGGGTGATGTGTGAGGACACGAAGGGAGCCTGCAGCCGGCGCTGGTTGATACCCAGCGCCGAGCCAAGCGTCGTCGCCATAGCGCTTAGTTGACCCAAGTCCAGTTGGGCGCGGACACGCGCTCGATATTCGGGGACTGAGGGACCCGCGGACAACAGGTCACCCCGATCGCGGACTAGTGCCGCCTTGGGTCCCGAACCACGGGGGCGTGTTGTGCGCCACCAGTGCTCGCACGCCACACCCCCCACAACAACAACAGCACAGGACCAATCCAAAAAACGATAACTGGTCAGTCGGTTCCGTCCTTACCCAAACCCCACCCTTTTGCTTGTTGATGGTGATGAGGGTGTGACGTACCAGCGAGGCAGAGAATGAACATCTTGCGTGGAAGGAAGATGGACTCTGATGAGACACAAATAAGAGAGTGTCGACCACAACAAGACAAGAATAGGTAGAAGAAGTCCAAACAAAAGTGTTGACAGGAGGGATTTGTGATTGTGAGTGGGTGGGGGTGGGTGTAGGATTGTCAATCTATTTTACAAACAAAAGAATAAAACTACTGCTTCCAAGAACTAGTACTACTGAGGTAGAAGCTCCGCATGGCTTCCGCGGCTGAGAAGAGAGGGAATAGAATAGAAGATGACATGACGAATTGGAGAGTACTCTCCCCAAATCGCAAAACTGAGCTAGAAAGAAAGAGCACAGAGAAGAAGAAGAAACAACAATGACAGAGGAATATCAAAAAATACATAAAGAACAAAACAAGAGGAACAGCACGTAGAGAATAGTGAAATGGAAGGAGAAAGATGGGTTAAAAAAACGTTGGAAAATCCAGGAGGGGAAATGCTACGTACTTGGTGTGATGCATCAGAGAACGCTCACATTCCGTAGCTTCCGTACGACTGCTGCTGAATCTGAATCTGCTGCTGCTGCTGCATTTGCTGTTGTTGCATTTGCTGCTGCTGCTGCGGTGGCTGCTGCTGTTTTACGAGAAACATGCTTAACATGTGAGTACAATGTCAAGAGAAAGATGCTAACCGTCGGCTGGCGTGGGCGTACAAGTTGTTGCTGTGGCCAGGCTGTAGGAGTGAACGAATAACAAGCGTTGATGGTTAGTTGATGATCGTGGTCGCGAGAGAGGTAGTACGCACCTTGTTGTTGCTGCGGATAGGAATAGGCCTGCTGTTGGGCCACCGGCTGCTGGTACCCGGCGTAGGACCCGTAGCCGGACTGCTGGGCCGCCGCCGGGTAGCCGTAGACCGACTGTGCCTGATGCGCGGGCGCTGCAGGCTGCTGGTGGGACCACTGGCTGCCATAGTATCCGCCAGTGTTCATCTGGTAGGGGTCCTGGTAGTAGCCACCCGACTGCTGGTAGACGCCACCTGCTACATCCATTATGTGTGTGTGTGTGTGTGTGTGTGTGTGTGTGTGTGTGTGTGTGTGTGTGTGTGTGTGGTCAGAACGCGACATAGAGCTACACCGCAAAGACAGGTCGCAAGCAAGCGCTAGAGCGGTACCTGACGGAGGCTGTGTCGAGGGGTAGGCGGACTGGGAAGGCGGTGGCGCTGTTTGGTGCCCATATGGGGAGGACTGGCCTTGATGCGGCGGCCGGTCGAGCAACCCGCCTGGCCGTCCGCCCATACCCATCCCCTGGTGGTGCATCGGCGCCTGCTGGTGCTGCTGCTGCATGCGCATGCCGCCGCCGCCGCCGCCGCCACCCATTCCTGGTCCCTTCCTGAACGCATCGCCGACGTTCATCTGCACATAGACCGTTGTCTTTGTGAGTTGGGGGTGTGGCGTGGGGTGTGGCGTGTGGCATGAACGCACGTTCTTGCCCATCAAGGGTATGGTCCCCATCCGCTTGACAGCGGCGGCAGTCTCCGGGTTGGCGAAGGTAACAAACCCGTATCTTGGGTGCACATGATCATGTCAGCTAATGATTGCGCTGGGCGGCGTGAGAGCGGTACCCTTTCGATTTGCCGGTCTGCTTGTCCATGATAAGCTTACACTCGATCACGGGACCGTAGTTGTTTTCGAAAAAACTGTGCAGCGTAGCGTCATTGACCTGTGGATTGGGAAGGGGTGGTTTGATTTCAATTTACAATTTAAAATCGTCCCCAACAAATCGGTAGACAGAACCGATCGCGTACCTTCCAGCTAACCCCTCCCACAAACACTCTGTGCTCGCCAAGCGAATCTGAGCCTTCCATTTGTGCTGCGGGTCAGTGCAGCCGTAGGCCCAGTTCGATCAATTACAAATTTCTTTTCTTCCGAACCTTTTCCTTCCGTTTCCTTCAATCAAAAGAAAAAGAGGGGAAACGCATTTTCCCTCTTTATGCTTTTGGCCTGTTGGCGGACATTTTGGCGAACAAAACAAAGCCAACTACACTCAGCTCATGGCGGCCACGGCACCACAACACCGAGAGATAACCTCAGAGGACTTGAGCTTTCTCGCCCAGTACTCCGCCTTCCTTGGCAAGGGTCAAGCAGTGCCGGCCGACGACCTCGAAGAGCGTCTGCGCCAGCATGTGCTGCACCAGTGGCGCACCTGCCTGGCCGAGGTGCCTCCGCCTCTTTCCTGAGATCTCTTTCGTGGTGCCCGTGCCACAATGCGTTTGCTAAGCGATTCCTATGAATGTGACTGTGACTGTGACACCAACGTCTATGCGCCAACACCAGGCCACAGTCTTGTACAGGTGCGTGCGTGAGCTGATGTTTCTGCGCCCCCGAATCGAGCGGCACTTCCACTACCCCGAGGTGCTGGCCACCATCAAGTCTGCCGACCCCCACGCTCGCTACTTGGTGTGTATCCCCCTTTGTACGTGCGATGTGGTGTATTAGTTTGTGCGGGGCTGATCAGGCCTGGACGTTTGGCACATGCGGGTACAGGATCTGGGTTGCTGCTTCGGCACCGACACCAGGCGAGTCGTTGTTGATGGGTGGAAGCAAGAGAAGGTGGTCGCTGTCGATGTTATCCCCGACTTCTGGTTCGTACTCCTTCGAACGCTCGCATCGCGATCGTGCACTCACATGCATTGATCGATGATGGTGGTGATGTGTATCAGGAACTACGGCCTCCAGCTGTACGAGGACGCTGCAACAATCAAGGTGGGGACCCGCATCGGTGACGTCACATCCGATTCCGCGTTCGTGGAATCCTTGGTGGCCGGTGGGCAGTTCGCGCACGTGTGGACCGGCGCCGTGTTGCATGTGCTCACCGAGGCCAAGGTGGAGGCCCTCCTGCGCAGCGTGTTCGCCATGCTGCGGCCGGGCGGCAGCTACTTCGGCACGTGCGTGGGTACCAGCGGCCAGCCCAGCGACTGGCAGCCCGAGTACCGCAACCGCGGCCAGGCCTACCTGCACACCGCCGAGTCCCTCAAGGAGCTGCTCGAGCGCATCGGCTTTGTCGAAGTCGTCGTGACCGAGCAGTCCGCACGAGCCCCAGCGCCCTTGCAGGTAGGCTCTTCTTGTGTGATCCCTAACATGTTGCTCACGAACTCATCAGTGGCGCACTGGTCTGACGACTCTCTTGCGCAGGAGGACCCGGCTGATCTGGCTATACCCAAGCGAATGCTCGCCTTTGCAGGCAAGACCCCTTCGGCCCAGTGATGACAAAGCTTGTCCCCCCCAAGCTCAACCGCCAACACGGAACTAATTCCGGGAGGATTACTTTTTGTGAAATGGGATTTTCTTATCGTTTCTTTTTATGCGTTGGACTGTTCCGTTGTTGATTGGCGAGATGGAGGAGGCGCGGAGAGGCAGCCCCGCACCTTCGCACGCGAAGGAAGATGAGGACGCCAGAAAGAGCAGCAAAATCGAGACAATTGGTGAAAAAATCGACAGCAGACATGGGGGCGACGACCGGGCCTCGCCGAATGGCAAAGCCGAAAATGGAACAGAACGGCGCAAGGACGATCGCGAGCGACGGGATCGCAAGGATAGGTCGGGCGACAAGGATAAAGATCGGGACAGGGACAGAGATCGCAAAAGGCGAAGCAGAAGCCGCGAGCGTGATCGCAGTGATCGAGACAAAGACAGAGATCGTGACAGGGACAGGGATCGAGATCGAGACAGGCGGCGCAGCCGTCGTAGCCGCAGCAGGGACAAGGACAGGGACAGGAGCGAGCGCAAGAGGCGTAGCCGCAGCCGCGATCGCGAAAGGCGACGAAAGACGCGGTCCCGCAGCAAGAGCCCTCGCGAGAGCAAGGATGATGATCGCAAGCGGCGGAAGAGCGGGTGGGACTCAGTCGCGCCGAGCCTCCTGGGGACGGCAGGCGCTCCCACTCCAACTCTCCCTGCTGCTTCTGTGGGCGGTACAGGTACTGAGCGAATCGATTCTATTTTAAATTGACATGGGATTGCTGTCGTCAATTCCTCACTACCCGAATTCTTAAGCAGAGGGGTCGGCAAGGCCCATCCCCATGCCACTCCCCATGGCCATGCCCAGCCCGTTGGCACAGCTGAAGCCGGGCATGATGAGCCCCCTGCAACTGCAGCAGGTACTACTACCAGACCACGAGGCGTCGTGCTGCCCTCTCCTTAATTCTTACGGGCTCTCTTTGCTCCGAACGGCAGGCGTTCCTCCAGCAACAGCAGTTGGCGCTGAAGGCGGCAGCCAGTGCCCCCAGCAACCAGCAGCTGGCCTGTCGTATCTATGTCGGCTCGCTCAACTTCGAGCTCTCGGAGGAGGACATCAAGACTGCGTTTTCTCCCTTCGGTCCGGTCAAGAGTGTCTCGCTCACCAAGGTCGGTGGTGTTGCTCTCTTTAACATGAACCCAGCCCACGCCCACTCACCACGTGCGTTCTTTCCCACACATATACAGGATCCGCTCACACAGAGGTCGAAAGGCTTTGCCTTCGTCGAGTATGCCTACCCTGACGCGGCGACGGCTGCGCTCAAGCACATGAACGGTTTCATGCTGGCCGGCAGGTATGACTTCTCTCTCTTTCTCTCTCTGCCTTTCGCACTCCCCCACCTCTCCTAATAGCAAATAACGAAGAAGCTGCCACCTGGTGATAGTGAGCATGCATAACCTTCTCTCTTTCTCTTCTTCTCGTTTGCTACATGTTTCTTTTCCTCTTCTCTCTCTCTTTGCGCGCTTCCTCCATTTCCGCGATTTATACGTAGCTTACCTCTCTTCCCGCCGCAAGACAACTCAAAGTGGGTCGACCCCACACTCCTGGCGCGGGGTTGCCTGGGATGCCTGGAATGCCCGGAGTCATGATGCCCGGGCTGTCGCCCTTCCCTCAACTCAACCCATCTCTCCCAGTGATGAACCCCTCCATCCTGCTCCAAGCCAACGCCGCCATCGAAGCGCAGAAGGCTGCGGCCGCCGCGGCCAATGGCTCACAGCCGACGCCGGAGATGATGCAGGAGTTTACGAAGCTCACCGGCAAGACTGCCGCCGACGCCACCGCCAGCAACCGCATCTACGTGGGCTCCATTCACTGGGACCTCACCTCCGACGACATCAAGACCGTCTTCGAGGCCTTTGGCACCGTCAAATCCTGCGTGCTCATGGTACACTCGGCCGCTGCTCTCTCGACCATGTTGTTCGCTGCTGGCGTGTACATATTGGTTTTGCTCACTCTCTTGCGTGCCCACCATTCAGCCGAACCCCGAGACCGGCAAGCACAAGGGCTATGGATTCGTCGAGTACGAGGAGAGTAAGTCGGCCGAGGAGGCGATCCAGCAGATGAACGGATGGGACCTCGGCGGCCGGCCGATCAAGGTGGGCCGGGCCATCTCCAGCGCGCCCATATTGCCCACCCCGGGCGCCGGGCTCCTCAACCCGTCGGGTCTGCCCTCGCCCATGCTGGGTGGCTTCCCGATGCCGGGAATGTCAGGAATGCCGGGCCTGCTGCCCGGAATGATGCCCGGCATGCCGCTCGGCCAGCCGGGCTTGACCCCGGGACAGCCCCTGTCGTCCGCGTCGGCCATCGCGCAGGCCATCGCCAACAAGAAGGTCGAGGAGTCGCTGAGTCACGAGGAGAACCTCACCCTCAGCACCCCAAACCAGCGCTACGCCCTCATGCAGAAGCTCGCTCGCGGCACTATCACTGGCGGCAAGGTACACCTCACCAGCACGCAATGCGTGTGTGTCTGTGCTGTGCTGTCTGCTGACACTAGGACCTCTCCAATCGCCTCTGCAGTCGTCGCGATGCGTGGTCCTCAAGGACATGGCGGGTCCGGAGGACGTCGACGACGAGCTCGAGGGAGAGATCACGGACGAAGCCACCAAGTACGGCATCGTCGAGCGGGTGGTCATCTATCAGGAGCGGCAGTCGGAGAAGCCCGGCGACGTGATCATCAAGATATTTATTCTCTTCCAGAGCGCCGACCGTACGACTCCTTCCACCACCACCACCACCACCACCACCACCACCACCACCACCACCACCACCACCACCACCACCACCCACCCCACTGGCTGATTGTTGTCTTTTTTCGTTGTGTGTCACGACAGAGGCACAAAAGGCGTTGACTTCGCTCAACGGCCGCTGGTTCGGAGGTCGGCAGATCAAGGCCGCGTTCTACGACGAAAAGAAGTTCCTGGCCGAGGACTACTCGGAGGACTAGTCGCTCACCGCCCAGACCATACCATACCACGACGTGCAGCAATCCGGTACCTTCATTCAAGCTCTTGTCCATCTCTTCTTTCTCTGCTCCGCGAACAAGGAGAAGGCGCACTTCCGCCTTCTTAAACATTGACTCCGGAGGGACGAAGGAAGGAAAAGCGCAACAGAGAAAAGGAAAAGAACGCTGAAATTATTTCGGAGAAAATATTCTGCGAAGTCTTTGTTGTCGACATCAAGCAGCCTCAAAAAGCGGAAACGCGGCCAGTTTTTAGTTTGTTGTTGCGCTTCGCCTTCTGCACACCTTCGGCCACCGCTTCGTCCGCGCGTGTCACTGCTGGTCTGTGTGGTTTGTTCGGTCGAACTATTATCTTTCGTCTAAAGAGAGAAATCGATTGTGAATGGAGGCTCCGCAACAAAGTAGAAAGCAAGTGGTGGGTGGTTGGTCGTTCTAATGCGCGAGGGGGTGCTGCTGACGAGGCGACGTACTTCACCGACGAAGTGCGCGCCCACCTGAAGGAGCACGGCTGGGCACGGCTGAAGGGCGTCGTGCCCAAGGAGGCCACCGCCGCGTTCAAGGAGGGCGTCGAGACCTACTTCCGCCTGTGGGACGAGGAGCTCACCTTCGACAACCCCAAGGCCTGGGCCGCGTCCAAGCTGCCGGCCGGCTCCATCCACGGCATCAACAAGATCGGCGGCCACGCCTGGTTCATGTGGCACCTGCGCCAGCGGCCCGAGGTGGTGCAGATGTGGGCCGAGTACTTTCGGTGCGACCCCGCCAAGCTGCGCGTGTCGTTCGATGGGTTCGGCCTCTACCTGGCCCAGACTGCGCGCCGTGCGCAGGGCAACTGGGCGCACTTCGACCACGGCACCACGCCCAAGCCCTTCAAGTGCCTCCAGTCCGCGGTGGTGATGGAGGACTGCGACGGCGACGACGACGGCGGTCTGGTGGTGTGGGACAAGTCCCACCGCGCGCACGACGGCTACTTCCGCGTGAACGGCCTCGAGTGCAAGGACAACTGGCACCTCTTCCCCTTTGCCCAGCGCGACGGCGACGGCGCCAAGCTGCGCAACGAGCGCCAGCCCTTCATCGCCGAGATCGAGCGCGACGGCCGCCGGTACCTTGATGACGACGACCCTGAGCGCCACGCCGACGCGCCGGTGCCAATGCGCCGCACGCGCGTGCGGGCCAAGGAGGGCGACGTGCTGGTGTGGTACTCGGACACGGCCCATCAGAACGACGCGCCGGGACCCGACGGGCGCGACCGCATCGTGGCCTACGTGTCGATGGCGCCCGTCCAGCACGTGCTCAAGCGCGAGTTCGTGTCGCGTCGTCGGGCGTTCAACGACCGGGCGACGTCGAGCCACTGGGCCGCGTGCGGCTTCAAGCGCAACGGCATGCCGCGCACCTACACGACGGCGGCAGCCGTGGAGTTCAAGGCGCGGTACCAGGCGCACGTGGACCGGCTGCCGCCGATGGAGCTGACCGAGGTGGGCAAGCGGCTGGCGGGCCTCTACGACGAGCCGCACGACATGCCGCCCGTGTTGCCTAAGAAGATGAAGAAGACGAAGAATGAAGAAGAAGATGATGAAGAAGATGATGTCGAGAAAGAAGAAGAAGAAGAAGAAGAGGAAGGCGAGGAGGAAGAGGAGGAGGAGGATGAAGAGGAGGTGAGGGAGAAGGAGAGGGAGAGGAAGAGGAAGAGGAAGATGGTGGCGGCGAGGGGGTCGTCGGAGAAGACGGCGAAAGGGGCGGCTGCAGAAGAAGCTGAAGCTGAAGCGGACATCGACACCCAGCAAGAAGAGGAAGTGAAGATGAGGTGATGGTGAAGCAGAGGAGTGAAGACGTGGGACGTGGTGGTGGCGGCAATGCAAACAGAGAGAATGTATTGAAGAAGAATAACCAATAAACTACTCTTCACCATCATCAGCATTGTGGTTGATGGTGTCAGCCCTGCTGGAGGTGTGGTCAGTCGGCCAACAGGTCGGTGCTGCGCGTTTGCTGGAGCCGTGCGAGCAGTGGGTCGGCGTCGTCGAGGACGAGCTCGGCCAGCTCCACCGCCGACTCACCTGCGCACCACTTGATGAGCCCCAAAGAACAAGCAATGGTCAACATAGCAAAAGAGAGTGACAGCGCACCCCGGCGATTGACGAAGTGCGCCAAGGCCCCCGCGCCCAGGAGCTCCTGACAGTGTGTAAACCACGTCAGCCAAACAGATGATAGTGAAATTAAAATGATTGTTTGTCAACCGACCTGGATGAGCTGCGGGTAGTCGTCTTCGCGGATCAGGTTACGACAGGCGGCGATGAGCGGCGTGGTGCCGTCCTGATCGCGCAGGTTCACGTCCGCCCCTCGCTGCAGCAGCGACCTGTGCACGTGTTGAGTGGTGTGGTGAGGGGGAAAATATCACTTGTAGACATGAGAACTCCCTATTGAGGTCGTAACCTACCGCACGATGGCGAGGTGGCCGTTCTGGGCTGTCATCTGCAGTGGCGAGGCCCCGCCAGTAGTCTGTGTGTGCAAACGTGTCGTATGTCGCGTGTGTTGCGTGTATCGCGTGTGTCACAGTTATGAGAGGCGCCGGTTTGAGGCTGAGGGGAGGCCGGGTACCAGGAGGTGGACATTCGCGCCTCGCTCCAGCAGCAGCTCCGCGGCCTCGGCAAACCCGTGGCAGCAGGCCAGCAGCAGTGCCGTGCACCCGTCGTCTCTGTAGCCGAACCGCGCGAAGGCAGCGCGAGCGGTGAGTGCGGGGAGATGAAGTGTGGAGCGCGCCGCGGGTTGGGCGCGGCCACGCACCCTTGGGCGTTGATGTCGACCCCGAGGTCCAGCAGCCGCCGGGCGACGCCCGCCACGTTGGGCGCCTCGTAATTGGTCGACGCCGCATCACACGCTCGAATCAAGGGAGTGTAGCTGGCCTTTAGGCTTCTGCGGTGGTACGGCGCAGCCTTGAGTCACACATTGCACACATTCCATCATAGTCAAAAGCCAAGGCCAAGGTCAATAGGGGTACATCTGGCGTGGGTTGGCGCCTGCAGCGAGCAGCACGTCGACCATCTCGAGGTTGGCCTCCAGCGCGGCGCTGTGCAGAGGAGGCAGCGCCTCTTCCCCGTCAGTGTTCACCTGCACATACGTACCCGCACACGCACACACGCACGCACGCACGCACGCACACGAACACGCACACACGTCACGTTAATTGCGCGATCGGTGGCCACCGAACCAGGGAGAGAAGGTGGTGGTGCCATCGTACGTCGGCGCCGGCTTCGATGAGGAATCGGACCAGCTGCGTGTTGTTGGAGATGACGGCGAGGAGGAGCGGCGTGGTGCCGCCCAGGTTGGTCGCGGGGTTGACCCGGGCCCCGTGCCGAAGCAACATGCGGGCTTGTTCCAGCGAGCCCTGCCTGCAGGCCATGTGCAGCGGGGTAACTGCATTGGCACACGACACACGACACACGTACACACACGACCGCACGCGCGACACGCGCGACACGCGCGACATACGAGTCATGGGTCACATTTCATATCAACGACTGGGCAGTGTGCATACCGTCGGGCGTCTCGAGCGCAGCGCCAGCCAGAATGAGGGCCTCGGTTATCTCGGGTGTCGATTCGGGCATTCGCGCGGCGAAGTGCAGCGCACACGGGTCTGAACCACAGCACACAGAAATTGAACAATTTCAGTCAATAGTCGGAGCTTGGGCGCCCGGCGGCAGTGCACGGGTAGTGGTCGTAACTGTTCGGCAGAGGGTTGGGCGCATTGGGGTCGGCGCCGGCGTCGAGCAGGACGCGCACCAGGGGGAGGCTCTTCATGGCGGCCTGGGTGAGCGGGTTGTAGCGCGCCTGGCTGTGCTCTCCGGAGGCCAGCGCGGCGGCCCGCTCTAATTAAAAAAGACAAGACCGTCAAAGAGCGAAGAACACAGCATCGGGGGGGGGGCAAGAACGAAGCTGTCCGGGGGCAATTATGGAAGAGGTCGTTTCACACCTTTCGTCGACGCGCAGCTGGCCAAGATGCGTTGCACCTCCGCCAGGTTCCCCTCTCGCACGGCCTCGTCGAGGTTGTGTCCGTCCATCTTCTGTTTGTCTTTGGCGAGGACTTCTTGGTATTAGTTCGCTCCGCCAATGAGAACAAATGTTAAAATTTAAAAAACATTAATAAATTAATGCCTCTTGTTCAATATCAACTTATTATTTTGTTATTTAAAAGGGGAATTTCTGGTTACACGTCAGCCTTGCGAGCTGAGGGCGTCGTCCTTGACGTTCTGCAGCTGGGTGAGGAAGTCGCCGAGGTCGTCGGCACTGTTGTCGCCCTTCTTGGTGGCCACGTCGTCGAGCGTGATGACGGCCGGCGGTCGCTGCACCGGCGTGGCCCACGCCGCGAACGACCCAGGCGGCGGCAACGTGGCCGACGACGAAGACCGCGCATGCGCCGGCCCGTGGTGCGTTCGGTCACTGATCGCCCCGCCGCCGCGGCGGCTGCCGCCCGTGTAGGAGGAAGACGACGAGAGGGAGTGCGCCGACGTGGAGAGAGGCGGCACAGATGAAGCTGATGATGATGATGATGGTGATGGTGATGGTGAAGAAGAAGATGTGGAAGAGGAAGAGCGAGGCGATACGCGTTCGTAGGGTGATCGGGAGGATGACGTGGCAGAAGAGGAGGTGGAAGAAGAGGATGAGGTGAAGGAGGCGGCCGGCATCGAGTCGCTCTTGTCGGCCCGTCGGCCTCCGCGGCCGAAGGACGGGAAGAGCGACGAGAGGGACCGGTAGTGGAGCCTGGGCGGCGCGCCGCCCGACGAAGGCGACGACACCTCGGCCGACGACGGCGATGGATGCGAAGCGGGAGATGGAGAGGCCGATGAGGGAGAAGGCGTGCTGCCGTAGACGGGCGTCAGGGAGTAGGAGGAGGCGACGTGCGACGAGGCCGACGATGACGCGGCGGGCGGCGGAAATGAGTCGTCATCGGTCAGCGCCGAGATCCGGTAGGTCGACCGCTTCTCCTGCTGCACGGCGGACTCACTCTGCGCTCCGGCTCCGGAATCGCTGTGGGGCGACGCGTCGGCGGACGAGGCGGCGGCGGAGGGAGAGGAGAAGAACGACGAGTGGCGCGTGAAGATGGCATTGCCGAGCGATTTGAGCGGCGAGTTGTCGCGGAACACACTGTCGCTGGCCTCTGCGTCGACGAACTTGGCCAACTCCTTGCTCCGCAGATATTGTACAGCCGCTTGCAGCGACACCAGGTTGAACCTGGCGCAGGTCACAAACAATAGTCCGGTAAGAACAGGCGCCGCATACGTGTGTCGCATGTCGCGTGTGTCGTGTCGTGTCGTGTCGTGTCGTGTCGTGTCGTGTCGTGTGCGTGTCGTGTGTGTTGTCGTGTCGTGTCGTGTTGTCGTGTCGTGTCGTGTGTCGTGTGCATCGAGGCGCGAGCGTACCCCATTTCGTTGGTTGAGAGGCCGATGAAGGTGAGGTTCTCCATGAGGAAGAGGTTTGTGCGGAGGTTTTTGGGCTTGGAGAGGACAATTATGTACACCAGGAAGGGGATCAAGTCGTCGGTCGTCACGCTCTCCTGCGAATCTGCGCAGCGAGTGGGGGTTGGATGGAGTGAGCTTGTGTTGTGCGAACGAGTCAGCTCACTCTCGCACAGCAGTACATACCTGGAGGCTGACTGGCAGCCACGGTCTTCATGATGAGATCGCACGTCTCCTTGAGGCAGTAGAGCTTTTCCAGCGGAGACGTGCACGTGTCCATGTACTTGAAGTGCCTGCTGGGCGCCACCATGCTACACTGCAACGCCTGCCGAACGCCTGTGGCACACCACACCACACCACACACACACCACACACACGAGAGTGGTTGGGTGAGAAGAGTCATTGCAATTGGGAGGAATGTGTGCAGGAGAGAATGCGTACCAACATCGCTCTGCCTCAAGTTTTTGAGTGATGAGGCGAGCGAGAGGAGATCGTTGTCCTCCTTGGCGAAGAGGGTCGTGAAGTCGTCCCACAGCTTGGCGTGGAGTCGGTTGAGCACATACCTGCGCCGAAAAAGAAGAAGAAGGTTGTGTAAGAACGGGGAGTCCGGCTGGCTTCTGTGCGCTTCGACGTACACTTCGACGATCTCCTTGAACTCAGCCAGATTCCTGTTTCTGATATGAAATTCTCGGAAGACTGGATTGGCGCATAGCAGGGCCTGGTAAGCAACGCACGCACAGGCACACACACACGCACCACCGCACACGCGCAACGCCATAAGTCAGCGCCCACACGCAGGCCACTACCACAACGGGGCGGGAGAGAATGGTTACCTCGACGGCGTAGTTGTAGAGCTCCTGCACCTTCCTGACCACGTGCGACTCGAATCCTTTGACGATCACGTACGTCTTGTTGAACTCGCCCGTGGTCTCGTCGATCTTCTGCAGCACGATCTCGTTCTCGGGGAACGAGTCCAAGAAGTACTTGACCCTGCGTGAGGCAAAATTGCGTGAGCGAGCGAGCGAGCGACATCACCACCATCATCACTTGTCTCGTCATGCCGCTCACGTTGTGGTGGCGCGCAACAACGTACGCAGTGGCCGTTCGCTCCTTGGGCAGAATGCTCTGGTGGTTGTCGGTCACCTGCACCGTGCATGTGCTCAGTATACTATACGATCGCCGAACAGGGATGGGACCAGCACATGGAGAGTGCCATACCTCGGTGCCTCCGATGAAAGGTCGCTCGATGAGCAGAACGCGGAAGCCCTGCGACTGAGCGTTGTAGAAGAGCTCCTCGGAGAGAACCTTGATCCTCCGTTGCTCTGCGAACCCTGAAGACCGTTTTGGCCGCGGTGCGAAGGTTACATAGCGCAGGGTCAGATGGAGCGAATGGGCTCACCTCGGCAATCCTCATTTCAGAGATTGTGGGAATGATGACGAATCTCGCGGAGGGTAAAGGAACCTTCAGTTGTGGTGATGTGATTATCTTCCAGCTCGACGCTCTTATCGCTCAAAGTCGTAAAGCTCCCCTGGAAGTACGGCGACGACGCCAGAATGTGGAGCTCTACAACAGGATAAATTACAATTTATCGAATAAAATTGATCGATGGCCGCGGCGTCGTTGATTAAACGAATGCCAAAAGCAGTTGTGCAAAGGCGAACGAAAGAGGAGGCAGGAGTACTCAAGAACTCTTCGGAGAGGGTGGTGCCGGCAAGGCTCGCGGCTTGAGGCACGCACACGACGTAGCATTTGGATTGGACAAGCTGGTAGAGCCCGGCATGCCTCTGCTTGAGAGTAATGAAAAAGGGGTTGGTAGTTACGTCCTCCTCTTCTTCCATTGTTGCATCTATTTATTATATCCAGAGGTCAATGTTGGAGCCAGTTTTCCCTCAATAATTTCCTTCTCCCTTTTCTTTTCTGTCGTCCTGCTTGAGCGACCAGGCGGTGGCGGACTCCTTCTGGTTCCACGCCAGCATGCCGCCGCGCATGTTGTGGATGTTGGGGAAGCCCAGGCCGGTGAGCAGGGCCGCCGCAGTGGTGCTGCGCACGCCCGCGCGGCACACGCAGATGATGTTCCTGCCCTTGTACTGCTCCAGCTCCTGGTACCTCTGTTTCCACCGCGTGTAATGCGCATGGTCAGCACGGCGCACACGACACACACGACACACACGACACACACGACACACACGACACACATGCAAGGAGGGAGAGAGAACGGACCTTGGTCAGCTCGGACAGTGGGAGCGTGATGCTGCCTGGAATGTGGCCCAGCTCGCCGTCGACCTCGTCAGGCTGCCGCACGTCGACAACCACCGGTCGCTTGTCGTCCGACTCCGCAAGCAGTTGCCTGACCAGCTTCGGCTCGAGCTGACGGATCTCGTTGAGCTCGGCGATGGTGGGGAACTTCATGGCCGTGTCGTTGGACGCCGACACATTGCACTGGAGCGCTTCCATGATCTTCTGGGGCAGCGGCAGGCCCAGGTTGTTCATGATGTGGATGTACTCATCGCGCGTCTTCCCGCCTAGCGACAACACACACACACACCCACACACAACACGTGAGACTCACATAGAGACCGGTTGCGCGTGACTGTGGTGGTGAGACGGGTACCGCCGGCGCGGGGGTTGGTTCGCTTCTCGTGGCCGATCGTGGAGGACACGTTGCCTCGGTAGTCGTGGCCCGGCCACAGCACCGTGTCCTCGGGCAGCGCGAACATGCGCTGGATGCTGTCGTACGACTGCCCGGGGTCACCGCCCGCAAAGTCGGTGCGCCCGGTGCCGCCGATCATGAGCGTGTCGCCCGAGTAGAGGTGGCCTAGCCGAGGCAGGTAGAGCGCGATGCTGTCCGGCGTGTGCCCGGGCGTGTGCATCACCTTGACCTCGATGTCGCCCACGCGCAGCACGTCGCCGTCGCGCACGTGGACCTTGACCTTGGGCGCCGGGGCATTCTCGTGCATGGCCAGCTTGCCCTCGGTCAACATCGCCAGCTCGAACCTGTGCGCGTGGTGTGTGTGTTGTGTGTGTGTGTGTGTGTGTGTGTCGTGAGCTGGTTAGCGCACGTAGGGTGGAGCGAAGAAAGATGGGAAACGACGACGTACCCGGCGGTGAAGTGGTCGGCGTGGGAGTGGGAGTCGAAGATGTACTCGAGCTGGAGCTGGTGGTAGGCCAGCACGCCCAGGTACTTGGGGATGTTCTGCTTGAGCGGGTCCAGCAGCGCCGCCTTCCGCCGCTGCCGGTCGGCGATGAGGTACGTCTTGCAGGCCTCGCCGCCGTTCAGCTCCAGCAGCAGGTGGTTCTCGTTACTCGTCGTCGTGGCCATCCCCGCGCTTCGTTAGGGCACTGACGTCAGTCTCTACGTCGTGCTATTTATTCATTTATCAAATATAATGATTATAATAAAATTGTGCATTACGCGCGCTACACTAAATAAAGATATATTGGGAAGAAATAAATAATGTATAATAATTGATAAATAAATATATCGGGGGGGGGCCGAACCGCAAGAGGTTGGGTCTGAGGTAAGCCGAAGGAGGCTGTTGTGGGTGGCGCTGCGGCAAGTGGTGGTGGAAGTGGCAGCAGCCGACAGAACACGTCGCATGATGGTGAGTGACTCTTGTGTGTTGAAGTGGCTTGTGGTGGTGCGGTGGGGGCTGCCGCGTGTTTGACCCCGCGAGGTCTTGGGTCAGGTGCGCCTGAGCCGATTGGTGCGCCCTGGCGAACGTCCCCGAAGACCCACCGGAGAGGCCGGGAGAACGGAACCTCAACCCATCCGGGGCAATCGCTTGGCTCCGATGAAGAAAAGGAAAATAGATTATTTAAAAAAGAACAAATAACTATAATCAAGAAAAATGAGGACACAATAATGTAAATAATTATATAAAATGGAGAGCGAGGGCGCGGAGGTGCGGCGGGGGCTCTACATCGGGTCGCTGGCCGCGGCGAGTGATGAGGAGTGGCTGGCGGCGCGAGGCATTACCCACATCCTCACCGTGGCGTGGGGCATCGCTCCCTTCTGGCCCGAGGTGAAGCTTCCCCCTCCCCTCTTTCCCTCTACAACTAAAGCTGACCATGATGACCATGAGTAGCGGTTTGCATACAAGGTGGTGTCCGCCATGGACACAGGTACAGCACACTGCTACACAATGCACACATGTCTACGTGGTCGTCCTTCCTCGTGCTGATGTAGTGGAGGGTGGTGAGTGCAGAGGATGAGGACCTCCTGCAACACCTGGCTGCGTGCCACAACTTCATCGACGGAGGGATCCGAGCGGGTGGTGTGCTGGTCCATTGGTACTTTGTTCTACTTCCTGGTTGAGAGTCTCCCATTCTGCCTTTCACATGCGTCATGCGTGTATGTGTTTTTGCGATGTGTGCGTGTGCGTGTGCGTGTGCGTGTGCGTGCGTGTGCGTGTGCGTGTGCGTGTGCGTGTGCGTGCGTGTGCGTGTGCGTGTGATGTTGCAGTTCTGCCGGAGTGTCACGTTCGGCCATGATCGTTTTGAGCCATCTGATGAAGGTAGAAGGTCTCACCCCAGACGCAGCCCTGACACACCTACAGCTCGTGCGACCAGCAGCCTCGCCCAACCCTGGCTTCAGGCGACAGCTGACCGTCTACCACGTACCACCTTCCCCTTGTTGGTACCTTCTAGATCGTGCATTACTCACATTCTTTGTCTTGTGTGGTGGGCGAATCAGCAAATGCTCGTGCGACAGCGACGGAAGGCGGCCAGAGATAGCCAGAACCAGAGCCAGAACCAGGAGAGCGAGACGGAGTCCGCTACCGACGCTGACGTGGCGGCGGCCGAGGACCTGACCAAGCACTACCGTGCAGAGAAACTGCGCATGGTCATGAATGGTACTTGACTCGCTTGAGTGGTGATTCATTTGGTACTGGTCGACCTGTGGCGTCGGAGGCGCTGATTCTTGCATGACGCTGAGCAGAGAGCGGAGAACTGCCGGCCCACTACTTTGCCGCGATACGACGGCCGACCCAGCAGCGCTGCTTCTCGTGCTACAAGTGCAGACAACCACTCTTCAGCGCGGCCAACGTTCTTCACCACGCCACAGGTTCGCTTTCCCTCATCAGCGCACTGTTAAAGGTTGTCCTGTTCGACGCCTTCATTCATAGCATCGCCCGTACGCACACGCAACCGCCGCACTACAGGTGAAGACGTGTACCGGGTCTTTGTCGAGAACACCAACTACCGCAGGGCCAACAAGAAGGGGCGAGGGGCACCAAGCAATGACGCGGCGGCTGCGGTGGGGTCGGCCTTTGTCGGACGATCGTCGGCCCCGTGTGCGTCGGTGTTCGTCGAGCCGATGGCCTGGATGCTCGAATCGTTGGGCGCCGACGAGCTGAAGAAGAGCGAGGGCACCTTCTACTGCCCCAAGTGCAAGTCGCGCATCGGGTCGTGGAACTGGCAGGGTACGTGCACACCATGCATTGCCCATCGCTTCGTTGTTTCTCTTCTCAGCTGAGGTCGTCATGATGACCAACACTCTATCTGTAAGACAGGCTCGCGATGTGCGTGTGGTGGTCACGCCATCCCCGCCTTCCTCATCACCAAGAACCGAGTCTGCTGACCACCCCCTCGACTTGGTAGGCCTAAAGCGAATGTGAGCTTCTGCTGTGCCCGCCCTTCAGTATCTCCACTTCTTGGCCTGAAGCTTGGCTGGCAGGAGGAGTCGTGGGTGGGTGCCCTCTGTGCGACTGGACTGCGGCCTCTCCTCGTGCCGCCAGAAGCCAACCTCTTGATTTACTGCTTTTTATTTATTTTATTTATTTCACGAGCCACACCACCGCCCCACAGACGCACTCTTTGTTGATTCATCGTATACGCCGTATATCCGCGACTATACGATACATCAACCTCAACCACCAACGACCCCATCTGTTGACTTGAATTCGAATTGAAACCGAGATTTCCAAGCTACATTGATTCAATTCATCTAATTCGCGCCCCAGCAACGGATTCAAGAAAACACAAAAAGAAGGGCAACTTCGCAGCTCGACCACATGGGCACCATCATAGCACAGAGCCATGACCTCGCCGCCACCGCGTCTGTGATGTCGAGCCTCCTGGTTGGACTCCAGTCCTGCTCCCTCGAGGAGGTTACCCCAGCGACGCAGCCGCCACCGCTTCTTCAGCAGCTCACCAGCGCCACCACCGCCCTCGGCGAGCTGCCCGACGAAGTGCTGCTCGTGGTGGCGTCCCACCTGGGCGTGGGCGCCTTGGGCGCCTTCGCGCAAGTCGACCGCCGCCTTCGCGCCATCGCCGAGGTTTGACCGTGTCCGCCACCTGTGTGCTGTCGTAGTGTTAGGCCCTGCTTGACGATGGTGCTGACCCCCCCCCCGTGTGCGTGTGCGTGTGCGTGTGCGTGTGCGGCACAGGACGACGCGCTGTGGCGGGAGTTGTTCGGTGCGCGGTTCGGCTTTCGCCCCAAGAACGCCCCAAGCTCGTGGAAGCTGGCCTACCGCGACTACGGTACCACTTCTGCCCCCCCCCTCCCACGTAGCACCACACCAGTTGGTTGTGGTGGTGTTGGCGTTGGTTCTTATTATTCTGATGTGCTGTGCTCGCTCCCCCGCAGAGGCTACGCCTCGCTGGCATCCCACGGAGAAGCACCCTCAGCTGATCGCCACGGACGACGGGCTCACCGTCACCATGCCCTCGAGCCTGTACGCGTACCTCTTGCGTGCCGCGCGTGTCGTGTGCGTCGTGTGGCCGGTGCTGATGCCATTGTGCCGAATTGGCCGAACGACCACCACAGCAACTCAGACAACTCGGTTGAAGGCACCGATAACCGGACCATTCGTGCGACGGTGGAGTACAAGCCCGGCTCGGGCCTGCACTACTTTGAAGTCGAATCCCGCTGCCCCAGTACCTTACGCCCCCCTCTCCCGTTCTCGTAGCCCAGACTGGGACGTTACCACCTAACCGCTGTGTGTGTTTGTGTGTGTCGTGTGTGTATGTGTGTGTGTCATGCCAGATGAGGTTCGGTACCACCCGTACGTCGGTCTGTGCTCCACCAATGAGGCCGTGCCGGTGGAGAAGATGCTGATGTGGCTCAGGTACCCCGCCCCTTCCCCCGCGCCATTACCCTCCGCCGCGGGCTAATCGACGCTAATCGTGCACACGTTCGTGCTCGCAGCGATCTGTGCTACGCCTACGGCGGGAACGGGACCCTCTATTCATCGCCGTCTCTCGAGGGCAATCACCAGCACCTGGGCAAGTACGAGTACGGCGACAAGATCGGTACGCCCTTGAACGAGAAAGCTCGAGTGTGTGATTGTGGGGGATTCTCTGATCGGCGAAGAAGACTGGCTCACACCTGCGACACCCACACCCGCACGGCACGCGAACGTTCAGGTGTGATGGTGGACTACCGCGAGGAGGAGCACGGGTGGCTGACCTTCTTCCTCAACTCGAAGGCCGTGAGCAGCAGGATGCGCATCACTGGCACCTGGTACTCCCCCCAAGTCAGCTGGAACTTGGTCTATTATGGAAGCTGATCTCGTGTCTCGGTGCGTGTGCGGCGGTGCGTGTGTGTCATCACCAGGTTTCCCTGTGTGGGCGTGTTCCACCCGCGCCACGCGCTCCAAATCGTGGTGCGGCCACGGGTGCCCGAGCCCCCGTGCGATGAAGAGGAGCAAGAGCTCGCTACGGCCTGAGCTGCCCCCGCACTCATCACACCTCCTGCAGCCCTCAAGCGCTGCTGTACAGAACAATCCAGAGGCCCGTCTCTCCATTAGTCTCAATGGGTAGCCCGAACTTGACTTTATGGCTGGCCAGCCAGAACTGCGCTGGACTTGTGCATCAAGCGGGTCGGGTCAGCTTCAGTTGAGGAGGTAGCTAATGCTGGTACGCTGCAGGCCCTGCCAGCCGCCTTGCCCGCGGTCCTCGCGGAGTCGGTGCTCCCTCTTGCGTTTGCGGCAGTACCTGATCCCGCACGCGTTACACAGCCTGTGTCGTGTGTGCCGTGTGTTAGGAAGAGCCCACAATCTCTCAGACCTCTGCCCAATTCGCTGACTTGGTGAGCCAAGGTCGTAGAGGGAGGGGAGTACGTGGAGGGACCCAGCGGTCCGCTGCGCCATTGGCTCGTGAATTGGGTGCAGCAGTCGGCGCACATGCGATCGGTGAAGAGCTTCTTGGTCTTCCTGCCCTCGAGGGCGCTGAGTGCGTCTTCGTCGTCGTCGACCACAACGTTGGTCGGCCCAGCCAAGAGCTCCTGCAGCTGCCGGGTGTGGACGTCCAGCAGGCTCATGCTGCGGTACAACTGCTGCTGCATGCTCGTGCGGACCTCTGCTTGGCTGTGCGCGGTGCCCTGCAGCACCAGGCTCAGACGCCCCACCTCAGTGGCCAACCCTGCCACCTGGGTTTGGTGGTGATGTCAGAGGTGGTGAGGTGTCAGACAAGGTCTCATTGTGATGGTACCTTCCCATAGAGATAGGAGCTGGCGCCATCACGGCTGCTGTGTGGGTCGGTCGTGGTAGGGCAGTACATGTGCGAGGGCTTGACGATTTGCGCCTTTGAGCTGGGGAGTAGAGAACGGTACACACAAGCTCTCCGCGTCATTCCCCATTGGCCCAGCCATACAGGCTGATGCTCATCGGCCGCCAGCCAAGTCACAAACCATCAACTCCACCGAAACCTTGGCATGTCCAGGGCCACTCCGTACCGAGTGCTGTGCAACCACTCGACCAAAACAAAAGCTCTCAGGAAAACAAATTTCCTCGGATATATTTTCAGACTTAACCAAACCCAGAAAAATCCGCCCACCCCAGACCTCGGTCTTATGCGCGAATGGCCCAAAAAAAAGGAAAGATGCGGTTGGCCACGAATCCTCCATGGCCTTTTTTCGGTCTGGTTCCTTTCTTATTTCTCCGGTCCCGAAGTCTCTCGGGACTGTTTGCTCTCCCACCTCGCTCCCGCTCACGTCTCCTCTCCGGCCCGAGGCTCTGTAGTCACCCATCCATCGATCTTCCTCTTTTGATTCTTCAGTAATCGAAAGTAGCGAGACTGGTTGGCCAATAGGAAAAAAAAACAGGATATAACCAACGATGGCTACACGTCAACAACGTCAGTTCGATCCGTCGCGGGCCGCCCACCGGGTGGCCATCATCGGCACCGGCGCCTACGCCCAGGCCCTCGGGGCGCGCTTCGCCGCAGTCGGCGTCGAGGTGGTCTATGGCAGCCGAAGCGCAGAACGTGAGGCCGGCGAGAAAGGCGGAGCGCTTCAACAGCAGCAACAGTGTCCGATGATGCTCCAGGGCTGTCCGGTACGGGGTCCGTGCGCGGCGGTGAGCGGAGCCGACGTGGTGGTGCTGGCTATCCCCCTCGGCGCCCACTCGGCCATGGCCGCCTGCATCCAGCGGGTCATCGCCGGGCGCGGCGTCGTACTGATCGACGTCAGCAACAGCCCGCTCGACTCCACTTCACCCGCGTCGTGGCTCCCGTCGTGCTTGAAGAGGCCGAAGAGCGTCACCTCGCCCTCGCCCTCGACCACGACGAAGGCCAAGGCCCATCACGTCATGCCGGAGGGCTACGCCGCGCTGCCGAGCCACTCGAGTGAGACCGCATCACGGCTCGAGGGCCACCAGCATCTGCAGTGCGACGGCTGCCTGAACGGGTGCCACGCGTCGTCATCGTCGTCGGCCACGCCGGTCGACATCGAAGACCTCGTCACGGCCGATTCGCCGCGCCACTACACCCGCTCGCCCGCGCGGCCTCGTCGAGACATCGAAACCGGCGACGACGAAGATGAAGATGAAGATGGAGATGACGAGGCGGAAGAAGAGGAGGAGGACTACGCCGAGCTGTCGAACGCGGAGCGGCTGCAGCGGCTGATGCCCGACGTCGACGTGGTGAAGGCCTTCAACACGGTGTCGGCCTACACGCTCAAGTCCGGGATCGGCGCGCGGCTCGACGACCGCGTGCTCGTGTGCGGCGACCGCCCGGCGGCGAAGGAGCTCGTCTCGCGCCTGGTGCACGCCATCGGCATGCGGCCCGTCGACGCCGGCCCGCTGGCTGCTGCGCGCGATATCGAGCGGCGGCCGCTGCAGCTCTTCGAGGAGTGGCGCACCGCGTTCTGGGTGAGCGTCGCGCTGCTCGTGGCGGCCTACGCGTTCGTGGCCGTGCGCGACGTGTGGCTCGCCGCCGGGCCGGGCCAAGAGCCCCGGTGGGGCGACTTGCTGCTGCTCAAGTTCAACGTCGTCATCGCGTGGCACGCGCTGGCGCTGCTCACGCTCACCTTCGGCGCCGGCGTCGTGGCCGCCCTGCGCCAGCTGGCCACCGGGACGATGAAGCGCGCCTTCCCGCACTGGCTTGACGCGTGGCTCCGCGCTCGCAAGGCCCTGGGTCTGCTCGGCGTAGGCTCGGCCGCGCTCCACGCCGTCGCCGCGCTGCTGACCAACTCGCTCTTCATCGACTGGCCCTACATCGTGTCGCGCGAAGGCACTGAGTTCCAGGGCTCGATGCTGGCCGCGATCCTGGCCGGCGGCGTCTACGCCGCGCTCGCGCTCACCTCGCTGCCGTCGGTCGCCGCGAGCCTGTCGTGGCGCGAGTGGGACTTCATGCAGTCGAAGCTGGGCCACGTCGGCCTCGCGCTGGCCTCGATCCACGTCCTTCTGATGAGCTTCGCCCTGGGCGACCTCCCTGCCGTCGCGCTCTGGGCCGACCGCCACTGGCTGCCTCCCGTCTCAGTGCTCGCCGTCGCCCCGGCGCTGCTGGTCCTGGTCGTGCGACTCCTGATCGTGCTCCCGCCGCTGTCCGGCCGCCTGGCGCGCATCCGCGGCATCGCCCCTCCCGCCGCCGCTGCCACCACCACACGACCGCAGCGAAAGAAGCGAGGAGGTGCCGGGGAGAGCGAGGGGGTGGAGGGGAGTGGGGCTTTACATCACCAGCAGGTCGCTTCCGCCGCCATACGGATCAACTAAACTGGTTTTGACAGCACACAACACGACATGACATGACACGACACGGCACACACAAGCACACCAGGGCCAAGTCGGGATGAACTCGATTGATTCCGTAGTTCTCTTTTGTATACAACACACCAACTGCCACTCTCTCTCTCTCTCAGTAGGTCTCGTCGGTCTTGCCATCGGGATAGTCCTCCAGCGACAGCGTGACCGTGCCAGAGCAGTCCAAGTCCTGCGCAACACAGCAATGAATTGGTCGGTGAGCTGAAGAAAATGAAACAAAATGAAATGAAAGAGGTGGGCGCACCTGATCTCGGTAGATGCCGACGAGAGCGTCGGCGCGCGAGTAGAAGGTGTCCTTGAGCGAGATGACGATGCACTGCAGATCGTCGTCCTCCACTCGCGACCGGATGTAGCGCACCACCTTGGCGATGTTGTGGTTGTCCAGCGCCGCGTCGACCTCGTCGAGCACGAAGAACGGCGACGGCTGGTAGCTGTGAATGGCAAAGAGAAGGGCGAGCGCGGCCACGGTTCGCTCGCCGCCGGAGAGCTGCTCGATGTCGCGGAATCGCTTGAGGGGCGGCATGGCGTTGTACTTGATGCCGTGCAGGTAGGGCTCGTCCGGGTTCTCCAGGTTGAGGAAGGCCGTGCCGCCCACGTGCGACGTGCTGCGGGTCAGCGCCTTGTAGATCGTGTCGATGTTCTCGGCGATGTGGTTGTACGCCTTCATGAACCTGTTGTTTTTGCGACGTGGCGAGATGTCAGTGTGTGTGTGTCGTGTGTGTGTGGTTTGACGTGTGGCTTGAGAAGTCCAGGCACGTACGTGTCGTATCTCTCCTGCTTCTTGGCGGCGAATCGTTCGGCGGCCTCCTTGGCGCGCGTACGGGCATCCTCGAACTCGTCCTCGGTGGTGCGGAGTCGCGTTTCGACCTCGTTGAAGTGGTCCGTAGCGCGCAGGTTGGGCGCCATCTTCTGCATCGCCAGATTGATGCCCTGCAGCTTTTGCTCGAGCTCCTGCTTCACGCGCCCCTCCTCGTCCTTGGGGATCTGTTCCACCACAAAACCAGCACAACACAGTCAGCATGGGCCTGTGGGAGACGACAACTAAAGCAAACGAAGGCACGCGTACAGTCTGGAGCTTCTTGCTGAGCTTGGAGAAGTCCAAGTTGATGTCGTCCTCCTTTTCGGTCATCTCGCGAACGTCCTGAGTCGCCAACTCCATCTCCTCGCTGGGGAACTCAACGCCGAGCGACGGAATCTCTGCATTACCGGCCGCACATGGAAGACGTGAGTCATTTGCAAACACAAACAAGCCAACGGAAAGAACAACCGATCAATATAAAGAAAGAAGCCTGAAGAGACGCATACCTTCGGCGCCTTCTTCGGTCAGCTGGGGAAGGGCGATGTTGTCGACCTTGCAGCGCTGGTACAGGTTGTGCCTTCGCATACGCAGCTGGTCCATTTCCGTTTCCTGCGTGCGCGAAGTGGCGGGTGAGTCAAAATTTCACGCAAAAAGAGAAGAGCAGAGAAGACGGCGTCGTACGAGGGCGGTGAGGTGCTTGTGCTGCTTTCCGGCCTGCTCGATGAGGCCGTTGAGTTTCTTCTTGATGTCCTGCAGCTCGCCTTCAAGGCTCTCCACCTCCTTCTTGGCCTCGTCTCGCTGTCGCTTGAGCTCGTCGGTCTCCTTCTTCTCCTTGTTCTCCTCCTTCTGCAGCACCTTGATGCTCTTCTCCAGTTCCTTGAGCGCCGCCTTGTCGTCCTTGATCCGCTGCTTGAGGTTGTTGAGACTGGTCTCCACGTCCCTGTTCTGTTCGTACTTGAGCCTGTTGTTGATCGGTTCTGCCAGTGAGCGATCGTTCCATGCGTGTGTGTGCGTGTGCGGCGTGCGGCGTGTGCTGGTATGGTAGGGTGAGCGTACTGATTCTCGAGAAGAGAGATCTGATTGCCCAACATGAGGCGCTTCTCGGCCTTCTCCTTCTCCCAGGCCTCGCGCTTTTCTTCGTAGTCGCGGATGTTGGTCACGCCCACTTGCTCGCTGAACGCCCGGAATTGCTCGTCCTCGATTTCGTGGATGCGCGCGGTCTGCGCAGCGATCGTCGCCTCGCGGGCCTCGATCGCCTTGGTGAGCCGTGCCAGCTGCTCCTCCAGCGTCTCGATCTCGGCTTCGACGGACTCGCGCTCCTCGCGGGTGCGGGTGAGCTTGTCCTTGGTGAGGCCCAAGTCGATCTTGAAGTTGTCCAGCCGGCCCTGGAGACCCTGGGTCTGGGACGTGAGCTGCTGCTCCCTCGTCACGCCACGGAGCGTGCGGCCCACTTCCTGCAGCTCGGTGATGTACTTGTCCCTCTTCTTCTTGAGGCCTTCGACCTTCTTTTCGTCCCACTTCTTGGCCTTGGCACCGATGCCCGGGCCACCGGTCATCAGACCAGACTTCCTGATGAGCGTGCCGTTCTTGGAGACGGCTAATATGAACACAACCAACGCCAGTGTTAATTAGAACAGCGTGGTAAAAGAAAAGAAAAGAAAAGAGAACGGTGACGTACTCCTGAGCGGCTGGGCACGGTCGAAGGCGAGGGTCTTGGCCTCGTCAAGGGTGTCGCAATAGACCGTGTTGCCGACGGCGTAGAGCACGGCCTTTTGGATGCGACTGTCGAACTTGAGGAGGTCGATGATCAACTTGGCCGATTTGCTGGTCGCCAGCTGATTGCGCAGACGCTCGTGGATGGGCTTCACCTTGAGCGAGCTCAGCGGCAGGAACGTTGCCGTACCCACGCGCTGCTCCTTCAGATACTGTGTCGTGCGATATGAGTAAGTGTCCCAGCACCCACGTACACGTCCCAAAGAAGAAGGCGCGTACGTTGATGCACTCCTCGGCAGTCTTGGCGTCGTCAACCACGATGGCCTCCATATTCCTTCCCAGCACCACCGACACAGCGACGTGGTACTGACGCGCCTGAGGCTCCACAAGATCGACCTTGCAAAAGAGAAGGAAACAACATAAACGTGGTAAGACCCCCCGTTGAAGATCGAACGTTTAGAAACGCAGTGCATGAGGGGAAGTACCATGCGGCCGATCACGCCGGGGAAGATGCGCTTCATGCTCTCCAGGGCTTCCCGGAAGCGGATCTCTCTTTGATCGGAGCGGATGTCGACCTTGGCCTCGTTGAGCTGTTCGTGAATGTCCTCCAGCTGGGCCATGAGCTTCTCCTGCTGCTCGCTGGCGGCCTTGTTGGCGGCGGAGACGGAGGCGAGCTCCTCCTCGAGCTCGCGCTTCTTCGCCTCGGTCTGGTCGATGAACTCCTGCACCTTGGAGTACCGGCGCTCGTACTGCTCCTCGGTCTCCGCGAGGTGCTTCTTACGCGCCTGCAGGTCCCTGAGCTTGGCCTCGCTGGTGTCCCGCATCTCGGAGTCCAGCCGCTGCTGACGGATCAAGCCCTCCAGCTCCTGCTTGATCGGCGCTGTCTCCCGACCGGCCTCCTGCTTCCTGTTGTTGTATTCCTCCTGCTGCTCCTCGGAGAGCACGAGCTTCTCCTGCGCCTCCCGCTCCTGCACCTGGGCCTCGAAGTCGCTCGCCTTCTTGCGCACCTCGTCCAGCTCGGTCTCGAGGGCGTTGATCTCGTTGCGCTGCTCGTCGAAATCGGCCTGCTGCTTCTTGGCGGACTTGACGGAAGATTCCAAGCGCTGCGTGATGTGCGCGATCTCCTCCTGATTCTTGATCAGGTCGGGCGACTGTCACAAAAAAGCATCACACAGGTTAGGAAGACGTCTGCTTGTAGGAAGGTGCTAGACTGCTTGCGTGCGAACCTTCTTGCGAAGCTCGCGCTCCTTTTGGCGTAGCTGCTTCTCGAGATCGAGGGTCTTCTGGTGGGACTTGGCCTGGCGCGCCTTCATCTTCTTGAAGCGCTTTTCGACGTCGTCGCGCGACTTGTCGAGGTCCTCGAGCTGCTTGTTCCCGTTCTCGACGAGCTTCCTGTCCTTGCTCAGGTTCTTTTCGATGTGGAAGAATTGGAAGAGCATGTACTCCAGCAGAACGTCCCTCTGTCGTTCAAGAGGAGCACTAGCGCTTAGAACCGAGTGCTCTCGCAGCAGAAATTAAAGAGAGAGAGAGAGAAGGCTAGCATGGAGGGAACGCGAACCTGGGTCTTGACGAGCTCATTGAATCGCTCGGCTTCCTCCTTCTGCTCCTTGTACTGCTTCTTCTCGGCGGAGATACCCTTCCTCTTTTGAAAGTTGAAGATGGTGTTCTCCTCGGCCTTGTTCTTATCGTCGGCGAGACGGTCGTACTCCTCGCTGAGCTGGTCCGAGCCCGAGATGGACTCTATCAGGGCGGTCAGCTCCTTTGGCGACTTAGACGCAATGCTTTCTACGTCTCCCTAGCGGCAGCGATGAGGCCAGAGGTCAATAAAGACTTTACGGTGAATATTTCAATTATAATAAACGTTAAAAGAAAAATAATGGTGATCTCAATAACAAAAGAATGAATAAACAAAGGCCATTGTACGGGCAGGTACCTGGAAGACGAGGAAGTTGCGCGCCTTGACGAGGATGCCGAATTTCTGAAGGCGGGCATCGTAGGCGTCCCAGGAGACCACCTTGCCGTTGATTGAATATTCACTGCTTCCGGCTGGTGTGATTTCGCGCCGGAAGACCAGCTCTCGTTCCTCGCCCTCTGGCCCGTGAAGGAAGACCAGCTGCACCCACGCTCTCTCCTCTTCGGTGCCCTCCATCTGGTCTCCCTCCACGCGATACACGAGATCCCTCAATCGCGTGCCGCGCAGCTGCTTCGTCTTCACACCGAGGACGAAGCTCACTGCGTCCATGAGATTCGATTTGCCTAAGGCGAGCCATGCACCAGTGTCAGTAGCGAGTCTAGAAATAAAGAAGGGAGAGAGCAATAAGGTACCGGCGCCATTGGGACCAATTACGGCGCTAAACTTGTGGAATGGGCCGATGGTCTGCTCGCCTTTGTATGATTTGAAGTTGAATACCTTCCATTCAAGAAATTAACAATTAATCAGCTGTTAAATCAATTGGCCCTTGTCTTCCATTAATATTTGCCATTGCACTCACCTCGATTCGCTCGATTCGGCCTGATTGCGGCATCCTCGGCCTGCTCCTATCTCTTCTTCTGCTACGCGATGTTTGACTTTTTTGTTTCCCGCCACTCTTGCTCCTTTCGCGCCAAAAATAAATTCATCAATTCCACTAACCCATTAATTCCTAGAATTAGAAATATTAGTTCTTTATCGAGAGCACAAATTGAGGGCAGGTCGGTTGGTGAGTTAGAGGAAGGCGTCGCAGATGGGGGCAGAAACGCCCTGGAAGAGGTAGGAGGAGAGGCTCTCGCCGAATATGTCGAAGAGCTCCCGGTAGTGGGTGGTGAGGTCGGGCATGAGCTTCTCCAGCGCGGCTCTGTGTTCGGGCGGCGGCACAATGGCGGCGGGGATGGCCGGTGGGATCCCCTCTGCTGCGCTGCCGTTGCTCTGCTTCTCCTCCTTCACCTTCTCCTTTCCCTTCTTACTTTCTTTCTCGCTTTCACCGCTTCCATCCTCCATCTCCATGCCGTCCTCCTTCCCGTTGCTCTCCGCATCGTCCTCCTTTTCCTTCTTGACGGCCGGAGACCTGGCCGCCGCATACGCGGCCGACGTACTCTGCTCCAGATAGCGCCCTGCCGCTTTCTGAGATGGTACGTTGTGAGAGACAAGACGCGACCGGTGTGTGTGTGTGTGTGTGTGGACGCGTACCAGCAAAGCGCCGTAGCACTTCTTAGCCTCGAGTCGGCGGATGGCGTTGGTGCCGTTGAGTTCGGGTTCGAGGAGCGTGAGGTAGGACTTGAGGTTGGGCAGGATGAGCAGCTGCGTGACGTAGTGCCCAAGTGAGCTCAACCCCACGATCGCACCGTAGTGAGTGGTGAGCGGCCTTGACAGGTCCAAGAACGCGTTGATCAACGTCTTCGTGATGCGAGGCTGCAGATTCGTGTACGCCTTCCCAAACCTGAGGACGAGTGGAGCCATGTCAGCACGCACACGACACACGCGACAGAGCAAACCAAAAGGTACTGAAGACAGGGCGAAGATTACCGGAGGCAAATGAGAGCGACGAGAGAGGCGGCATAGTCCCGCAGTTCCCAGTGGTCTTCGTTCGGGTTCTCACACAGACGGCGCCCGACGAGGCAAGTCAAGATGGGCGGCATGAGCTGATGCAACTGTTTTTGCAACGCGACGTGCCGTCGACGCATCGACGAGCGGGAGTGAGCTCACAGTGCATTCTCTCACAGCGGTCGTGAGAAAGGAGATGAGACGTACGTAGGGCTCGATGTGCAGGTTGTTGCTCTGCAGGAGTGCCCGGACCATGCGCATGAGGTTCTTCAGGTAAGCCAGGTTGTGCAGATTGTGCGTCACCTGCAAAAAGCGAGGAGAAGATGAAAGCAGTTGTTAAGATCCAGGCAGCTCTGTGGGCGGGACAAGCCCCCGAGGGCACATACCTCGTCCGATATGAACTGTGTGAAGTAGGGCAGAAGCTGTTGGATGCCGGGGTCTGTCGCAAGGCTGTTCAGAGCTGCCGTGGCCACCTTCTCGCTGGTGCCTGTTGAGCGTGAGCCCAAGCTTCTTCAGTTGCGAACCAGAAACGAGGGGGGAGAGGAGCACGCACCCTTGACAGCCTTGGTGATCTTTTCGTAGTAGAGCTGGAGCTCCTTTGACAGTGTGTGCTTGACGATGGGCCGCACCTGCAGGTCGCTCTCTGCAGCGGCGGCCCGCTTTCGCTTGAGCGCTGGAAGAAGGAGAAGGTGAGTCCGCTGGCTTGCCAGTGTCACCCAAGCAGGCAACTGTTCGCTTCGAGTTCCGTACCGGCATCGCCTGTTTCGATCTGGAGAGTGGGGTTCTGGGGGATGGCCGGCTGAACGCCTTCAACGGCGAGCCAGTGTGCCGAGAGGGAGCTCTCGCGCGGGACCTCGGGGAGGGGCGACGCAATGATCTCGGTGAAGTCGATCTCCCGGTCGTCGATGAAGAACAAGTCCTTCGTACCCACTGCAAGCACGCGAGAAAGAGGAGACGGCGAGGGAGTAGCAGGAAGAGTGAATCCAGAGTTGCAGAGCTGATGAAGGGTGTAGCTCGAGAAAGCAGTGGTAGAGGTTGCGCACCGGCTTTCACGAACTTGAGCGGTTCATTGCCTGAGAAGCCGTAGAGTGTCTAATACCCGAAGCAAGCAGAAGAAGCAGACCAGCGTGTGTAAGGAAGGGCGCTGAGCCATGGATGCAGAGAGAGAGAGAGAGGTGCAGATTGAAATCAAAAGAGGAGAGGGAAGGTGCAAGAGGCACAAACCTCGACGTTGCGCAGGCGAAGGGCGTTGTTCACGTCCTCTGTGGACATCTTCTCCCTCTTTGAATGTCGCATGAATTTGATCGCCTCCTGCAGTGCACTGGCTTAGAGAGGAGGAGACCAAAGACGCTGCACAAATCAAATTTGGTGGCGAAGGGGGGGTGCCTGGATGATTTCGCGCAATCGGTATTCCACATCCGACGCCAAGCCAACGGCAACCTCATTGCTCAGGTTTTCTATGCCGACACTTTCGGCGATCACCTTGATCGAATCGCGAGGCAGCAGGCTCATCTTGCCAACTTGCCGATGTGCGAAAAGTGGCCAACAATCAAAAAATCTCAACTAAATCAAACGGTAAAAATAAAACAAAAAAAACGCTGATCAAATTAATTTTACGCAAGTAGAGGATCCTCTCAGTGGAGTGTGGCGGCTGTGGCTCAGGCGCCGTAGTACTCGAGCTCGTGTCTCCGCTGTCGGAGGCCAATGACGATGGCGGCGCCGAGAAGTACGCCGAGGAAGACCATCAGCGTGAGCGAGAAGGCCACCATGCCGCTCTCACCGCCGGGGATGGGCGGTCCCACGCGTCGGGCTCGTCAATGAGCAGCTCCGCAGTGTAGGCGGTGTTCGCCGCACCCACGGCCGACGTCGTCAGAGCCATCTGCACGTTTACAATCCTTCCGACCTAGAGCACCGCCATGCGCCTTAGAAACACATACACACAACACACACCACGCACGCACACACACCCACACACACGGAGGCAGATGATGGGATGGATGTGTACCTCAATGACAAAGCTCGTGGGGGAGGCGCTGGCCAGGCGTTCGGCAAAGAAGAGGGCAATGTCGTTGCGCAGGCCCAGCTCCACGAAGCCCTCGTGGTAGATGAACATCGAGTCCTTGCTCGTGGCCGGCGCAATCAGCGGAGCCTTCGCCATGCACTGGCACAACGGAACAAACAGAAGCGATAAGGCTCGACAGAACAGGCCACGATGCAGGCCAACTCGGGGTCGGGAGACACGTACGTCGGAGTTGGTGTCGACCACGCGCTGGTAGTTGGGGAACAGGCGCACGACGGCTCGCTCGTTGTGGGCGCCATCGAGCTCCTCGAGGTCGGTGATGTGGTTGAACTTGGACCCTTCCTCGTGGTTCCACATGAAGTCGTAGAACGCGGCCAGGTACCACTGGGTGATCTCCGTCCGCACCTCGTACTCGGTCGGCTTGAGCATCATCAGGCGGATGTGCGGGCAGCCCACATAGTCGGGCTGCAGGAGCAGCGCGAGGGCGGCCTCCTGCTGCTCCGCGGGCACCGGTCCGCTCGGGTCAAAGCTCGAATCGTTGAGCGCCGCCCGCAGCTTGGCCAAGGTGGGCTACGGCATGCAACCATCAAACAAGCGTGAGGGGCCACGCGCGAATGAAGACAAAGAGCGAAGAGCGAAGAAACGGGCGTGTACCAGGTCGGAGTGCAGGTACCAGCGTCGGACGCGGTTGACGTTGCCCAGGTACTCGTTGAGTAGGTCGCGCACGGAATCGCGGGTGAGCGCCGCAGAGGGGTCGACCTGCTTCAGTTCGCGCTCGTAGACGGCCAGCGCCACGATGAACTCGCCCGAGTCACCGCCCGGCGTGTTCAGCTGCGGTTCGGTCGAACGCCCGTCGATGCTGTATCCCCGCCGTTGTCGGTTGCGCCGTGGGTCATTCATGACTCCGTCCCCGGTCGCTTTCGTTCTTCCATTCTCTTGCCTCTTCTTCTCCGCTTTCGTTCTTTTTGGCTTCGCGGGGGGGGGGGAAGGAGCGACGGACGTACCACGACCAGTGGACGCTGCGCGGATCGACGAAGGCTGAGGCCGAGCGGAGATGAATCTCCACTTCCGCCGCGGGAAGGCCACCTTCTCCCTTGTGCGTCTGCTCGACTGCCACCCTGGGAAGATGGCACGAGAACTGCTTGGCTCCTAAAAAAATATGTAAATAAAATCAAGCAGCCAAAAGAATGAGAACGGATTATATAAAAAAAGTGGGTTGCGCACCATGGGTCCAGAGGCAGAGGGAGCCGAGGATGATAAGAAGCAAGAGTGCGTGCGACCACGAACCGCCCATCTTTGTATGAGAAAACAAGAACACATACAAAAGTGAGAAACCAGGTTGGCCTGTGTCCGAACAGGAAATTACAGGTCGAAAATAATAAAGAAACAATATGAATAAAGAAAAGGAAAAACCAATGGTAAAGCCGAGCACTTGCTATGTTAACACAGAAGGTGGCAAAGGCAAGGTAAGTTCCTCAATCTTGCTCTGGTTGGACAAAGAATGTAAACTTGTTTCTCTTTTTCACAACGGCAATCTTACACGATGGCGGGTGCCTCTTTGCCCGACGTACTACCGGGCATGGCCAGGGAGTAGGAGCGGAACGCCTTGTCCAACTCCTCTTGCACCTGCACGCGCGTGCGTTCATTCGCGCAGGAGGTGAGCAGCGTACGCCTCGCAGGAAGGGTGAACGTGCTGGTGGAGGCAAACCTGCACCGGGGTGTGGCCTTTGCGCAGAAGCAGGCGGACCTGGCGGAACAGGTTGTCGTAGATGACCGAGCTGCAGATGACGCTCATCTGCTGTCGCGCCTCACTTTCATTGTGCTTGGCTGGACCGGGGAGGGAAGAGCGGAGTGAGCGATTAGGGGGGTAGTGTGGACAGGTTGAGCGTCAATGGCGTGCCCGTGTACCTCGCTTCAAGAGGGCCTCGTTGATGTCTTCGGCGACCTCAAGGCCTTCTTTGCGATCCACCAGGGCGCAGCATTGGTTGGCCGGCACCAAACCTTTTTTTTAAGGCGCAGACATGAACGTTTGTTAGCTCATGCCGTGCGCAGAGCTGAAGAACGAAGAACGATGAAGAACGATGAAGAACGAAGAACGATGAAGAGCCGCACCAACGTTCACGAGCGATCGTATGGTGTTAAGCGTGTCAAACGTGGTTTCCATGTACACAAGCCGCGGAGTTGTACGCGGGTCATAGCGCTCCGTGTCCCTCGCATCCAGAACCTGAGCTCAACACAACGCGCGATCAGCAGACAGGTTTCCCAAGCGTAAGTCTTCGTACCTCGAAGCCAAAGTTGCTCAAGAGCCCGCGGAGCGTACGGAAGTAGCCCCGGTTCGTCGTGTCGAACACGATCTTCTTGCGCGACGGACCCGGACGCTCGTCCGGTTCGTCGGGCTGCGTCCGCCCCACCGGCTGCTCATTGCCGTCATGCGTAGCCGCTCCCGCGGTAAATTTACTGCGAGCAAATGGGTGCAGGTCAGGGTCTGTGCTGTGCGCGCGGTGGTGCCAGAGAGGATTGTTTGGGGGGGGGGTACCCGTTGGCCCAATCCAAGATGGCGCGCAGCAGGGGAGCCTTGGAGTCGATCAGCACATCGACCTCACGTAGCTCTCGCACTCGATCCGCAACAGTATACCTATTGCCGCCTCCCGTTTCCTTCGCGTGTTTGTGTCGTGTGTCGTGTGTCGTGTGTCGTGTGTCGCGTGTCGCGTGTCGCGTGTCGCGTGTCGTGTGTCGTGTGTCGCGTGGTGTCGTGTGTCGTGTGTCGTGTGTCGTGTGTCGTGTGTCGTGTGTCGTGTGTCGTGTGTCGTGTGTGTTAGCACAACACATTAGATGCCTCGATCGAGGTATGCAAGCAACGGAACGAACGTACAATGCTCATTTGCGGATCGGCCAGGAGGACTCGAATGACCTTGTCCTCCGGGGTCACCGCCGGGTCCTTGCGCAGCCGTTGCTCGATCATGAAAAAGGCCTGCAATAATTGGTCCACGCGGACGATTAGGGTTACTTTCCCCCCAATGCGAGGGATCCAGTAATGGATAGGTTACCTGAGAGGCGTCTTGAATGGTGAGGTCCTCGTCGAGATCGTGTCGCAAAGAGAGCGACTGCTCGCCGACGCTGCTGTCGGCTTCGACGACGAGTATGCGCTTGCCCTGTTCTGTGCGTATGAGCCACTTGTGGTCCACGTTGAACCCGTTCCACTAGCGAGCCACCACAATTAGTCTTCATGCCTAAGATATCATCTTCTCGGCCAGAGCTAAGGGAAGAGACTTACTGAGTGCCTCTTGCCGTAGGAGCGGGCGCGGATGCTCCAGAAGATCGGGTACTTGCCCTTCTGCGTGAAGTCGTGGAGAATCCCTGGATCCTCCTGTCAGCCCCCACAACGGCCAAGAGGTTGCTGGTGGTCAGAATGCGGTGCAGGCGGTAGTGGGACTAACGGGTGAAGCTGCAGGGTACCACGATCGGTACGATATGCAGGCCGTCCAGTTCCACTGACAGCTCCGTGCAGTCGCTGGACTTGCCGCCGAGCCTGACCACACGCTCCTGGTGCCCCAACAAAGAGTTTACACAAGTGCGACGACGATTGTGAGACGAATCTAAACAAGAGTGCAAGTGAGTCGGAGGCGAAGTGCATACCTTCGGCCCGGAGTAGGTGAGCATGGGCTCTCTTCCATGCATCACCTTTTGGCGGTACTGATGTGAAGCTTCAATCCCTGAGCCACCACGTTGAACGCCTGCAATTACCCACCAGCACGCACACGCACACAACGCATACCAGTTAACAGGGTTCGATCCGATGGGTAGACGCGAGTACTCGATCAAGGAATGGTCAGGTTCGAGCGCTGCCCAGCCTCATGATGCACACCTGCGCGATGCCCACGAACCCGGCCACCATCGCTCGCATCGTTTGGAGGCTCTGTATGAGCGACTGAAGAGAGAGAGAGAGAGAGACGCGGTAAGTCAGTGCTCGACCGACAGCAGACCTTTCACGTTCGAGTGCGCACCTGGCGTGAGGCCTCCTCGGAGGTGATCGGGTGCGAGGGAGTCCATAGCAGCTTGGAGGGGAACTCCCTGCCCTGCGCCCGCACAATCGTGGCAGCCTGCTTGGTCTTCCAGATGAACGAAGGCAGCACGTTCTCCCATCCGTACCTGATGGCGCGCAGACGCAGCAGGAGCGTGAGCGAGTCCGCCTGCGTACTCACAAGCCAGTGTGCGACCACTGGGCAAAGGGTCGGTGTACCGCGTGATGAATCGCAGCGTCTCCATGTCCAAGCTCCTCTTCTTGGTGAGCAGGTAGCCCTCGTACATTCCTGCACCTCAGCCATCGAATCATTAGTCACTGGAGGCCAGGCCATCCCACCGGGGGCTCGAACGCACCGAGTCCCATGACGCTGCCCACCATCACCACCAATCCCACCTCTGCACACGCACGCGCGCCACCACACATACGCACACACGCACACACACGACCCCAGCCGTCAGTAGACTGGCCGAGGAGCAAGTGATGGAGGTACCGGTCTTGGGGTCTTGCAGGCTGGCCAGACAGCGACGCATCACGCGCGTGGACACCTCCCACGACTGCAGGGCGTGCGAGCCCCACGCGGAAAGGAGGAAGGAGCGATCGACGTCGTGCCACTCGGTCGGGATCGACTTGTCGGCTGCCGGCAGCGGCATCTGCTCGTGATGCTGGTCTCGTGGCCCACCCTCGCAGTCGTCGTCTTCTTCACGCCTCCTCTCCCTGTTATTGTTGTGATGGTGGTGTGCGTTGCTGTGGAGGTGGAGGTGCACGCCGCGGACGGGGTGGTAGCGCAGCAGGCGGTGTCGATGGTCGGCCAGCAGCACCGACGAGGAGAACCACTCCCTGCGCTCTTGGCGATGGCCATCGGCACCGGTGGCAGCCACCTTCGAGACACCAGCTGGTGCGGCATCCCTCTCTTCTGCCATCTGCAGTCCCTACCGAGTGCACGTAGTGGAATCGTTGTCCTACTGTGACGGATGGTGACGAGCGCTCACCAGATCTTACGATCGTCACTACAATCGTAAGAAAAATGGATCAACATGATTTCAACGATCTGCGCAAGATGCGGCACTACCACAGAAGCTGGTAACAACCTCCTTGCTGGGCTGCCCAGTGGTGCACGCTTGATGTATTATTATCTTCTTTCTCATTTTTGTTTATTTATTAATTTCTTGTTTGATTTTCTGAAAAGAAGAAAGGAAATTAGGTGAAGAGGTCAGAGAACCAGCACAAGACGCAACAGCAAGAGAGGACGTGCAAGAAGAAGATGAACAACAAGGAAACGCTCGAGTCCTTTCAAAGCATAACAGGAGCCGACGAGGCCACCGCGCGATGCTTCCTCGAATCCTCCAACTGGAATCTCGAGGTGCCCTCTTCTTCCCTGTCTTTTGTGAATCACACCAACACAGGCTGCTCTCAACGTGCTTATGTGCCCACCACCACAGGCGGGCATCAGCACTTTCTTCGACCACGGAGGGGTGAGCCCAGCAGCCGCGGTCGTTACGGCCTCGAGGGTCCCCTCCCTCGGCAAGAGCGACCACAAGCAGAAGAAGACGCTCCACAGGAGCGGCAGCGGAGGAGACTGGCCGACCACGTACCATCCCACGCCACTCATGTCTTTATTTCTTTCTCTATTTATTATTCTTATTATTGGTGCGTGTGGTGCGTGTGTGTGCGTGTGCGTGTGCGGCCGAGATCAATGGTTGATGATGGCGATGGTTGGTGGTGATGGTCGATGGCCGATGACACAGGAGAGACGACGTGAAAGAAGAGCTCGCGAGGCTCAAGGAGGACTACCAGCGCCTGCACGAGCGGCTGGCGCTGTACGAGCGGCGCGAGAGGGAGCAGCAGGAGCGGGAGCTCGAAGAGGAGGAGGCGCGCCGCGAGCTCGAAGAGGAGGAGCGCGACAACAGATCGGCGGCCGCGGCCATGGTGCCAGTGCCGATCGACCCCGAGGAGCGGCGGCGCGCGCGCCAGGCCTACCGTCAGCTCGCCGGGCGGCCTCGCGACGGCGACGTCGGCCTGTGGTCCAACCGCCAGCGTGAGCGTAGCAAGCTGCGCGCCGGCGACCTGCAGGCCCTGGCGCACATGCTGGGCCTGGCGATGACCAACGCCGAAGCGACGCGCACGGCGCAGGCCCTGGCGACTCGCGCGAGCGGCGGCGACGACGGAGAAGACGCGGAGCAGGTCATCCGTGGTCTCGTTTCCTACGCTGGTGGGCCGCCGTGCGAACCAAGGTTCTCTTTTCTCTCTGCGTCGTGGTGTGTGGTGTGTGTGGTGTGGTGTGGTGTGTGTCAGCTTACAAACATCAAGCGAGTGCGGTGGTAGTGCGTGTGCTCACGAAAGTTAGTTTTTACGTTGTCCTTGAGCGCAGCTGAACAAGCAAGATCAAAAGCCGGGCGAAAAATGGAGTGCGGTCAACCCGCTCGCCAAGCTGCAGCCGTGGACCACCTTCCTCGCCCAGGCCCGAAGCGCGGCTCAGGCTTCCGCAATGGATGGTGACTCGGGTGACGTCACCCTGGACGTCGACATCAATGCGGGCACTCCTCCCTCTTCTCAGGCCGCGGCCATTCACGCCAAGCTCAGCCTCGACGCCACCCAGGGTTCGTTTTTCTTGCCTGTCCTGCACTTCGTACATGTGATTGTCGCCCTCACTTCATCTCACCCATCATTTTCCTCTATTTTTCTCACCGCAGCGGCCTTGTGGCGAGAAGACCACCGCGCTCCGTCGGAAGACAGCACCATCCTCTCTTTTTCCTTCACCACCGAAGAGGTACGACATATCTGAAGTGCCCTTCTTTCGTCGGGGCTTGAGGTGGGTTGGATCTGACCAGGTGCCCATTCATTTTTGGTTGGTGAACTCCCACCAGGGCGTGGACAGTTTCGGCCTGGGCGAGATCTCGGGCGCGCTCAAGGACATTCTCGCGTCGATGCAGCCAGTGCTCCAGTACTCGAGCTTCCAGGTGCAGGTCAAGCAGCAGCAGCCGAGGGAGGGATGCAGCGACGGGAAGGAGAAGGACAAGGCCGTCGCCGACGAGGGGGCGGCGCGCATCTTCCGGCTCACCCTCTTCTTTGCCGACCTGGCGCCGGTGCACGAGCTGGCGGGCCTTTTGCTGCTCGGCTTCGAGGCCAAGGACCTCGAGGCCAGCCTACAATTCAGCGGCGGCATCTACAACGACGAGAAAACGGTGCGCAATGATTATTTTTTATTTTATTTGTTTTGTTGGTATATTTCTGTATTAATTATCATTTATTCATTCATTATCTCAAACTTTCCGACACCCAGAGCGTGCACAGCGAGGAGAGCATCAAGGCCAGCGCCAGGGTGCGCGCCCAGCTCCCGGGCCACCAGCTGGCGGTGCTTCTGAAGGCGCTCAAGGCCTACCGCGCAGCTACGAACCTCGCCGGCGGGGCTGTGCGCCACGACGACGACAGCGACGACGATGATGCCCACATCGCGAAGCTGGTGACCAAGCTGCGCCAGCTGGCTCTGCGGTTTGAATTTGCCGACCTTGCCGACGCTCTCCGCCACTACCTCCCATCGTTGGCGACCGCGTGGCCCTCAGCTCAAGCAACGACGTCGGGATCCTCCACTTCGTCATCGTCATCGACGGCGGCGTTCATGGAAGATGTCAGGACCTCACCGTCAAGCGCGCGTGCTGCGACGAAGCTGACGTGGCATTCGCTGAGGCAGAGCCTGTGCGCACGCTTGGCGCAGGCGATGGTCGGCGCCCCGCCGCCCGCCGTTGCGGCCTACAGCGACATTGTCCAGAAGCTCCGCGTACCGACCCACCCTCTCCGCACATCATCAATCCACTGACATCATGCGCTTGGCGTCACCAAGCCTAACGTTCTAATCTCCTTCCTTATCAGGCACTGGATTCGATTCATTTGCAATGCGGAAACGCTGCGTTGCGCGTCACGTTCGACAACGCGCTGCTCTCGTTCCTGCCGAGCATGGCCGAGCTGACGCCCGTCATCGGTACTCCACGCCCCTCCCTCTATTTGAACCTGCCGCCACTGTGTCCGCCTGACCCGTAAGCTTGGCTTGGCCGCACCACCCAGACAATCTGCGGGAGGCGCGTAGCGAGGAGGCCGCACGAGAGAGCCTGCACTCGCAAAACATCAGGCTGGTGTTCATGGGCGACGACACGGTGGGCAAGGTACGCGTTCATCGTCGAGAGACTCTAAGTCGCTGTGCGTGATGAGTCACGCGCGGAGCATTCTGAATCAAGTGACTAACCGGGTGTGAGATTGCAACGGTGTCACGAGCAGACGAGCTACTTGATCACTGCGGCGGAGCACGCGTTCCCCCTGCACGCGCCCATGATGAACGAGAACAGGGAGCTCTCGCTGGCCATCGACGGTCGCACAGTATGCGTCTGTACGCAACACTCGCATATGACGCTCACGCCCGCCGTCCACTAGCAACTGCGCCGCGCTGGCTGACGCTTGACTTGCCTCGACACAGCGCTGTGGGACAGCATGGGAGTGGACAGCTACCGGCGGCTGCGGGCTCTGGCGGCTGGGTCGACCGACATGTTCGTCATCTGCTTTGCTGTTGATGACCCCGAATCCTACGCCTCCGTCAGAACCAAGGTTCAAAAACGTCATTCGCATTGTCACAGCCTTCTACGCGGCACACGACACACACCGCAGCAACTGACGCACATGTGTCGGTACACCGCAGTGGGTGCCCGAAGTGCAGACGCACTCCAAGCCGTTCATCGTTTTGGCCCTCAAGACTGACCTGCGTCGTGTGGCGGGCTCCTCTGTCATTACGGAAGAGGAGGTGCGTTGCTCTCCCCCATTTATCAGCTGGCGGCGTGCATCGTTCACAATGCCGCGAGCATTCAATCAACCCCCCCCAACGTCATCGTTGCTGCCTTACCTCCTTTGCAACACCAGGGCCGTAAGCTCGCTGAGGAAGTCGGGGCACAGGGCTACGCCGGTATCTCTCCTGACCTTCTCTCTCTCTCTCTCTCTCCATCTTTGTGTTGCCTTGTCCCTGCGCTGTTTCTTACGCTCTTTCCAGAGGCTTCGGCGCAGGACATGAGCGGGCTGCCCATGCCAATCCTGGAGTCGTACCGGGTACACACACCCCCCTCCCCACAAGGTCCCATGGTGCACCACTGTCTTACCCCCAAACGCGTTTGGGGTGGGCGCTGGGCAGGCGCGCATGAAGTTCCTCAGCTCGGGTCCGTCCGACGGCGCCAAGCGCCGAATAAGAACAAAGGGAAGGAGCCTCAGTGTCACGTCCTTTGAGTAAGCCTCGCCGATCACAGTTGAGAGCGCCGGCCCTGTGCAGGTGATCGACACACAAACCCTACAACTATATTTTCATTATAAACGTGTTTACCTTGTAAGGTTCGAACTAAGTGGTTTGTGCATGTTTACGGTCTTGCCCGTCAAGGGTCTTGACCCAAGAGGACGGCTCAAGTTTTTCTTCTTCTCCAGCTCCGTACTATTGATAGAGGAGATGAAGTGCGCGCTTGTGTGCCTCACGCTCGCCCTGTTGGCGTTCGCCGTGTGCGGTTCGCTGGGCAGTGACACCGCCATCAACTTCAACTTTGAGGGCATGATCCCCCCCGCTTCCGGCTCCGACGGCCCCAGGCACCACCAACTCAGAGTCTTTGAGGTCTCCACCACGGACGTGGCCACCCCTGGCTTCGGCTCCGACGAGAGCGCTCCCCTCATGACCGGTACGTGCCCCCCCTCCCACCGCCACACTACACAACAATCCACAAAAACGTTTACGTCTTGATCAACTTCATCCTCAACTCCTGGTATTGAGCCAAGCTAATGGTGCCTCAGACGTGTGGGCCAACCAGCTGTGGGATGAGGACAAGAGCGAGGTGGTGGGCTATGACATTGGTCAGTGCACCATCACCCCGGCCGTCAACAACGAGGGTCCCCTCTACCAGCTCTGCCACGTCACCCACTTCTACAACGGCGGCGCCGACCAGCTGGTCGTTTTGGGCGCCACCACCTTCGAGTCCGAGCCCCAGACTGTGTCCATTGTGGGCGGCGCTGGCGCTTACGCTGGTGCCTACGGCAGCTGCACCTACCAGCCCTTCCCCAACTACGACGTCCACTACGTCTGCGACTTCTACACCCCGAACTAAACCATCACATCGTCGTTCTGGAAATGTAATGAATGCCGTTGCACATCACCAAGTGTAGTTGTATCGTGTGGGAGTTTGTGAGTTGCGGAGCTTGTGCGCGTTCGGGAAGCGAAATTCGGGCCGCATGTCGCCCACACGATGACGGAGGGCTGATGAGAGGCCGAGGGACCACAGCTGCAAAGGGCCTCTGCATAAACGATTGGTCAAAGGGAGAGGGGCAGCTCGAACCGCCCCGCGGGATGATCAGAAGGACGCACACCCTTGTCAGGCCATCCGGTAGGCTACTAAGACTCACCACAGCACAGGCCACAGAGCGCCTAAACACAACCCTAAGGCAAGCACTCACCACATACCCTGAGGAGGGGATGGCTGTGAGTTGGCGATTGCTAATATGTGCCGCGGTGGTGCTCGTTCTCGCGTGGTGTGCTGTTTGGCACAGCAGACACCACTACTACTCAGTACAGCAAGAGAAGAAGATGGCAGATGAAGTGAAGGTGGAGGCCGCGCCCGGGATCTTTCTCTCGGGCAACCTCAACATTCCGCCCGGCGCCAAGGGCATCGTCGTGTTCGCCCACGGCAGCGGCAGCGGCCGCTTCAGGTGCGGTGCCGGCCACGCTCTCTCGTGAGTGGGCTTGAGATTGTTAACACGACACGCACGCACACACAACACGCAACACGACACGACACGCAACACAGCCCGAGGAACAGATACGTGGCGCGGGTGATGCAGGAGGGAGGGCTGGGAACGTTCCTGTTCGATCTGCTCACGCCCAAGGAGGAGGAGATCGACGACGTCACGCGCGAGCTGCGCTTCAACATCCCCTTCCTGGCCGACCGCATGGTCACCGTGACCAAGTGGCTGCGCGGCACCGATGCCACGAAGGACCTCAACGTGGGCTACTTCGGCGCCAGCACCGGCGGCGGGGCGGCCATCGTCGCTGCCGCGCGGCTCAAGGGCGATCCGCAGGTCCAGGCCGTCGTGTCCCGCGGCGGACGGCCCGACCTCGCAGGTCCGTTGATGATGAAGTTGAAGAAGAGATCGAGCCTGACGATGATAATCATGGAATGTGATGTGCAGGCAAGTCGCTGCGTGACTGCATCGTGCCGACGCTGCTCCTGGTGGGCGGCTGGGACGGCCCCGTGATCGACATGAACAAGGACGCGCTCGACAAGCTTGCCGCTCCAGGTTTGGTCCCCACCTTCACCACCACCATCACCAGACCAGGGAGTCAGTCACTACTAACACGACAGGTGTGGTGCGGTGGTGCGAGCAGTGAAGGAGCTGAGGATCATACCGGGCGCGACGCACCTGTTCGAGGAGCCCGGCAAGCTGGAGGAGGTGGCCCGCCAGGCCCGCGACTGGTTCAAGAAGTACCTCGATACCCCGCAGGCCCCCTCGGCCAGCGAGGAGAGATGAGACAGAAGACGATGAACACACCACGAGGTGTAGAACAACGGAGAGAGAGGGAAGAAGGCGAGGGAGGAGAGGGCAAGGTGGGTGGTGATAAAGATACATTTACTCTTGGTGCCCTGGCGGTTGGAGGAGGGACGACGGACGATAGAGGAGAAAGGGAGCGCGCGCAGGAGCACGCGCGAACTGTGGAAGGAGCGGCGAAGGGGCAACCGGACCCCATTCGTCATCAGGCTCCGTTCTGCGGAATATCGAACCGCACGGGGCAAGCTGCTCTTCAGAAGGGCCGCCCTCTCTCCGCGTCGTCGTCGACCTTACAAAACTGCCACGCGCGCGGCTGTCGATTCGCTGTCGCTGAGGCCTCGTCGTGCCCATCTGGGCGAATGTATCTCTGGGTCTCGCTCCCACTCCAGCTCGGGCTGTATCCAGCAGCCTCGCTTGCTTGTTTGCTTGCGTCCTCGTCCCTCCTGATCTCTGTAGCCTCCACTCTCTTCTTCGTCCTTCGCCTCTTTCTTCCTTTCCAACCTCCTCGCGACCGACAGCACCCGGCTTGCCGCCCATCGCCGTCCTCGAAGCGGTTCCGCTTTCGCGTTTCGCTTTCGCTTTCGTTCTTTCTTTGGTTGGTGGTGCCGTTTCACCAGCCCGTCGAGACCGTGACGGTCTGCAGCTGGGCCGGCTGCTCGGGTTGCACCTCGTCCGAGACGTTTGCGTTGTTGACGTTGGCGGCGACGACGGCCGGGTGTGTCGGCTTGGCGCCGCTCGAGTGGCCGATCGGCAGGAAGGTGTTGAAGCCGATGAGCAGGTTGGGATGTCCCTCGAACAGCTGGTACACCTGCGTCACCAGGCCCGTGATCTCCACCCTTGTTGGTGGACACACGAACAAGGAGAAGAAGTTTAGTCTGAGACGGACGCGCTGGGATTGGCGGTTGTTTTAAAACAAAAGTCCGAAAAAATAAAATAGGAATTAGGAAAGGTGACTGGGCAGGCCAACCAACGGGACCAGAACACAAAAATAGAAACGAGAGGAAAGCCAAGGAGGCCAAGGATGAGGAGAGAAATCATATAGATTGGGAGATGGAAAGATAAAGAAATAAAATATGAATGGGATGTAGGAGTAGTTACCTTTGTTCCTTGAAGGCGTGCATGACGGCGAGGAAGGCGCGGTAGACTTCGGGTCGCTCGGCGAAGGTGCGCTTGACTCGCTCGAGGTAGCTCACGGCTCGCTTGAGCACGCGCGAGGGAGCCTGCGCGGGCGCGCCGCCCTCGAAAGCCTCGCCGCCCTGGGCCTGGTCCCTCTGCACCCTACACACGCTCCTCGGTTGCCTCATCTTCCTCGTCTTCGCTTTCGCTTTCGTTCTTTGGTGCGCTCTTCGCTCTTCGCGTTTTGACGACGAAACTCGACGTTCGTTGTTTGTTTGGTTGTTTTGTGCGAGTCGGTGGTGTGTGTGCTGGTCTCTCGTAACCAAAGGAGTGAGGACTCTGCGGACTGCGGCGGGCTGCGAAGAGGCTAACTAACTCTAAAAGAGGAGAGCTCTTTGGTTGAGGTGAGCGTGAGAGACAAGCGAAGCAAGGAGGAGGGGCGCCGTTTTGCCTGTGGCCCTTCTCCCCTTCGGGCCTGCCAACGGCGAGTGGACATCGTTCTCCGGTGTCACGGCGCGTCGCACGTGCTTCATTACCTGGCAAACACCGATCGGAATGTGCATGCTTCGCGTGCGTGGGAGGTTAAAACCGTCGACCACCGATTCCAACTGGATTTCGGTTGGCGGGCGCATAAACTGACACGGGGTTTTGCTGTGCACGTGTCAGGCTTTTGTGATCCGAAATTTCTGAAGTCCGGTCGGACGCAAAACAAAATTCTGCGGAATGAAATCATTTTTCTCTTCTGTTTCTCTCGACTTTTTCGTGCCTGGATTTTACACGGGGCGGAGCGCGCGAACGAGACAAAGAGATGGCCACGGACGGGACTGCAAACCGCACACCACGGCGGGCAGATGATGATGATGATGATCTAGACCACGTCGGGCTGTTCCCGTTCGATCAGCTGCCGCCCGAGCTTCAAACGCACATTTTCTTGGCACTCGATCTGCCCTCGCTGGCGGCCGCCATGCGGGTTTCGCCCACCTGGTGCGCCATGATTGAGGAGCCGGTCATGTGGAAACTCAAGTACGCTCGCTTCTCGCCTTCTTCGCCTTCCTTAGCACCACCAGGTCGCTGACAACTGGGTGCATCATCTGCAGATGCCTCCGCGATTTCCCACACTATCTCGAGGGGGCGCCTTTGCCGGAGCAGGACTGCGTCGTCCCTGATGAACAGAACTACAAACGTATGCGACCCCTCGCTTGACACCCAACACACACACACACCATGCACCACGCACACGGATGCGCGACACTAACGCCCTTGCTCTCTCATCAGTGACGTTGGATGAGCTGGAGGACGCAGTGAGTCGTGGAACGAGCAGGCACTGCTGCGCCTGATCGCGCTCATCCACAGGTTCACGCAGACCTACGCCGATGACGAGAACAGCACCGAGACTGAGGAGGGACGCGGACGAGACCGAAGTCGACGCCATCGCAGGTGACACTGGCTTCTCACCGCTGCCCGAACGCGGAGGTGAAGCCGAAACGGCAAAGAACTCAGGAGGACGAGCACACAACGCAGCGCGAGGAGGCACCGGCAGCAGCAGCAAGAGACCAGAGATTGGAAGCAGTTCTACAGGCAGTGCCTCGGGTGCCCGTACCTCGACGGGCGCTGGATTGGCGACTATCGCTCGCACGGCAAGGAGCTGGTTCACATCTCTCACAGAGGCTTCCGCGTGCTGGCCACCAAGATCACGGGTAACCCTTCCACTGATGTCGATCTGTCCTCCCGCTTTTCCTGCCCGCCGCTTACCCAGTCCCTCCCATTTTTTTGACAACAATGCAGGCGATGCCAACGTACCTGCGGGCAAGCCCACATGGAGGATGACGATGGCTGCCAAGGGTGATAGGGGCAAAGGACAGGTACTGCAGTGGCTGCTCTCCCCACAGCAGCTGTGATGACGAGCGTTGGTTGGCTAACCCTGACTTGCCTTGCAGATGCATTTGGCGGACACAGGCTATAAGCGGCCAAGGTGGGGCAGAGCTTACTTGGAAGTTGTGGTACGTAGGAGCTCTGCCCACTCGTTCTCTTTCCCCCCTCCCTCCTCTTCCTCTTCATCTCTTTGCTCACAGTACTGGTGTGGCTGTGCAGGATAAAAACAACCTGGTGGTCAAGTGGTTTTACGGCGTCCATCCTTCGCAGCACTTTGATACCTACTATGAGAGGGTCAAGGAATCCGGCTCAGGCGAAGCAGATCAGGACACAGAGATGCCAGAAGGGGAGGTGCAGGAGGCAGAGCAAGGGCGTGACAGTCGAGCACGAGAACGGGAGACCGTCGCGACGGGCGACAGTGCGGCTGCTGGCGACGACGAAGAAGAAAGGGAGAGGAAGAGGGCCAAGCGAGAGGTGACCGAAAGTGGATTTGCCTTTCGTCTTGTGCGCTCACCCGACACTGGCCAAATGTACGTGCTCGAGGAGAACGACGGGGAGGAGGGCCATGACGAAGCTGGGGACGTGGAGCAAGGAGAATACGAGGACGACGAGAGCGACGAGGAAGACAGCGAAGACGACTTCTACGAGGAACTGGTTTCAACACAACACAACGGCTCTGAGGTCGACGACGCTGGCCACGATGATGATGGCGACCGGCAGTAGCACCACCGCCTCGATTTACCGTTCTCATACACCACCTTCGCGCTCGCAGTGTTTCCCTGCGTTTCTGGTTTGTGTATTGTTGTTGTTCTTTGGGGCGATAAAGCTTGGTAGGCGTGGTGCGTTGGTCGAGGTGTCTTGCGTGTCCGTCTCGAGGGCCGTCTAAAACGACATTCGCGGGTTCGAATCCCGCCGCCTCCATCACCAGGAGGCGTGGCCGAGTGGTCTAAGGCGTTGAACTTAGGATTCAAATTTACTTCGAACCTGACGCAGTCCTCGAGAGTAAGTGGCAAGCCCGTCATGGGCCTGAGGCACCTGACGCTATCACCACCCCTTCCTTCTCTTTTTCCTCTTCTTGTGCGCTGCTGCTCGTGCTCGTCGGCGGTACTCGCGAACAAAAAAAGGCGGGAAAGAAGAAGGTGGCAAACAAAAAAAAAGGCGGGAAAGGGGACAACGCTCGAGCTTGGAATCAGCTTTGTTTGATTTCAGCAAGAGTAGAGGGCCACGAACTGAAAGAGATGACAGAAAGGCGGATCTATCAGAAGTTGAACGATTTAGGATACTCCAATAATGCTCAACGTACAAATCCGAAATCGGGTTGCACTGAAGAGGAGGAGGTGGCCATCTTCAACTTCCTGCTTCCCAAATACGACTCCGCTTTCGCGCTGGGCGACTGGTTGAGCACCGATGAGCGGAAGACCACCATCCTCCGGTACGTGCCAGCCCCACCCCGGGTTAGCCCACCCAAGAGGTGGTACGCGTCGTCTCGACTCCGCCTGAAAAGAGAGCTCTGCACCCGGTGTATAGGTACATGAAGAACCTCGGGCTGGCACACCACTTCCACGGCAAGGCGCAGCAGGTGGGAGCCGCTGAGTGCAAGCAGGAGAACTGGCAGGCGATCACCGAGCTCATCCAGAAGCTGGAGAAGCGGCACGGTGCTGACGCGCTCTACGAAGACAAGGAGAACCATAGCCGCGGCGCCGTATGTTCTTCGCTTTTCTTTCCTGTGGGCTCTTGTCCTTCTCGTCATGTTGGTTCTTCGCTCATACGTCATCCACGCCAGGTTCGTAAGAATGGCGGTGGCGGCGGCGGCTGCATCCAGGACCAGCATGCCGAATCCCTCCACATGCCCGCTACCCGACAACGGTACCTCTTCCCTCGGCTTTGTCTGAGCAGTCTCTGCTTTTAGTGCCACCTTACCTCTTCAGGTAGTTCATCCGCTAATCGTATATTTTTGGCCTCCTTTACATATGGCAGAGCGCTCGGCATCAAGGAGGTAGAGTCGCTCGCCCTTGATGAAGTGGCCAAGAAGATGACCGGCCGACGCGCGGCATCGCTTGGCCGTACAGAGCTGGCCTACATCGTTGAAGTCCACCACGCGCAGATGAAGGACAAACTTGCAGTACGTTGTATGTTGATGTCTATGTGTCGCTCCAGCACTTAGCACGGCTGCCTGCTTGTTCGAAACACTATGTTTCACACCCCTCGCAGGAGAAACAGAAGCAAGTGGAGAAGCAAACCAAGAGGCAGCAGTGTGAAGAGGAATTCGCCCTCGAGCAGTTGAAAATGAACATTGCCAAGCTCGAAAACACGGTTCATACCACCGCCACTTCTCAGTTTGCCGCCATGGCCCGGACCGCACATGATCCGCGCGTTGCCTCACTGACGTGCTTTCCACTGCAGTTGATTAAGGCCGAGCGATCGCCGTCGGCGGGCAGCCACGCCGAGAAGCTGCCCAACGTCAAGAGGTTGACCGAAGAGCTCAAGGCGCTCAAGAAACAGCACATGGCCATGCTCATGCAAGCGGGCCTGGCGGAGGAGGAGATCAAGAAGAAGGCGGAGGTCCTGCGACAGAAGGAGCGCGCGATCGATCATCTCGCCAAGCGAGAGCAGGCCAAGCTGACACAGCGCAACAGCGACGGCGATATGGCGACCACGGCGAGTGCCGCCAGAGCTGCTGTCAGGGCGCCCACCAGCGACGAGCGCTACGTCGCAGACGAGAGGAAACCAAAGCCAGCTCTGGCCGTGCCCAACTCGTCCGAACCCCAGAGGAGCGACGCCAAGATCAGCAAAGTGGTGGTGCTCAACACCGGGGCAACGAGGAGCGATGAGAGCCCAAGCACGTCGGGCGATGAACTGGAAGAGCGGCAGGAGGAGAAGAGGGCGAGACCGGCGGCGGCCGCAGCGAGAACGACGACCGCGAGCGGCGCGGCAGTGAAACCGAAAAGGAGCCAGATCAAAGAGGCGAAAACGAAGACCGACGAGCGCGAGTCCAAGCCTAGGACCGTGCGGGCGACGGCCAAGCGGCGAGAACAAGGAGAAGAGCGATCGACGACGACAAAGCGACAACAGCCGCGTGAAGAGGAGAAGCTGCAGCGCGACGACGAGCGGTTGCTGAAGAAATGCGAAAAGGAGAGGAGGGCGATGAAGGAGGGTCGTCAGCGCCTCCCGAGGATCAACGAGGTGCTGAAGGGGTGGGGCGGCAGCTGCCTCCCTCCGCAGCAGCACGAGCACCACTTCCTCGACCGGCTGAACAAGGAGCGGCGCAAGCGGGTCAAGCAGATGAGGTCCGACGCGGTGCGGAAGGTGAAGGAACGCAGAAAGAGCAGGACCAGCGCCATCGGCGGCACCGACGAAGCGGCTTCCATCATCGTGGTCAAGGACACCCCGTGGGCGACGAAGCGGAAGAAGAAGGCCAGCGCCACTGCCTCCGCCGGCAAGCCCGTGCGAGGGCGACTCACCTTTGCCGACACCGAGAGCGAAGACGACGACGAAGACGACAGAAGGTGCACGGGAACGACCATAGATTCGAACGACGACGACGACACATCGTCATCATCGTCATCAGAAGAGGAAGACGAGGAGGTGGACGCGATCACGGAGGGATATGACGAAAGCGATGGCGATGGCAATGGCGATGACCTGGTCGTTGAGATGTGGGACGATGGGCACGGCGAGGAGGGCGAGTACCAGGCAGCAGGGAGCAGCGACGAAGATGATGGGAAGATCGTCGAGCCTCCCAGGGACGAGGGCATCAGCAAGGTGAGCGCAACGGTCATCCTGAACATAGATCCGGCGGAGAGGAGCGGTAAAGGCAGTGGCGAGCGGCGACCAAACGAGTTCCCGCACGACAACGAGGTGGATGAGGGCGAGAGCGAGAGCGAGAACGACGACGACGAGGAGGAAAGCGACGAAGAGAGCGAGCCAGAGGCCGAAGTGCTGGGTTACTTGAGAAAGGCCAGAAAGGAGTGGCGTTGGCAGAGAGACAGACCCGAGCGAGAAAGGGTGGAGGGCAAGCGGCGGACCGCCGAGAAGCGGAGGTCGCAGGGGAGGAAGCACGAAGAGAGACGAAAGAGCGAAAAGAGAAAGGAGCAGCGGGAGCTGGACGAGGTGGTGTCTACTGACGGCGGGGAGGGCCTCGAGCGAGGGGAGCACCAGAGGGCCAAGATGAAGGCTCTGGTGGCTGAGTATCTTCGCGACCTGGCCGAACCTGCGACCGACCTCACCCAGCTTGAGGAAAGCTACGCAGAGCCTCTGAGTGAAGAGACCCAGCAACTGCAGGCCCTGGTTGCGGTACCAACACCGCGCTTAACCGTGTTGGCCCTTCCAGTCGTGACTCAGTCTCGTGAGTGCGCCGTGGTTTTGTTGTGTGTAAACAACAACGACAGGTGTTTGAAGCGCGAGCGCGGAACAGAGCCGCGGGGGAGGTGGCGCTGGACGAGGACCTGCTCCGCATGTCACTCGAGGAGAAGAAGAGGGCCTTGTGGGGCGACAATTACCACGCCGACAACATCAAGTGGGCCATCGCACAACAACAGCAGCGCCAGGCACAGAATGGAGCTGACAAAGCAGCGACAGCGACCACAGCTGGAGTGAGACGAAGCTGAAAACACATCAATTTGTAACTACTACATAACTACATTACACACTATCGTGACACCGTGAACAGGATCACATCAACCTCGCCACAGTACCACGAAGGGCTGCCGTGTGCCCCCAGAATCTTCTTCCTCATCACCAGCGCCGATACTGCTGGTGGATGCCGACGGTGACGTGGACGTTATTAGGCACCGAGTCGACCGACCTGCAGCGCTTCTGCCGCTTGGTGCGTTCCAGATTGCGGCGCTTGGCCTCGGTCTTCCGCTTGCCCGGCGTTCGGCCATGGAACCGGTGGCACAATCGCTTGAACAACTCCTTCGGCGGGACTCGCTCGCCGGCCTCGTCGAATTCCTCGTGCAGACTCTTGATGCTTGTGCGCTCCTCGTTAGGGTTGTTGGCGGAGCCGACCGTACCATCATCTCGTGTGGCCATCTTGTCCTTCCAGATTGCTTGTGTGAAGGGTGGGAACCATGAAGGGCGTGCACGCACCTTTTCCGCGAGGAATGCTTGCAAGTGGCATCCCACAATGGCCAGCCTCCACGACAGGCGTGTCGACAAGTGGTGGAACTGTTGTTTTTCAAACAATCTAAATTTTTTATTTGATTTTCCGGTTGCCGCAACCGATTTCCTCTTTGCTCGCGAGACCCTAAAGGCTACCTGCATCTCCCTCCCAAATGGAAGCGAAGGCAACGAAGCGCATCTTCATCAAGTTCGGCCCGGATGTCAAGCGTGTGGACCTGCCCACAGCGCATTTGGCGTCGTTGAGGGACCTGGCGTCGCTCTTCTTGACCAAATTCGAGCTTCCGTCAGAGTTGCTCGCCATGGCCAGGGCCGGCCAATTCCCTCTCTACATCCAGGACCGCCAATCGCAGGTCTGGTACGAGATGGAGAACATCGACGACGTCTACGAAAGCGCTGTTGTCGAACTGCGCAAGCCCAACAACGACAACCCTATGGGCAGTACGTTGTCCCGCTCCCCCCAAAAAAACAAAATCCTATGATAGATTGGGCGATTTAAGTCAGTCATTTATTTCTCTCTCAATTCCTCAGGCAGCCGTGGAGGGCACAAGATCGAGTACTGCACGTCGTCTACCAACGACAAGCTCGTGTTTGTACGTGCTTTCCCTTGGCGCGCACCCAGTCAGGCGTCGGATCATGATGCAATTCGGAAGTTGCAGTTCTTCTTTTATTTCTACTGCGCGCGTCTGACGCCACACGCGGCGTGCAGGTCATGTGCGGTCTGCCGGCGCGGGGCAAGACCTACATTGCCCGCAAGATCTCTCGTTACTTGAACTGGCTTGGCGTGCCCACACAGGTACGCTTCATCTCATCAGTGCACTCGTTTGCGTGCTGATGGGCACACAAGGTGTGTTGGTGTGAGCACCGCGGATCCGCTCACCTCTGCTGGCACCATAGGTTTTCAACGTGGGAAGCTATCGTCGTGAGAAGCTCGGTGCAAAGCAGCCGCCCGAGTTCTTCGACCCCACCAACCCCGACGGCAGCACTCAGCGCCTGCACATGGTACCATGCGCCTTCTTCGCCTCTTTGCATTAAGTGTGCGTGCGTGCGTCTAGTCATTCTAACCCCATCTCTCTTCTTCTCTTCGTCTGAGGCTAGGCGGTGCTCGCGCTGGACGACATGTTCGAGTGGCTGCGCAAGGGTGGTCGCGTGGGCATCTACGACGCCACCAACTCTACCAAGTCGAGGCGGCAGCTTATCATGTCGCGTTGCACTGATGAACACATTCAAGTAATCTTCATCGAGAGCATTTGCGAGGATCCAGGTTCGTTCCTTCTTGATGACTTTCAGTTAACTGGGAAACGAAGGTAAGGTAAGGAAAGGTGACGTCGCCTTCCTCTATTCTCAATCCTCGCGCAGTCATCATCGAATCGACCTTGCGCGAGACCAAGCTGCACTCTCCCGAGTACGTGTGTGTGCGTGTGTGTGTGTCCGCGGTGTGCGAGTGTGGTCTATGGCTTTCTAAAATTGTGTTTTGCTAGTTTCGAGGGCGTCCCGTCTGCAGAGGCGATCCAACAATTCCAGGAGCGAATTGAACACTACACGCGGGCCTACGAAACCGTCGACGAAGATGAATACGTCAGGTAGCGACTACTCAGTAATTATAATCTTTTGCTGTGGTCGCCCTAACTCACGCGCCTTGACGACAAATATTGTTACAATCATTGACAGCTTCATCAAGATGTTCGACGTGGGAAAGAAGATCATCGTACACAATCTGCCGTCTTCCTACCTGCCCGGCAGGGTCGTCTTCTTCCTCATGAACCTCCACATCATCCCCCGTCCCATCTTCCTGGTACGCTCTCTTCTCTCTTTTGCTGCCGCCTTGGGCTCACGCGTAATTTTGCGTGTACGCCCCCCCCCCCCGGTAGACAAGGCACGGGCAGAGCATGGACAACACGGAGGACAAGATCGGCGGCGACTCCAAGCTCACGCCATCGGGCGAGAGGTACGCCCAGGCGCTCTCGTCCTGGGTCAACCAGCGTATCTTCGAGGCCAAGGCCGAAGGCAAGAAGAAGAGCGCTATGGAGAGGACCGTTTCGTACGACGGGGCCGAGGACAAGCTCATGAAGCTCACTGTGTGGACCTCCACCCTCCAGCGAGCCATCGCCACTTCACAGGTACTTTGCTTCTCTGCTGTGTGTGGTGGTGTGGCGTATAGACGTTAAGCCAGCGGCCTTCTTACAATTGGGCATGCTGTCACTGTACTATAGTACCTGCCGCAGCGCAAGATCCAACTGCGTTGCTTGGACGAAATCGATGCAGGCAAGTGCGATGGCATGACCTACGAGGAAATCGGTACGGCACCACACGCACGAGAGAGGGAGGGCTCATGGAGGGCTCACACTTGTGCGCCTTCCAGCCAAGAAGATGCCTGAGGAGTTTGCTGCTCGTGCTGCGGACAAGCTGCGGTATCGCTACCCGCAAGGCGAAAGCTATGAAGATGTCATCCAAGTACTTTTCTACACACACACACACACACACACACACACACACACACACACACACACACACACACAAAGCATACTCATCGACAATTCACACAGCGACTGGAGCCCATCATCTTCGAGTTGGAGAGGCAGCGTGATCCGGTCCTCGTGATCGCTCACAACGCTGTGATCCGATGCTTGTACGCCTACTTCAAGGAGAAGCCTGCTGACGAGTGCCCGCATATTGATGTGCCGCTGCACACGCTCATTGAGCTCACGCCTCGGGCCTACGGCTGCGAAGAGAAGCGGTATGCCCTCCTCAAGAAGGACGACGCCGCCCTCGGCCGCTCCCTGAGCCGAGACAACAGCTTTCTCCAACCGCCCTCTCCAGTCCAGGCCAAGCCAGAAACAACATCAGCGCCAGTCGCTGCTGACAACAACAGCAGCAACACAACCACCAACAGCTGATGGTCTGCTTCAACAATACAATACCCAACAAATCTCTAAACATTGGGCAGGTGTGAAGAAGGCACAGAATGTCCTTGTGGGGTGTTCATATGATGGGAGGGGAGGCTGTGCCCTGATGTGGTGGCCTTCAAAGGTGGCTGTCATCTTCACCAACACAGCCCAGACCATCAGGTGGGGTACATTCCTACCAGAATATGGGCATTGAGAAAGGGGCACACTCAGTGGTCAAGCCTGCCCAGCCCAGGCCCCTGCTGAAGCTGTGCACAGTGTGGCACAGTCAGTGTTGTTATCCCACCCAGCTCTGTGGTCACATGTGGAGTGTCAGATGGGCAACACTATGGTATGGGCATATCTCATAAACAGTGGTGGAGCTGTTGGTGGGTGGACTTTGGCAGGTAACCCAGTGTGACCCATTCCCAGTGGCCCTTCATGTGCACATGCTGCAGGCAGGCTGTGGTGCCAAGACACATGTATGGTGGCACTGGGTATGCATGCCATGCAGTGGGTGGTGGAGTTGGCTGCTGTGTGGATCCTTTTTTCTACCTGTTCTTTTTGATTATTTGGTTCAATAATGATAATTGAAAACACACAGTAAAAAATACCAGCCATGGTTCTCATCATTCCTGATGGTGCTGATGCAGAACCTGAAACTGACAGTGGCCATCACCAACCTGCACAGAGGCAGTGAATATGGCAAGGAGTGGCACAAGGCAGGCACCCTTGCCCAAAAGCAGAACATGTTCACCAACAATTCTTCACATTTGTGCTGAATTGGAGCACAATGAAGATAAAATTCCACCACAACAAAGCTCTATCTCACACTGATAATATCACTTTTAACTCCACACATTTCAAGTTTTTAGTATGCTCCTTGTCATTATTTAATGCAATCAACAATGCAGTTGGGGTTGAGCTGTGTGATGGTGGGTGCCAGCATCTGACCATTATTGGCCTCATAGGCAATGCCAATGACATCCAGATCAAGTGAGGCCAGTGCCTGAACATGCCAGTGATGGAGGCCTCCTTGTCAAGCACATTGTCATAGCCCTGAATGATGTGTTGGATGTCTCTAAGTGGACTTTGCACATAGCCATTCAGGTTCATCATGGCTTTCTATTGCCACAGCAAGATGGATCCCACTTTAGACGCCAATCATGGTCTCACAGTCAAAGTGTAAAATAAAGCCACAAAAGCCAAAAAAATTATTTGTTTATTTTGATTTATCACACAAGAGGCATGGCGGAAGAAGAACTGGTGTCAGCGAAGCACGCGCTGGAGCTGCTTCCAGCGGAGGTGTGGTGGCACGTGTTGCAGCAGTTGGAGCCTGGACCGCTGGCGGAGGTGGTGCGGCTCGCCCTGGTGTGCCGCACCTTCTTCTGCGCCCTCGTCCTGGGCAGCGAGACTGCACTCGACACCAAGCCCCCGAGAGCTGCACCGCCCTTTGCGCCCCTGCGCGCTGCCGCCATCGCCCACCAGTGGCGCCTCCTGTCTCGTCAGCGCTGGCAGCAGTCCGTGCGCAACGTTGGCCCCTTGGGTCCATCGCCCCTCATCCAAGTAGGCACCGGCACCATTGGTGCGTCCCATATTAAATACTTGCCTCTTCTTCTTATTCTATTCTCTTATCTATTTATTTGTATCTATTCCCATAAAATGTTGTCACATCTCTAATCCCATTTCTCTATTGGGAGCAGGCGAGAGGCTGCTGGCGTCGTACCTGGAGCAGGTGGCGCTCGAGCACGACCTGCTGGTTCCCTCGGCTGCAGCAACGTCAGGACCCGGTGGTCTGACGCTCAACCACAAGATACCGCCACGCGCGCTCTACGGTCTCGGCTCGCACTTCAGGGAGTCTGATCCCGGTACGGAAGGCGGAGCGAGTTACAATGACGATGATAATATTGATGTGATCTGTGTTCTCCTAAGGCTTCGATTCCTGTGATGTGCGCTTTCTCTCTCACAGGCCGGTCCGATCAGTCGGTGGTGGCCCGCGCGGTCTTCGCCGATCTGGAGTACCTGGGCATGGGGACCTCAAAGCATCCCTCCAGCGTTCTGTTCGACCGATCAAAGTGCGTTTGGTGGGTGTGGAGTGTCGCGAGGGTGGTGACGCGGTGATGGTGTACTCTTATGATGTTCGTGACCACTTCCAGCTGCTTCCACACGACCGACCATACACTACACGGCTACTGGTCACAAGGCCACTACTTGGAGGGTGCCGAGTCCCTCGACGATGTGCTCGACCTGGTCAGGCGGGAGGCCGAGCGCGCCGACACGCTCCAAGCATTCCAGCTCTTCCACGACGTTGCAGGTGCACCTCACCTTACCAAAATATGTTAGGATTGTTTAGTCAAAACTCGGCTGACTGGTTGGAATGCTGGGTGGGCAACCACCGTCCAAGGTGCCTGCGGTGGCGGGTTCACGACCTTGCTCATGTCCCGCCTGCGGGAGGAATATCCCGGCACTATCATGTCGACGCTGTCCGTGATCCCCTATGAGGAGATGCCGGTTGCTCAAGGGCCATGTATGTGTTACCCCCCTTTGGGGCCTTTGTCTGCCACGCACACGCAGACGCACACAATTGCTGATTGGATCATCCCGCCCCACGGGACCTGGCGGGTGTGCAGATAACATAGTCCTCACTCTGGACCAGCTGATCGAATACGCGGATCTGTGCTTCTATGTCAGCGAAAAGGTACTTTTCGCGTCACTCCTCTGGTGCTCGGTGGTCCATTGTGCAAAATCTGCATTTGTTAATGATTGGACTAAAAAGAGAACTGGAATATTGTTAATGATTATAGCGCGCCCGCGACCTCTGCGGGTCTCCTTTGACCAATCCACTCGACCTCATCGCTCGCGCGTTCTCCGGCGTACGTTGTTGGTCCAGATGGAGAGTCAGCACCCCAGGCCTGCACCACAAGCAACACTCACGCGTCACTGTTGCTTGCTTGTGTGCCGATCAAAATGCAGGTCACGCACCCCCTGCGGTTCCCCGCGAGCCAGGGTACCTACGCGCCGAGTTCGCTGCGCAGCCTCGCTCACACCTTGGTGCCCTTTCCGCGGTTCCACCTGCTCTCGCTCAACAACGTGCCCTCCTGGCAGCCGGCGGCGGCCAT